AAATGAATTTTCCAAGAAAATCATTTCCAATCTTTTTCATAATACTTCTTCATCAATTTATTATTATGAATATCCAAGAAAGAATCGAGATTCTAATATATTTGGTTCGAGAATAAATAATACAAAAATAGACGAATTTTGAAATACTATTTTCATTTAAAGACTATTTAAAAATATCAAGAATACAATCAATTAAACCTTTTTTTGAATCTTATTCGAAGAATATCGAAAATATATTTCTTGCCCTCGTAATTTCTTGATTGAAGATTTCAAACCCATATATACATATTATCAATGACGATTGAATAATTTACAGATATGAAAATCATTAAAAACCAATAAATTATCAATGATAATACCATTCCTCTATTTGATAAGGAGGTGACTTGTTGAGGAGACTCAACAAAATGCGAGAATATAATTGCCCTTTGCTCCGGAATATGCGGCTGATGGATTCTCGGGGGCCATATTGAGGCTATATGGAAATCTTTCAGGAAGGAACTCCAATTCGTGGTTAAATATGGTCTGAGAGAGGATCTTGGAACATATCATCTTAAAAGACTGAGCGCGACTTCAGCAGGCTTCTGTATATTTATCGGAATATTGTTGCTATGAAAGTTATGTCACTGGCACGTGAGTCAGTGAGGATTCTCGTGTGTAGTGAAGGAAAATCAGCAAGAACCTTTGAATCGATTCGGATTGCTCATCGTTATCCTGCTCTCCCGCCATGAGGAGGAGATCATTCACGCTTCTGGAGAAGGCCACGTGCAACGCGACAACCTCATGCGCACAGACTCGACCCATTGTGGGCTCGGATGCGCAAAAATGTCGACATGATCTGGGATGCCAGCTCCAGAAGCTGCCACCTTGCCAACTTCACAAGCACTCAGAACTGCCCGACATCCCTTAGACTGGTGCATGGCCTCACCCTGAGAGATGGTTCCATTAACACCGACGACCTGGGCAATAAATGGTGCTGGCATGTGCTGCAGTGCTGTGTAGGCGGAAGGCCCCGAAGGCCTTCCCCTTGTAGGAACTCTCAGCTGCGAACGAGGTCCACTTCGGAATCGCCGAAGCATTTGCCATCCCAGCCTTTTGACCCTTGCATAACACTTGATTGAACCTTGTGCACAGCATGCATGTCAGAACTGGCGGCATCGCTGGAACTAAGTACCAAGCGTTCTGGAACAGGCACGGGCTGCTTGGCCAAAGCCAAGTTGCAGTAAGCACCTGCGTCGAATGAGTGTGTCAAACAAGCTCGAGGCCACAACAGCCCCGACTGCTTGGAGCCCAGCAAAGCACCTGGTGGCAAGGAGGTGTTCATGCCTTGAAGCTGCCATGGCTCGGCCAGGCCACTCCTCGTCACCCTCGGTATTCACATTCCCGATCACCACAGTACGCCCCTCACATCTTAGCTCTCGAGGCTTCTGCCAGTTGAAGCCACGGCTCAGTGCAACGAAAGCCGTTCGGTAGACACCTTGCTTAACAATCCCACGCTGACAGAACGAAGTCCTGCTGTATATCTTTGTCATAGAGCAGATGACATGCTGTGCCCTCGGCTGAATGCTACATGTCCATCCAAGTCAGACCATGTCTGATTGACCTGAGTGAGGCTCAGGTTTGAACAAGGCAGGTTCGTATGACCTTCAAATGGTCACCTGGTCCCTAAACACGTTCTCCTACCCTCTGGGCATTACAGTGCCCAGCCTTCGCACGGGGGCCAAGAAGCTTCCGGAAGCGGATCAGTCCAGGCACACCCTCACGAAAACTCCACGAGAGTGTCCCTCAAGCTCACACGTGCTCTACCCCCGAAATTTCATGAAATCTGATGACGCAGACCTTCCAGCGATGTTCGCAGACCTTGTAGGCTTTGCAGATTGCCAGATGCAGCCCTTCACTGGTGTGCAGAGATTCGTCACACTCCAAGGCACTCCAAGGTCAGAGCCCAGGGATGCGCAGCGTCCTGCAGCTAGAATTGAACTATGACAACCAAGAGAGACCTATAGGAGAACTATATGACACAGGCTTTCCGTCTTTCCGTTGGTGACTGGATACTCAGGCGGTAGTTCCAGGCGTGCTCTGGGTGTCACTGATTGTCAGATGCGCAGAGCACGGATTAACATGGTTGATTGCGGGCACCATTGACACGTCCTGATCATAAAGCTCCGTTACTGGAGATGTGCTTGGTGTTGCCTTGCAATGCCTGCGGCGGCAGGCCCAAGCAAATGTGAGCATTCCTTGTGACAGCCAGCAGAGCTCCGAAGGGGGCCTTAAAGGAGAGCTTGGGGGGTCATGCAAGGAGTCAGGCCGAACGCCGGGAGGCCCCTGATCGAAATCTTCCCAAGCCTCACAAACTTTGAATGGGAGGGCTGACGCATGCCTCTCTGCACGATCAGTGTTTGGGTTAAGACATTCGACAATACAGAGGAATGTCTTCCATTGCAACTGAGGGCAAGGCATAGGATGACATCAGTCCTGGCACTCAGTCTTCACTAACAGTGAAAGTGCTTGCAATTGCCGCTGTTGTGCAGCTCAAATTGAAAGTGCTTGCAATTGCTTCTGTTGTGCGTTCCAACGGGGCAGATCCGCTCACCGCATCCCCATATGGCCATGCCTGAAAACACTTCTGAGTTTGTCACAGCACTGAGCTCGCGTTCATGTGAGCTCCAAGCCAGCATGAAGAGCTGCGCAAGATTGTACTCCAGACCTGAAGTACCAAGCAAGAACCATAGGGCCAGAGGGCACTAGCCCAGTTGCTTAGCTCTGAACCATGTTTGTAAATGGGTCGGCAGTCAGATGTATCCTGGCGCAGGAGGCTGTTTCACTTTTGAGGCGTTGCTAGGCCTTCACGCAAAAGCTGCAGCATGTCAGAAGTTGCCTTGCCATCCCAGCCTGACACAAATAATTACTGGCCAATGATTGCCGCTTGCTGGGAGCCTTCACGTAAGTCCCCCGCGACACACAGGACTGCTCGGAGGCCCGCCCTTCTCGGGCTTCCAAAGCTGCCTCTGTTGATCGTGGTTGTCCACCTTAGAGAGCTCTCCATCCTTCAACAAGAATTCGTGTTCTGATTTTGATGTGTCCTGTGTAGTACGTAGTCTCGCAGCGCATCGTGGCTTTCCTGGTTCGACCCCGAGGGCCACAGCTAAGACATTTTCCCCAAACACAGCAACCTTGGAAGTCCTCTTCTCAAACGAAAATAGGAAAGCACATGGCTGGGTGTGCTGCCTCCCAAACCTTTTCCGTCCATGCTGTTTGGGGTCTTCGACATTGCTAAGTTGTTCTTTTGAGAGACACAAGGCTTCTTCCTTCGCGACATGCATGATTCCACTCAGAACTGGGCAAAGAGCAGCGAGTGTTCCTCAAAAGCATGGGCAGGTGGTCCTGATTTGTCCTGATCCTATGTATGTCTTTTGCACAGTCGAGTTAAGCAGGTGGCCGGCGGGTACGCAGTTTTGCAAATGGCGTAGGCCTGGCTACAAACTTTTGCGTGGCTTCAATATTGAAAGTGTTGAAAGCATGCCAAGGTTGCGCAGTCTGGGGTTGGTGACCCGATATGGAGCAAGTCCGCGAAATTCGCGGTCCTGCCAGCGCAGTTAAGGGTGTGTGGCTTCGCCGCATGGATTCGGAGTCTGGGCCATGTCCGGCCTGTTCTTCCACTTGCCGCCTTGCCAGGAGTCGAACAGAACCTGCAGGCGAAGTGAGCAACGTGAAGCTGGGAAGGAGTCATGCTGCATTACGCAAATGGTTCAACTGGTTCACATGAGCTGATACGAGGGGAAGCGTTCTTTTCTGACAGACTGCCACGCTAGTTCTGAGTCGTCTTGGCCTGGGCAATCTGTTGACCGAAGTCGAAGTTGGTAAGAGACCTCGCTGCAGTTTGGTTTGCTGGCAGTGCGTTGGGCAGTCGTGATGCACCTCATCGCATCTCTTTGTTCTTCCAGCTCTATCAATTGTCTTGAGAAAGGCACGCTGGGTCGGATGGATATTGCATAGCCGGCTAGTGCAGCTAGATGCAGCTAGTGGATGTTCATGGCCAGTGCTAACATCGCCATCAGAACATGAGAGGCGCAGGATACCTGGAAAACTGAGTCTCTTGCCCGATGCTCGTTGCTTTGCGCAAAGTATCCTGTTCGAACCTGGTTCCGCTGCCGGTCTGTCTTCAACATGTAGCTGATCACATCACTCATGCTTGGCTTGCTGGCAGGGGGGGGGGATGTTCTCGGGTCACTCAGGGTGCAGCTTCAACGGACCAGGAAAGAACTCCTGCACCTAAGTGCTGTTCTTGGCATGGTGGTCTGCATGTCGGATTTGACTTCATCCTGCGTGTAAGTGCTGGGCGATGTAGTTGAAAGGAAACGGGTCCAGAATCTTGAGGAAGGACTCCGGGTACACCTCACGTCCCGGCTCTACCAACTCGAGCTTCAAAGCCTGTAGTCCTGAGCAGCTGGCATGCATGGCAGCATCCAGGCGAAGCCTCATTCGAATCCGAGATTGTGAGAAAGCCCTTGCCTTCCCCCGACTCGAAGCCGCTTGTACAAGTCCCTTTCTTGCTGCAATGCTGCAACAACTATAGCTCTACTGCCTACTGTCTAAGTTCCCGGCATGGTTACGCCCCTCTCGAAAAGCACCTGTCACTGCCAGTGGGTTTGCGCAAGAACTGCGCTCTAAGTTCTCTTTGCGTCTCGGCTTACTCTGTAATAGCTCTGTGATTGATCTGTGCTGTGCAGCCACTTCCACCTTCAGATAGCTCTGGAGCTGCTGCTGGACTACTACCTAACATCGCTGAGCACCGAGGACATTGCAGAATCAACTTACACGAAAGACTTGGCTGAAACGGTGCCCAGATACACTCTCTGTATTCAGGTCCACCAGCGCATACAGATCGCATAAGAACCTGTTGTTTGTCCATGGCCTGATGGATGTGCGGCAAATGCAGGGCTTCGCGGCACATGCATTCAAACAAATCAAGGTCAAGTTCTTCAACTTGAGCTTCTGGCGGAAGGCCACAATTCGACTCAAAGTTGCCTGTGATGTGACGGCATATGGCCCGAAAAGGGAGTGCCCACATCTTTCACACTGTGGACCTGACATGGGTTTGTTCAAGCATGGGAAGCCAGCCTTCATAATGATGGAAATCCTGTCTTTCGAAATAGTCCAGTCCAAGAGTGCCTTAGGTTTCTGCATCGGATGATGTCGGAATTCATCTGCTTGAGGTGCTGGCCATGTCGAAACTCCCGATTGCCATACCCGGTGCCAGACCAGCCTCAGGTTCCGGCTGTGAGGAAACGGGTTTGAAGTCTTTTCATTCTGATGCGGTGTTGAGGCACGTGCCAACGCATGGAGCTGTCGATGACGTGGGCGTGTCCTGTGCTCAGGCTTAGAATCATTTTGGCTTTCACGTGTCACCACGAACCACACAAACTTCACGAAGTCTGAACGTACTACTGGGCAGCACTTGGAGAGGGTGGCGTGTTTTGCGTGCTTTGCGCTCTGCAGATCACCCCACTCTTCAACCTTGCTTGGCGCCTTCGACTGGCCACACTTCTTCCCACGATCTTTCTTGGGGGCCTGCACGAGTGGCGAGGCCTGTGCGAAAAAGGCAAATTGTCCGACTTCTCTGCGTCGTCTACGCTGTATCCTAGACCGGCTTCATCGCCGATGTCTGAACGTCTCAGGCTGGGGCCATATGATTCAGAATAGTATCCACCATGATGGACACGCCCGCGGTCCGACACCTGCAGGGTTCCTGCTCACTGTGACGAGGCTAGGCCCTTAGGTTTTTGAGTTTTTTGAGGCACAGCTCTCGGCTGTCAACACGAGACGGCTAGCTGTGCTCACGCGGTAACTGTAAGAAACGCGACACCTGGCCACCATATTCGAGAACTCGTCTGGTGTGCCGGATCTTGAGTCCAATTTAAAAGAAACTGGCTGATACCGCGTAGACCAAGAGTCTCCCAGGACATGTTCGGTTGGTGGTGATACTTGCACGGCCGTAACACCTGCGGGCCCCAAGTAGGTCTCACATTCCTCGGCAATGGCGGGCCAGGGCCACTCGAAAAGGTGCACCATGATTTCGTTCTGCATCGACATGTTGCAGTGCCTTGACCAGATTTCGCCTCCTTCCAAAGGCTGGTCTGGAAGTTCTTCAGGAAATTCTGGATCACAGCTCCACACCTGGCATCGACCTTCATCCCAGAATACGAAGGTATTTCCATTTAGCCGCTTCATGCGCTGATTGCAGTTGAACTTTCCAGTTGTGCTTTGGTTAAAATTATTCTTGCCGTAGTGGCCGCGCCCAAACTCAGCGAAGGTATCAGCAGGTCGTGGGTCTGTCTCGTCTGCGATGAGCTTGCACACGCTCCTTGAGATGCCTTTCTGTAAGCATCGTCGCGCCGGGGCAAAGGGGAAGGGCTTATGCAGCAGGACGACCTCGACGACTAGGGTCGCTATTGCCAGGCAGACTCCGCAGGCTATGGCAAGTCGAGGTGGCAACCGTCGCAAACCCATTGCATGCTTAATGGAGCAAGCCCGCACCGCCCTACCGAGACAGCCGCAGCTATTTTGGTTTAGGCTGCCGCGGCGCGCAGGGTCAGGATGGTCGTGACGGTCGGGACGGTCACGGTCACGATACAAAGAGCTTGAGGATGCCACTCCAAGATCTTGACGGATGCAGGGTGCCGCTAGCATCTGCACCACAAATTGAGCCAAGCAGAGCGGGACCACCGAAACGAGCGATGCATTGGCGAGCTCCTTCTCGTTGTCCGAAATGAACGTGCTGGCACGTCTGCGTGCAACAAGCTCACAAAGGAAAGGTGAGACCATGCTGGACAGTCCCTGGAGAATGACAGAAACTGTTCCGTAGCTCAGCAGTCTCCACCTGGAGTTGAGCACACGAACTTTCACTGCCCATGCCGACGAGGAACGAATCCCTTCCAGAATAAGTGACAGGCAGCAGATGGCCAAGGCAGTATCTGAGCGACCAAAGAACGTAAAAGTAGATACTTCGTCTTGAACGATTGCACGCAGCATCGGAGCTGGTGGGAGCAGAAGCGTTATGCCGATAAGCAGGGCTAGGCCATGGATCATGGCGTGTTCGAGTGCCAAAGCCCACACATAGGTCACCAGGCCCAAGAGCAAAGCAAAGCCGAGGCTTAGCCAAGCCAGGTCTTCCCCCTTCCAGCCGTTGGCGAACCACCAGCGAATATAGCAGGTGCTTGGGAACAGCGCAAGGCAGCCCAACACGTCTGAGAGTGACAGGATGATGAAGGTTCGCCGCTTCCAGAACAGATTCAGCTCCCAGCCAGGTAGTCGATCCTCTCTGTAGGGGCCTGGGGCGGCTAGGAAGAGTGCGCCTGGCACGAGTGTGGCCAAGAAGGTCACAAACGCGACGGGCGTGAGGAGAAGGATCACCGAAGGGGGCAGTGGCTGCTCCTTGGAGCCGATCTGTGTGGAAGGTGATGTCAGGAAAATGTAGCCGGTGATGAGCCATGTGACGGCGTTCCTGACCATCTCCAAGATGCCCATCCGCTTCGCAGCATGGCTGATGTCTGCTTTGATCGATAGCATGAAGTTGAAGGCCACGAAGAGCAACGAGCCGGAGCTGAACACTCCCTGAAGGAAGACCAGGGAAGTCGCCAGGGAAACGTTGGGTCTGTGGACCACCAGCATTGTGAGCAGGATGGGGACCTGAAGCAACATTGCAGCTGCCAGCAGCTTTCGTGGCTGTATCCAGGATGCCGCAAATGTCCATAGTGGTGCACCCAAAGTTGTTGCGAGGGCGTTGGTCGAGAATAGCAGCATGTTCAGAATGGGCGGATCCAGTCCCCCATTTCCGAAGACCGTCTTGAACCATGGGAACCGCTTGAACCATTCCGGAAGCTCTGTGGAACCACGGATACCCCATTCTGTAGCCACTACTAAGATCAACAAGGATGACAGAGGGCAGGCAATGTACCCACATGAAACGAGCCAGTGAATCCGAGCTGTCCCTAGACTGTGGCACACAAGCCATTTTGAAACAGGATTTGTTTCATGTTCCACGTCCCTGTCCGAACCGATGCTGCGCAACACCGTCTCAATGTCCTGATCCAAGGTTTCCAGCTTGGCCGTGACAAGGACGTTCAGCTCTGCTTCTGACAGCTCCTGGCGAACGATGAACTCCTGGGAGGGCAGATCGCGAGAGTTGCCCTCCTGGCTCTCCAGAAAGGAGCCGGCAACCGGGGTACCCAAAACACCACCTGTAGTGCCTGTAATGCCTGTCGTACCTGTCGTACTCGCAGCACCTGTACTTCCTGGATGTGCCGCGGGCTCCGGTGCCAAGGCCTGGTGGTGCGAGGGAAACCAGGTGGTCTGCAACCGTTCTGGAGCGCTTGGGTGTGGTCGCGTGTCAATCACCTGCTCATATAGGTTTAGCAGTCTGGCTTGCCAGTCCTCCACCGGAAAATTGCTCTGCAAGGCCTGCCTAGACATGGCATGAAGAACATTCATGGGCGCCTGCATTGCTGCAGAGATGACTGTGCGCAGCTCCCGTCTGAGCCGTGTTAGGCTCTCTCTGTTCTGGGCGACGTAGTAAAACCCCGGGACTTTGCCCAGTCCACCGGCTTGCGCGCCGACGATCACGGCCCCCCGCCAGGCAAACTCCACATCCACATATCCAAAGGGCTCATCACGGGACGGCATCAAGCAGAAGTCGCTGGCCCATTTTAGGTCTTCTGGGACTTTCACAAAGCTGCAAGTGACACTGAGTCGCCCCTTAAAGGCTTCGGTGTCTGCCAGTTTTTCCAGCTTGCGTGCTGCATAGAAGCCAAACCCATCGGCTGGTGGTCCGATGACGATCAGCTGGGCCTCAGGATAGGTGGAGAGTAGCCACTCTGCCACGTCTGCAAGCAGGTCGACCCCCTTCTGTCTAACAAGACGGCCAAGTGAAACGAAGAGCTTCGCATCTGGTCTTTCGTTCAATTTGTAGAGTTTTTGGCATCGAGACTTGGCGTCAACCTTCATTCTTCTCAGGTCGGTGGTCAAGCTTGCTCGCTCCTCCTCTAGCATGGGATTGTCAATGCCGTGGATTTTGGGAAGCTCCCAGAAAACACTGTACCTCGAGTAGCATTCCGCAGCGTAGTAGTGAGAAACTGCACAGGCTCCAAGCCCTTGCTGCTTCTCGAGTAGAAAGTCCACAGCTGCCTTCACCATATTGAACCGCCCTTCGAAAAGAAGGTGCTTCGCAACAAATGTCATTGGCAGATTGAAAATTTCTGCCATCACTTGGAGCTGGCCAGATGAAAGCATGTCTGTTGCGATGGACCCTTGATACTCTGCATTGTGAAGAACTAGCAACATTCGAAGCTCCGGGTAGCTGGTGATGGCGTACCAAGGCGCGACTGCTGAGTGAAAATCCGGACAATGGAACACATCTGGTCTATATCTCGACAGCAGCTTACCAACACACTGATTCCACAAAGAAAAGAACTGAAGCACCTTTCTGCGAGACAAAGGGTTTGGATACAGCGATTGCCTATCACGGGTCTCAAACCAGGGATGTGAAAGCAACAGAAAGTGCCTTCGGACGCCCTCATGCTCTTGGACCTTTGAACGGTATACCCTGACGGTCTCCAAACTTCCGTCCACACGAACTTGGATAGCAGCCTCCTCTACATCTGTTTCAGAATATTGCACCGTCTCGTCTTCTGCAAGTTTAGGATGCACCATGAGGATATCTGTTGGATGGTGCTTTGCAATTAGGTCCATAACTTTTCCCAGTCCTCCAGCAAGTGCTTTGCAAGCCGGCAGATGTGGGAGGGAATGCTCCAATGAGGCCAACATGACTCGTAACTGTGATGTGGTCTCAGATGTCTCACAGGCACTTGATCCTTCTGCATGCTCATCTACGGACGCGTTGGAAGGGCTGGGTCTGAGCAAAGGGAGCGAAGGCAGCTCAACAGTATCCTCCTCCACAATAGGAGTCGTTATGCGTCGTCTTCGTGCGCAGAATTCAGCTAGCCAAAATAACAACGAGGGCAGCGGCCATAGGAAGCAGAGCCAAATCGACGCGATAGGAAAGGGCACGCCATCATCCAGCACAAGAGTGCTCGGGTCTAGCAGCTGCCTCCACATTGTTGAAAACGTCAGACGGAATCTTGAGCAGAAGTATGAATTGAAACACAAGTCCCAGAATACATGCTCTGACTTCTTACATCTCTGCACTTCATGTATTCCAAAGAATGTCCAAATCCTGCTTTTGGCATTCACGAGTCCACAACACAACGTGCTGACACACGCCCGAGGGCCCCAGAGTCTGTTTGGTGTGCTCAACTTTGCCCGCACCCTCGACACTCAACACTACTCTCCTCCACAAAAAAACCGAGTACCCGCGCCAACTCATGAGGAATAGAGTTGTTGCTAGTGGCTTGCTGAGGAGAAGGAGGAGGAGGCGGAGGAGGAGGCAAGGCACTACTACTGACAAACATATGGAGGATTGTTTTGAAGATTTCAGAGTCTACCTCCGTGTTTTTACCAATGCTGCTGAACCTCAAAAAACCCTTACCTTGTCTACTCCCTCCAAACACCAGGAAGACACGGCACGACATGTGATGCGAGGTCGTATTGACGTGTCAACCACCAGTAACAGTGCCAGCATTGGCGACATGTTTTCCGGCATGCATGTGACGGCTGGCTTTCTCAGGTGCCTGCGCGAGAGCACTGATGACACGGTGAATGGTCTGAGGCTGCTATCGTTCGCTGCCATGCCAGCCTCAAGTTGGATAATTCTTCAGCTTCACGACGACTGTTTCGCCAGCTTCGCTGCTCCTGCAAGTATCCATTGCAGGGCTATTTTGCACAGCGTTCTAAGCTCTAAGTGCAGCTCAGCACAGCTTTTGATCCCGGCGATGTCAGACGAATCGCCAGACTGCAAGCATGTCCCCTAGCTTGCATCAACGCATCACTTCGCCGAATTCTCAAAGGGCCAGCCGGCTGCGAGGATGTCCCAAACCGGCCTACAACAGATCGGCTTGGCAAGAGCTGTGAGCTCTCAGAAGATCTGCTGGAGACACGAAGCAAAAGTCTAGTGTGTGCCGAAGCTCAACATCGTGAGGGCGACATGATATGAGGATTTGAAGTGCGCTGCTGCTGAAGTAGGCCACATGCCCATGGGGATCTTGCTCGAATCTTACATGCTGTACCGCCACTGGTGTTGGCAGCCTTGCCTGTTGTGCCGCAGCAAAAGCCTCTTTGGAAAGCCCATTCCAACACGTTCGGATGTCAGCGAGGCGACGCTCATGCTCCACCTCGAAGCCTTTGCCGGACGCCTGCTGCACGACTATCTGACAAACCTTCAGCGCTGGTGTGAGCAGGTAGAGACTGCAGGTCTGGCGACCACCAGTGGTTCGTCTCAGCTTAGATGCCTGAATTGCCACCCCAATCAAATCGCAGAAAAAGCCCCTGAAATGGCTGGCTGGTGCCGGTTGAGGACTCGTGAAGAGAGGCGGGCCTGCAACGTCTCTGCGAAGGACTTACTCCAACGTCCAGTCACTGATCAACGAAGAACAACGACGAAAAGGGGCGGCCTCTGCAGAATGGGGACGTCAATGGTGACTTCAGTGGCGTGGACATTGTGCCAGCATGGTGCTGCAGCCGCGTGTTCCTGACACCACGTCTAAACAACTCACGCAGCCCTCCCTGATGCTTTCAGAACCTTTCAGACCCTGCCTGTTGCAGTAGATTCGCTTCAGACTGCATGCTTCGTCGTCGCGAGCTGGCTTCCTGAATTTGATGAAGCATACATGTTTCAAAGTCATCCTTTTAGCAGGTGCCTCAGACTGCTTATGCGAAGACGATCCAGTGGCCTCAAAGGGTCCTTGCCGGACAGGAACGACTCAAAACTTGGAACATTTGGTAAGCCATATTCTTCGTCTAATATCTGAATGCATCATGTCCTCCCCCAGGAATGGGCTTCCTGATAAAGTCAACATTGCCATGGATGTCCTGCAGCATGACCAAGTTGTGTCGTGGCTAGGTGCAGCACCAAGCCCCTGTCCACCAAGCGCTCCCAGGACGAGAAAGTGCTTGAGCATCTATGGCAATGACCTGCTCGCCAGGCTCAGCACTTGCTCAGCTCTTGCACGTTACAGTGGTTACATGGGATTGTGATTGCCCTAAAGGTCCTTTAGAGGGAGCCCCTGGCATCAGGGAACCACATGGGATCCGCGACTTAAACAAAGCGAATGTTGAACCCTATGTTTGACTTGGGGAGACGGGGTCGAGGCCTGGAGCTGCAGATTGCTGGGATCCATGTCCTGAAGCACGTCTCAGCAACCTCTCACTTCACCTCTCACCAAACCTCACCACGCACGCTCTCTCCCATTCAAAAAAGCATTGTGTCGTATTCTGCTTTGCCGAGCCTTGTAACTTTCGCCCCGTGCTTGCTCCTCCTGCAAGAGGATACATGCATAGTGGCATAGAGGATGCCCTTGAGCAAAATGATCAAAGGCAAGCAACGCTCGTGACTGGTGGCCGTCCTCCCATTGATGCTGCTCTTGTGATATACTTCTCTCTTCGAGATGGTACGTGACGCCCTCTTCTCGTTGAACCTTTTTCCAGTGTCGTAGGACTGGAGGCAAGATGCCTCAGGTTCTTTCAAGGGTGCTTCAAGAGATTCAGGAGCTTTGTACTTCCAGGCTTTGAGGATCTCTGGGGGCCCTACGCACCACGACCACATCCAGACTAGGAATAAGCACCAGTCCTGCAGACCGCGGTGCTCGCACAGATCTTTTCACGCGGCTAGAGGCAACAGTCGCAACAGACGTGCAGTAGGCGGCTCCGTGAAGCTGGTTGATCTTGGCTGGAGGGAACCAGCCCTGTGGCAGGCAACATGAGGGCAGAACTACAGTAACCACAAGCAACTACAGGTTCTGAAACCTTGGTGCCGCGCCCGCTGAAAGCCAAGACGAAACTGGGAAGAGGCTGGGCGGCAGCCACATGCTCTCAAATGGAGCCTGAAAGACGAGAGTTGATGGCTACACTGTGCGACTTGACCCTCCTGGCCTCGTCTCCTTTGGCAGCTGCAAAGGGTCACATCCATCAGCAGGGAAGTTCACGGCGCTGGCCATGCAAATGTGTAGACACCTGTGATCGAGAGGCTGTTCTGGGATTGTAAGTCTTTGCCATGAGCCTCTCTCAAGTTTCAGAAACACACGCACGGGACACACCCACGAAGAAGCAGTAGGGTCAAGTACAAGTGCACCTTCCTGGGCGAATCTGACGTCGGCGGACACGCTCATTCAACTCCGCATCCAAGCTGGCCTGCATCGAAACTGCACAGGCGCCTTTTAGCCTTGAAGGCCCTTGAAGTTACTTGCACAACGGATCAAAGGACAGGCCTTGATGAAGTACCAGCCATCGCTCAGCTCGACCCAGGCATCTTCTTGTGAGTAGGCGACGCGCCGGTGCTTTCTGGCACCTGACTGAGCCAGCCAGAGTAGTGGGAACAGGGCTGTCGAGAGGCTTGCAAGACCACAGCAGATACCCGCATCTCATCCATGGGGCCTGCATGGCACATCTCCGACACAGCTGCCTGGGCTCGCAACAAAACTATTGCATGGCTCCTCCCCCACCCAGCTACAAGCAGATGCAATTTCTGTGCATACCGTGGTGCAGTACACAATAATACCATGTGCTGGTCTGCTGGAGCCAGGCCGGCACAAATCTGGAAGATGGCGGACCTTCTGCCTGATATCTCGGCTCGGGCTCGCTTCGCCAGGCGCTCGGAAATCGACTCGCTGTTGCTCGAAATGATGCGCGTGGCTCGCGCTGACAGAAGACACAGCTGCGCCAGTTGGGTGCGCAACCACCTGTTGTCATACCTGGCTGAGTTCTCAGTGCAAACTTGCGGGATCGCAAAACCTTGGGCAATACCCGGAGGATCTTCCTCGGAAATCCAATCCAGCAGAGAAACATCTATCGTTGGCTGAGTGAGTTCCAAGTCTTCTCGCCAGGTTGATCCAAGCATGTCGCCTGAAAAGTGACGTTGGCCAAAACAGGGCACCCCTGCATTGCCACAGGGATCGTCAAGACCACCCGCGAGCTGAAGGAGGGGAGAGTTGCTTAGGATGCAGGGCCTCTTGCGATGGCGATCTGGGCAAGGTGATTCCAGCTTTTCAATGCCGCAAGGTGCCGGTTTGGAGGGCGAGACCCCGCCAGCACTCTGTGAGCCCAGAGGGGTCTGGGCTCTTTCCAAACTTCCTGTGCATGTCGAGACTTCTTGCACCTTGGCTACTGCCTGCTCCTCCTCAATTGCCCAACCTTGCAGGGCTTTACCTGAAGCAGTGTAGGGTTCGGGTACCGCCGAATCTTCACTGCCCGTCCAAGGAAGTGAGCTGGCCTGAACCTCACATGGCTCAAACAAAGCCTGCGCTTCCATCAGACGCCCGGTATCCACTGCAACAGCTCGTCCACCAGCCATCATGAACTTGCCAAGTGGTTTGCCTTCCTGGCTCATTGCCGCAGGTGCAGCGCTGTGGCGCTGGTCATCGACGGCGGAGGTATTGCAAGCAAGCCCAATGCCATCAGTGCTGTTCCGGCCTACCTGATGCGGCGGGTTCAACATCTCTAGCAAACCGCCCGTCGTCGGACATGCCGAGTGCTTGCCATGGGGCATATGCAGAGCGGCCGGTTCGGGTACCGCCGAATCTTCACTGCCCGTCCAAGGAAGTGAGCTGGCCTGAACCTCACATGGCACCAACAAAGCCTGCGCTTCCTTCAGACGCCCGGTATCCACTGCAACAGCTCGTCCACCAGCCGTCATGAACTTGCCAAGTGGTTCGCCTTCCTGGCTCATTGCCGCAGGTGCACCGCTGTGGCGCTGGTCATCGACGGCGGAGGTATTGCAAGCAAGCCCAATGCCGTCAGTGCTGTTCCGGCCTACCTGATGCGGCGGGTTCAACATGTCTAGCAAACCGCCCGTCGTCGGACATGCCGAGTGCTTGCCATGGGGCATATGCAGAGCGGCCGATTCGGGTACCGCCGAATCTTCACTGCCCGTCCAAGGAAGTGAGCTGGCCTGAACTTCACATGGCTCCAACAAAGCCTGCGCTTCCTTCAGACGCCCGGTATCCACTGCAACTGCTCGTCCACCAGCCGTCATGAACTTGCCAAGTGGTTTGCCTTCCTGGCTCATTGCCGCAGGTGCACCGCTGTGGCGCTGGTCATCGACGTTGGAGGTATTGCAAGCAAGCCCAATGCCATCAGTGCCGTTCCGGCCTACCTGATGCGGCGGGTTCAACAGCTCTAGCAAACCGCCCGTCGTCGGACATGCCGAGTGCTTGCCACAGGGCATTTGCAGAGCGGCCGGTTCGGGTACCGCCGAATCTTCACTGCCCGTCCAAGGAAGTGAGCTGGCCTGAACTTCACATGGCTCCAACAAAGCCTGCGCTTCCTTCAGACGCCCGGTATCCACTGCAACTGCTCGTCCACCAGCCGTCATGAACTTGCCAAGTGGTTTGCCTTCCTGGCTCATTGCCGCAGGTGCACCGCTGTGGCGCTGGTCATCGACGTTGGAGGTATTGCAAGCAAGCCCAATGCCATCAGTGCCGTTCCGGCCTACCTGATGCGGCGGGTTCAACAGCTCTAGCAAACCGCCCGTCGTCGGACATGCCGAGTGCTTGCCACAGGGCATTTGCAGAGCGGCCGGTTCGGGTACCGCCGAATCTTCACTGCCCGTCCAAGGAAGTGAGCTGGCCTGAACTTCACATGGCTCAAACAAAGCCTGCGCTTCCTTCAGACGCCCGGTATCCACTGCGACTGCTCGCCCGCCAGCTGTCATGAGCTTTCCTAGTGGATTGCCTTGCTGGTTTGGGTCATGTGGCGGATTCAAGATTTCCAACAGGTCGCGACCTTGACATACGCAGTGTTTATCAGAAGGCAGCTGTGAAGTGGCCGGCTCGAGAATCGGCAAATCATCAGCATCTATGCATGGAAGTATGTTGGCTTGAACCTCGCATTGCTCAAGCAAAGCCTGGGCTTCTTTCAGATGCCCGGTGTCCACTGCAACAGCTCGTCCGCCAGCGGTCATGAACTTGCCAAGTGGTTTGCCTTCCTGGCTCATTGCAGCAGGTGCAGTGTTGTGGCGCTGGTCATCGATGGCGGAGGACTTGCAAGCAAGCCCAATGCCGTCAGTGCTGTGCTCGCCTGCCTGATGGGGTGGGTGACCATCAGCTGTCGGACATGCCAAGTGCTTGCCAATGGGCATTTGCAGAGCCTGTTCGGGTACAGCGGAATCGTCACCGCCGGTCCAGGAAAGTGTGCTGGCTTGAGCCTCACATGTTTCCAAGAGTGTGCGAACTTCGTTGAGGTGCTGGGCATCCACAGGCACGGCCCGTCCACTGGCGGTCATGAATGTGCTCTCTGATGTTGGGGCTGCACTCTCTGAAGGCTCATCATTTGTTGCCATCCGGGAGAAACAGGCAAGGGATATGCCTAGAATCTCGAGCCCACATGGCTCACTGTACTAGTCCTACACGCGAGACATGATCAGGAAAGGATGGAAGCATCTCAGTTTCACAGCGTACCATATAGCATGAACGGCCTCTTCTCGTAGAAGAGAACCTGCATGTTTGCAAGCTATGGGAGCTGTCTTGCAGGTGAGCCTCCCATGCCTTCGCGAGTGCTGACAGCAAGTCTTTCTGACCTTGCTTTGTTTTGGCTTTCAATGGCCCACTGCTCCGCTGTGCTCCATGTGCTACGCTGCGCACTTGCTCCGTATTCTAAGTGATGCACCCTTTTGAAGCTCCAGGATGGCAACGAGTTCCTTCAAAGTCATCTCTCCTCCCTTCTCTTGGAGACCTCGTATGCAACATCATCGAAAGTACGTAGATCGAGACAATGCCGGGGGGTAACAGCCATGGTTTCGCCGAGTCCTGAACACTTCACTGCCAACTGCTGCAGCTGCACCCCTTTCTCAGGTGTACACCTTGAAAACTACGATTCTCCACGAATCCACGGGTGCACCGCTCTGGCTGCCATACGACTGCAATGTGGAACTGCAGACGGTGCCAGACTGGGGCACAGGCTGTCCCGTGTCTGCCACGTGCTTTGCTTGGCTGGGCGATGCCTGGTGGTGATCATGAATTTGCAAAAGGTCAGGTGGGTGCTTGGGTCAGCTCTGAGAAGTCTGTGACATTCTTTTTTCACCACCTTTGCGCAGGCGTTTCTACCAATGCTGCTGCACAAGCGCCGGCCTCACCACAGGACCTGTGGAGGCGGGGTCGCTCACTGAGTGTTGGGTTGAGAACGCCTTGAGTTTTGGACTACAGATACTTCAGCAATTGCTTTGACCAAGTCTGAGCAGGTTGGCAGGGCATGGGAAGGGCCATATCGATCATATGAACTGACAGGAACCTGGATACGGATCACAACTGGTAACTACGTGGCCTTCAGCCACCTCCTCCACCCTGTTGCCAGTAACTTTTAGAGTCAGCAGATGAGCTTTCATTGTTCATTGTGTGGGCTCCTGTCATTGCGTTGACATCCTACGCTTGCCGAAGCTTGAACTGATGTTTAGTAGCCGCGCGGCCTGCGCGCAGTGTGATTGGCTACGCAGGCCGACGCGCCAAGCGGTCAAACAGAGCCACGTGCAACTGCTTTGCTTAGCAGGCTACTGGGGCTTTCTGCTGAACATGCGACCTATGCCTGCGCGCAAGCTGCACGGAGCAAAAGCCGTGTTACGCGGAACTCCCAAGATGAAACCAGACATGTTCAGGCGCTTTCCTAACCTAACCCCTGCACTTCCTAGCGCCCCCCTTTGTAAACAAGCCCAAAAAAAACCTCATACTACACCCATCCGCAGAGGTGTTTCTAATCTGCGGCATTTATCTGTACCGACAACCTACGCGGACCTACGCGTCCATACATGTCCATACTACATGGACATGCCCACGCGGACCCTCCCCAGACCTACGCCCTGCACGCAACATGCTACGTGGTCGACTTCCTGCAATCGCGTCACTATGTGCTCTCTCATGTACCTGCTCAGATGGCCCTGTCCACATGGGATACACTGCTCGCAAGTGCACAATCGAAATGCTAAGAATCCGGCACTCAAAAGAACAACGCCATGACTCTTGCTGCCAGGACCACGTAGAGGCTGCTGCAATGTGTTAACCTGAGAATTGACAGGGCTTGCCAGTACAATGTGTTGTCTTGACGTGTTCGTGACATCAATCGGATGTCACAGCTGTGAGGTCCACACGTGGCGGCGCTCTTCGAATGCTTCCGAGATGAGTATTGGTAGTTCTGGTAGTTCTGGTTCTGGAAATGCTGACGCTGCTGCTGCTGCTGTCTCTGGAAGGCAGCTGCGTGCATGGCGGTTGCAACCCGTTGGGTGCCAAGATATGCCGGGTAGAGCTGTTGAGCTTCATGCCTGAGTCCGCCGTGAAGCACAATGCATCTCATGAAATCTTAAGCTGCGCACCATCCCCCACCTTGGGCGCTCTGTGGCATGTGGCATGCGTTAGCTTTGATGGCAAGGCTCAAAGCAGACATTGAGGTGGCCAAAGGCATCCTATCGCTGACAGGGCCGGCGATGTCATGTGTTCTGCATACATACTAGGTATATACTAGGTTCATAGTCTCGCAATGGATGACAAGCTTTGAAGCCCAGCTGTCCCTTCGACAAAACCATCCACTTCGCGTGCTGAACTCACGGATTTCACCATACGCTTGTAGTTGTCCTTGCACAGAAGAGCTCAGCCGCCCCCGACCGAAGACGGGACACAACAAGTACAGTACGGGGGCACACCACATGACAAAACTCAAGCTGCCAGGGCTCCACCATGTATCTGTGAAGCTGGGCAGATCGGTTGTTCACGGTGTCGGTACGTGCTTTGAAGAGCGCGGTCCGCTGTTGCAGCATCGAAGCCTCTCGCTTGAAGCCTGCTCACGAGTATCTTAAGCCATCTCATGGTCTGCATGCGAGGCTGCAAACATAATGCTGAATCTGGCTGAACGCATAGCCGCCATTTCACACGGGGTAGGGTCACACATCTAGATCTTCAGACTTAAGACTGGCGCGATCATGATGGGGTGTTGAGGGCCTCGGACGTGAGTGGAGGCTGCACTTTCCATTCGGTAAATGATTTCGGTGTAATAGTCCAAGAGCTTGGTCCACTTGTCAAGCTCTGGTGGCGGCCCTCCGGGTGTCCCAGCATGGCCCGGAGCACCTTTGGCCCCTAGAGCGCCCAGCTTACCTTTGCTGCCGGGAGTGCCGGGAGTTCCTGCAGGACCGGCGTGGCCAACCACGGAGGCGCCGGCTGGGCCGGAAGGCCCCACTGGCCCCGCCGGGCCTGTTGCTCCCCTTTGCCCGGTCGACCCTGCGTTTCCGTACATTCCGGCAAAGACCAGACCTGGCCGGCCAGCCTGGCCAAGAATGCCTTTGCTCAGATTCACCGGCTCCTCGGACTCCACCGGTTCCGGATGCTCCGGATGCTCCGGTTCCGTCTTGGAGTCTGTGATGTCTGCTGTGGGTTCTGGAGTTGATGCACTTGACAGCTCGTTCACCACATCTGTGGCAGTGTCAACCGCACCATCCTCAACCTCTACCGTGTGCGTCCCATTCACATCTCTGCGAGACAGGTGGGTGAAGGCTGCGGCTTCAAAGCGTTGCCGCACACGCTGACGTTCTGATGTCACATAGCTCGTGCCTCTGGACCCTACACTCATGTCCCTTATGTCCTGCCGACGAAGCATCGGGGTTTGAACCCCATCATGTCTGTTCTCCTGATCGCGCTGGGCTTGATGAACACCTGCGAAGCTGCAGCTCATGTGCCATGGGTCGCTCCAGAGCTCAAACCGCTCTACTTAGTACTTGCGAGCTTTGCCATCTGAAGAAGCATCTTACGTTCATCCTAGGCACGCGCAAGGCCGGTTGCGGTGAGCTCAACCGAGTGTGTGGCGCTGGAAGTTCGGCTGAGCAGGATGAAGGACGCCTGCTCACTGTGATGACAACGCAGTCTTGACAAGACATCTGCACTAAAAATTGCCACAGCCCACCATCAGGGCTCCTGAAAGAAAAACTAAAAAGACTGACACGGAGCTATGTCGCTAGGTCCGGCCTGCAGGAGATACAGTACAGTAGCTCTGGATTGGAGCGACAACAAACCCATCGCCAATCACCGCTGTGATCTATGAAAAGCACATGTGCCCCAAGCACATGAGCTGAAGGCCTGAGCCCTGATCTGCTGCAGAATGAGTCTTTGGAACACGCACATGGGCACAATTGGGCACAATTGGGCACAAGTGAATCCATCTCCGGTGCTCAGGCGTTAACAGATGCAGGAGGGCTCCAGTCCTGCGGATGGACATGCAATGGCAAACTTGAGTTCAGAAGAGTCATGGCCAACGGTAAGGAGCTGTGGCCTCAGAGCCAAGGGCCTCGATATCTTCAGTCTCTGCCAGGGCAGGAGAGTCATGTGCTTCCTGCTCCGATGAGATTCAATGACAGTCACCAAGCTGTCTGAACTGCCGTCGCCTGGGGATCGCCACCTTTGAGCAGTACCTTGCCGTTGAGCAAGTTGCGCACGGTCAGGCAGTGGTATTCGGTGATAACCTTCCTGCCTCGACCTCCTCGCCGAAACTGGACCTCAAACTTGCACGAAGTGCGGCGCAGCAGTCCTTCTATTTGGTACATCCCTTTCCACGGCTGAGGATGTAAGATGCGCGCAGATGCACATCCTGGTCTTCATCGTCTGCTTCGGCCACTTCTTCTCCCACAGGCATGCCTTGATCCTGTGCAGCTCCAGTGCGAATTCTACTATTGAATTCTACGAACATTACGAGACCACTCCCACCATCAAATATTTTTGTTCCTCAGTGGTGTTGCTACATGTTGAGTGTCCTCGGCTTGAGCGGCTGTGTTCTCCAGCTGATCATCGAAGTCGAAACGCTCCTTTGAGGATGTCATTTTCAAAAGATCCTATGCGAGGCCAGCATTGAAGACGTGATGGGCCTCTTGATCATCTGAGAACTGCTCCTCATCGGAGAAGTCCCAGCCAGCCTACAACTGGGCCGAGTGACCATGTGATGCCTTGCCAGGTGCATGTGCCAGAAAAGAGAAGAAAGCCTCGCCACCCTTCTGCCGCTTCAGCTCATGCAAGCTGCTGGCCACGTCTGGCACCGCCTCAAACTCTGAAGGGTGATAGATGGCATCCATGGCCATCTGTGTTCTGCATTTGTCTCCTTTGAACTGGCCGCCCAACTTCTGAGCCAAGCTTTAACCGTTCTAACAGCTTCTTGTTTCCCATCTCGTTCTCAGACATCTTACCCTCACGTTCAGCGGCCTCTTCTTCGGCGCCTTCACGAACCGCCATCTCTTGCTTCTTGAGAACCTGTGGTCCACTCACACTCTGAAAACGACTCGCGTGCCAGTGTGCAGCATGTTGACATTGAATGCGCCTTACGCCGCTTCTCTTCCTGTTTCTTGATGCCAGTCTCGTCGCCATGCTGCTTGTCCGGGTAGGCAACGCTCTGGGTCGAAGATTTCGGCTTCCGAGACATGCCAATGCGTGCCACCTCCTGCAAAGAGCAGAAGGCATGCAAGTCGCCAGACCAACCCAGGTCTCTCATTCTCAGTCCCAAGCAGTTCAAGCAACAAAAGCCGGCACCGCCCCATACGCTCAGGGGATACTGAAAGAGTTTGAGCAGCCGGACAAGTTGAACTTGGTCTTGCCCTTGTTCATGCTGCGAGCGTGTGCATGTCTGGTGCGACCGCCCCACATGCCCCATCACTGGGTCGCGGCCCTCGGCCTATTACCTGTGTGAGGGATTGCACGGACAAGGGCCGTGTTCCTTAGGAGTGAAGTGTCCCAAGGCCAACCCAAACCACCCGGCTTGGGGGGGGCGCTTAGGGGAACGAACCCAGACGGAAGCCGGGAACAGTAACATCCGTGAGGGTGGCTGTCACCTTGCTCTTTGTGGAGGCGAGCCTCGGCTAAGGTTTCCGTCTTCCATAGGCTGGAGTGCATCCCCACGCCGCCCATTCACTCACACGCAAAGCTCAAAACTCCATGAGAGACTTTGTACCGGGACTGCAGTGGATTTGAGTGGATTCTATACATGAGTTTATCATCTTCAGCCATTTACTGTGAATGCGGTGACCGGCAGGATACAGCATGGCCTCCTTTCCTCGTTTCCGCATGGCATCCCATCGGTCAGAGATTTCCTGCTAGCCCAACGTGTTCATGTTCAACCTGTTTGCCTTGGACACATTAACGACGAGTGCACTCTGAGCATCAGTAGTTTGCTGACACACGCGCTTCTGCCTTGCGCTCGCAGACTTGCCTGTGAATTTCCGTGCTGGCCTTGCGGAAATCAGAACAACTTGGGCGGAGAATGATGAGAGTGACACTTGAGGCTGGAACGGCTTCGGGTGGCCGCCTGACATGTGCAGGCAGCTACATTGAGTGTCAGCACTCCAGAATTCGGCACGCTTGTCCTCTTTGCCGGAACAAGCTGCTTGCCATGCTTGCCAGGACCTTGACACAACTGATCTCAAGTGCCAATGGCAGGGGCTCCTGCTTATCGGCCTTGGCCCGTAGAGTTCGATTGTACAAGGTCGTACCAGCCTTTTACTGGCCTGGACAACATGTCGGAGCAGCATTGGCGGAGTGGAGGGTAGCATGCTGCAGAATGCTGTGGCCTGACTTGTATGCCGCCTGGCACAGATTCCATGACCTCAGGCTTGGAAATTCTTGTCAGGGCATCAAGTGGGACCCAAATAAGCTTTCTGCCCAATGAAGGTCGGTCTTCACATCCATCGGCCTCGGGTAAACTTCGCTATGATTGTTCGCGTTCTCAAATCATGCTTCATTGGGCTACCATACGTGTACTACAAGCGGGTAGGTTGAGTCACATCTTTGCGTGTGAAGTCACATCTCCCAGTGACACGCGGCTGCGAGCGAAGTCACATCACCCAGCGTCAAGTCGCATCACAAAGACATGTGTTGAAGCCATTCCCCCAATGTGCACGCGCCACACACGCTGTTCTCGACACACATGCAAAATACGCACTTGTTACCGCACGCCTGGGAGGGGAGCACATTTTTGTCAGCGTGAATGAGATTTGGGCTTGGGGGTGCAAGTGGGTTCTGACCAATCTTGGAATTTCGCGAATGCCCAGTGTGCACGCGCCCGAGATGCGACTTTTCCCTCGAAGGGACGACTTAACCTACCCGCTTGTACACCAAGAATGCGGGCCTCCCGGACCTGGCGATGCCGTCTGCGCCCCATGCTGTGCAAACCCCGTCGCCTGAGGATGCATTGACGCTCCGCAGCTCGGCAGCGTATCACCGATCACACATTCAGAGCGGCCCGACTGCAGAAGACTTTGTGCAGCGGCACCCGGTCAGAGGCTTGTTCGTCCTCTGCAGATGACGAACACCACAGGCAGTACTTTTGTGCACTAGGCGACCCCACAAGCCGCTGTCCGGAACGGCCGCTGGAACGGCTGGCACGGCACGGGCGATGTAAAGCTCCTCTCTTCGTGCAGGGGCCGTGCGCACCTGGACCCACTAGGAGCACATCAGCCCACATCACTGCACATCACTGCAGACTGCGGACTGGGTGTGACAAGTGCTGACAACGAGCAATTAAGTGAGGGCCTGAGGCATCACATTATGCACATCTTCACATGGCCCGAGCAGGTTGTGCTGCTGTGGCTGCTGTAAATCTTGCTTGCACTACGACTACGTGACTATGTGCTGAAGCCGACTTCTTCCTGGCTCTTGAAGACGAAGGCTCGCAATGTGGCTGGCTTGACGAGTGCTGTCTGACTTTTTTGGATCGCGTTGAGACTCTTCTTATGCAACGAGCAAGTTTCGTTCTAGAAGCTGGCTATGTCGTTGGTGAGGCATTTTGTGCCTTACTTTCCTGCTTGTTGATCTTCTTGCTGCCGATGAGAGTTTGCAGGCATGTCGCGAAGGGAGCAAAATTTGATGCGAGCAGTAGGATTCAGTCCTTGCCGCACGCTTTGTCATACTTCCTGACTTTGCCCACGCTTTCTTGCAGTCGCTGTTTTCACTTCTGGCGTCTGGCTAGGACCTGCTGCGCCAACATGGACTTGCCTAAGGCAGCTTGTTGGCAACAGCCAGTCTGGACCCACGTCGCTCCGTGTCACTGCGTGTCACTGCGAAGCGGCTAGTGGGGAATCGTCATCAAGGCCAGCCGATGCCATGGATGCCATTGATGCCATCTCCTCTGCTTCCTTCTCTCTCATCTCCTGCTCTCGTAGGTCACGTTCACGCATCTCCAGCTCCTTCTCGCGAATCTGGAACATGTCCAGAATCTTCTGCTTCTTCTGCTGCAGACCCATCTTGTCCTGGACGGACTCAAGTCAAGTCTAACACACATGTAGAGAGGCGACTCAAATTGCCTTTTTGATGAGGCCCTGGCCGTGTCGTAGATGGTGGCATGCGCTGCTGCCGTCTTGCCTTCTTTGTCAACTGCCTCTGCTTTGGCACATGGCTTTTGCACATGCTTTGCCCCATGCACAAGACTTTGCGCCGCGGAAGACTCGGGGGCGCAAGCCGAGGACCAAGGCAAAAAACACTGGGGCTCTCACGCGGATGTTTGCGTTGAACTCCACGAGCTTCTGGGCAACTGCAACCTGTCAGTTGCAGATTTTGTACTTGTGTATTGGCAGCATTTAGACCGTTGCTCTGTTACCAGTATCTAGAATCTAGACCGGAGATGCTGGCGCCTGGCCCACAATGGAGGCATGCATCAGTGGAGTCATCCCTTGCATGTCCTTATGCAGGTGAAGCATGGCACCGATCTGGGCAAACTCGTGCTTTCCAGTGCAATGCGGTAGACAGAAGTATTCTGAGACGAGTGTCCGGAAGGTCCACGTGTGCGTTTCGCTCCAGAAGCTCCTGTAGGATCGGAAACCGTTGCCAGATGTTGCCAGCATGCGGTCATGAACACAAGGTGCGGGCCACCAGCCTCCGCAATATGCAACTGCCCTTTTTCAGCCGCCCAGCTCAATGGTGTTCGACCGGTGACGTCACGCACCTACCAGGTGAGGCAAGTGCGATGTTGAGAACATGCACACGTTGGACATTTCACAAGTCCTAAACGCAGAGACCAGCATCGCCCCTGCGCCTCCATGTCTGCACCACTTTCGAGAAGTACAGATGCAACCTGAACTTTCAGGAAGCTAAAGTCACCAAGTCCCAACCAAGCAAGCGAACTTCCTAGAATCTTCTTCTCGTCAAGGGCGCCTCCAGCCAACCTCTTTGCGCAGCCAAAGTTAAGGCTGTGGCCTGAATACCGTAAGAACACAGACCAAAGCGTTAACATCGAACTCGCAAAATTGTTACTTGCGTGTGGGGGTTATGACGATGGGCTGTGGCAGTTGCCTCAATTATGACTTGCTGAGGCATGGGCCTCAGTCTCCATCTGCAGCTGATTCACATCTGCTCCCCAATCAATCAACTTCTGGACCACCTGAGAAAAGAGTGCAGAGTCCAACCTTCACAGAGTGGTGACCCCATGTGTGCACACTTCCTCCCACTTCTGTTTGTCTCGGGATTGCTGCCTCGCTTTGCCCATTCTGAGCCGCTCCTAGAAGTGCTGTTCCTCTGGGAGCATCCTCCTGCTTGACGTTGCAGCTTATCAAGTCCTCAAGAGCTCAGGGCTCAAGGATGCTCAAGGATGCTCAAGGGTATCATGCCCCTGGATTCAGTGATGGGACGACGCCAGCAAGTCTCCTCCTCCTCCCAAGGACCATCGTCCACCTACACGCAGCAGTGGCGACCCGCTCTTGATAAGCGCTGCCAACGAAGCTTGCACACTTGCCTGTGTGAGCAAGTGCTGACCGGTGGCGAGAAGCAAGGCTGCAACAGCCTCTGTGCTGCCCTGTCGAGAATCATGCTCAGGTGGTGCTTACAAGCTCAAACTAAGCCTCCTCTGCTCTCTGTGCTTCTTTAGAGCACTGCGCTGTGGGAGCGCTAGCTCTCGGCCTCTCTTGCCGCATAGATGAAAGCCAGCTTGTGAAAGGCTGCGGGGCTGGGAATGGCAGCTTCCATGAGGTCGCCCCCGCGCATCCTCGCAATATCTCGGAATCTTCCTTTTCATGGGAATCCCGGTATCCCATGGCAAACTGATACAGCTTCTGCTAATGTTCCTGAGACGGCGACTCCAACAACGCCGCAGCTGTGGCTTTCCTTCCCATCTTCTGAACCTCATGTTCTCAATATGTTCTGAATAAGTTCCCAATATGTTCTCAACATGTTCCCAATCTGTTCTGAATATGTCAAGGAATGTTGGGACTTGACCCGTGCCCACACGGAAGTGCCTCTGGCAGCTTCTCCGCGAAAAGGTCGCTAAAGGCCTTGCCACATAACAACAAGACAGCGATAAGAAGGATCTGCAAATGTGTTTTTCGTACCTGGTGGCGGTGATTGACCTTGTAGTTCCGCTGTTCCGGATCTCGATCTGGCACCTCAGCGAGATAGCGGAAGGGAAGTCCGAAGTGCTTGGCTTTGTGATTTGCAATACTTGAGCTGGAGGCCGGCCACAGAACACAGTAAGGCTGTGCCTCCGGTCGCTTCCTGACGTGCAAGGATGTGCAACGTCATGCAACACAACATGCCTAAACTGTACGTATAGCATGCCAGTACTCAGTACTGTGTCTACAAGCATCTTCAAGCCTAAGCCCTAAGCTAAACCCGTCACCTGGGCAGCGTGGCGGAACACACAAGCCTCGCCTGAGTTGCATGGCAGCTCCAACATCCAGGAGGAATTTGAGCAAGGCCTGAGACTGCTTCAAGATGCTTCGCCCAAACAAGAGTTGCTCTAAGATCTGCCCCCAAATACGGCAGTTCAGAGGAGCATGTTTTCACACAACTTCGTCTGTCTGTGGCGCCAGATCTCAGACATCAGCTTGATCAAGCGGGATCGCCATCTCTTTACCTTTGATGGACTCTTTCGACTAGACCGAGGTAGGGGACCATGAGACCGCGAGAGATGGAGATTATTGGGACGCTGCTGGACACTTTAGCTTCCTCCTCAGCTCAGGCACTGTGAATGTCCCATTCGACGTGAGAAACGTCGATCTCTCCCTGCTCGCCCAGAACACCACGTACCGCCACCTGGAGGTTAGGTAACAAATGGCAACAACAGGACCCCACATCCGCAAAATCCTAGAAACAACAGGCTGCGTGGCTGCAAGATGCTGCATGTTTGCACCTCGACGTTGCTGTCCACAAGCTTTCTGAGAGATGCAATTGGCGCCTACAAGCAGAGCTCAGGCCTCGCCTGGTATCTGGCTGTTCAGATGGCATGGGTCTACCATAGGTTTTCAGGCCTTGCCCTGATGGACATTCTTCATGAGCCTCTTGAGGTGGTTCTTCCTGACGGTTCGCGGCTCTCGCAACAACCAAAGCAGAAGAACATCTGAGAGCAGAGCATAGCCACACTTAGGACGCACGGAATGAAAGATGGCGGTGGCCCCCACAAGCCGCGCGCGTCCCCCAGGAAGCAACCAAAGAAGCGAGGGGCCTCTCTTGCAACGCCAGGTCTCCACGAACCTCGCGAGGGGCTCGATGCAACAAATGTGCAAGCGATGACAGTCAAGGAATTCAGGGAGTACAGAATGATACAGAATGAATATCCAAGCACCTTGTGCACCTGCTCCAGATCCAGCATCTCACAGGCTTCTTGGCACACTTCGGCCACCTGTCCAACTCTTAGCTGGTCCTAGCTGCTCTATCGCCAAAGCATAAATGTGCTTCAAGCCTTACGAGTGCTCTTCAGTCTCGGGTTGCTTTGGCAGTTTGTGGCTTTCGCTGGATTGTTAGGCCTTCGTCCCAATGAGCAGGCATGACACGGCGCTCAGCTTTGATCGATCGCAGTTCGTCACGAGGTTGTCCATGAACCTAGTCAGGCTGGGGGTTGTGTGGGATTCGTAGACTGCGATAACAGGTGCTCGCTGGTTCCGGTTTCGGGCTTCGGCTCGATATTTGCCGGGGTTCACGGGTACCCACCACCTACTTTTTGTCGGCCGGTGCAACCTTTTTGAATTGTTTTGCAATTACGCTTCCGAGCGTCAGCAAATTGGTAGAAAGCGAAGTTGTTGGTGCATCTTCGCTTGCTGTGCGGTTGTTTTGCCTACTAGTGCGTCTTCGCATATCGCACGGTTGCTTTGCTTATTGACGCGCCTTCACCATCGTGCGGTTGCTTTGCTTATTGGTGCGTCTTTGTTTACTGCACGGTTGTTTTGCTTAAAGGTGCGTCGTTGCTTGCGGCGGTTTTGCTTGTTGGTGTGTCTTCGCTTACTGTCGTGGTGCATCTTCGTTTGCTGTGCGGTTGTGTTGCTTACTGGTGCGACTTCACTTACGTTTTGCTGTTGGTGTGTCTTTGCTTGCTGTGCGGTTGTTCTGCTTCTTGGTAAGTCTTCACGTACTTTGTTCTTTAATTCTGGGTTTCATTGGTGCATTTGGGGGACTTTGGCTCCCGCAATGGAAAGTAGTATTCCCGGAAAGGCTCGGGCCAAAACAAATCTCTTTAATTCACTGAAAGGGTTCAGTTCAATAAGATCCTCGGATGAGGGCTCTTTGGAGTGATAAAAAGCACAAGCCCCGAAACCCTAAGCCCTAAGCAAACTGTATCAACCACCTCCCCCTGCATCCCCGCCCCTGCAGCCTCTTTACACCGGTGTCGTTCACGGTGCGACACCCTTGGAGGTCAAGGAGAATGTCCTGCGCCGCCAAACAACAGCACCTGCTTATATCGACAGCTTCAATGCTGCAAGCCTGTCCTGTACTTCCGGCGACAAGAAATTTGCCACCTCCGCGAGGCAGCTGTTTTTGATACCTGAGCTTGTCTGGCTTGAGACGGCGACAGTAAGGATCGGACTGAGCCACCGGCAACTTCCTTTCAAATCCAGCGTTAGTCTCTGAAGCCTCGCGAGATCTCGCGAGCACATCCATCCATCGCCAACCCCAGGTCAGTGCCGGTCAGCTCCTCGGCGACAAGTTCTTCACCAGAAGAAGAAGCTCCTGAGCCGCAGCCAGGCCGAGTGTCCACGCACAGAGTCTGCTAGAGCAAACTGCGGGTGCAAGTGGTGATTCTCCTCGTCAACAGATGTAAGGCCACCTCGCAAGACCAACGCTTGCAGGAACTCTTAGACAATGGGCCACAGGGGTCACAGGATTGTCACAGGATTCTACCATCCACGCCTCCGCCCAGGCTGACGTCAACTTCAACGTTCTCAACATCTTTCGCCAACGCATCTGCCACGAGCTCCTTGATGAAAGCACAACTGAACTAGAGGTTCAAGATGATTCAAGCCGGCCGCCACGTTCCTTCAAGCATGCCAAGTCTGCACGACCGGGATCCTCACGTGCGTGCTGCAATCCGGTGAGATTTTGGAAACACGGACAGAAGCTGTGGCCTTCTCTTCGAAGACTTTTCGTATGAAGGTAAGCGCAAAGAGGCCGTTCAGCCTTGCAACTACAACGGAATGACTGACTGTGTCATGGTCTGGGGTACAGTCGTTGTTGCATTCTGCCTGGTGTTCACTGCCTCCACATCCGAACCGACAACCTTGCCACAACCCTCTTGAAGGATGTTGCAGGACAGCACGGATGATGTCAGATGATGTCAGTTGGCCTTGACCATTTGCTTCAGCAAGTGGCAGCGGTCCTGGTGCAGAGGTGAAGGCAAGTAAAGTACCGGTCTCACGCGGTCTCACTGACCATGTCATGCCGCAATTCTGGGAAGTTTCCGGACCTCGTCCAGGGAGGTCTGCGCCAACTGAATCTGGTGTCGGAGATAAGTTTCGACCACCGAGATTGGGAATTCCTGGCGACAAACAAACCGTCTAATCACAGCAGTCACAGCAGTGCAGCCAAACTTTGCTTGCATCCGCCTTTTCTCGTGCAGCCTTTGCTGCAAGGCCACTTCCAGGCAGGCGTCCTTCCATTGCCTTTCTGCGCAGCAGTTTTACGATGCAGGGCTCCCAGTACCCCACACATCCCCACACCACCTCCTCCTCATCAATGAGGTTGTAGGTGATGATCTCGGCCTGCTGAAAACCAGGCTGTCGCACTACACTTTTGCGGCTTTCCTGGTCTTCCTCTAGCTGATGGTCAAAGACTCCTGATACCCCACAGTGCTCTACACGCCTTGCCCGCCGCCATTACCTGTGCAAGGGCTCCCTTCTCGTGCTACAGCTGCGAAGGCAGTGTGCTGCGTACTCTGAGCTTCTTGCGGCAATGTCCATGGGTGTTCTCGAGTGTCCATGCCCAGCAGCTGTGCCAAGACACTGCAGCACCTGCCATGAACATTTAGCATTGCTTGACATTGCTTGACCCTGGCGTGTGAACTCCACATAACTCCACCACTCAAAGAAGCGACCCCACCAGCCTCGAACGTGCACCAGAGCCGTTTGGCTCCCTCAGCCGGTCCATCTCCAGTGACGTCCTCCGATCTGCACCGCCGTTCCAAGAATCAGTGGACAAAGCAACATTTCAATCTACTATTGACCCCCTGAATGTCCAAAGTGTCCTGCAAGACAAGGAGCAGCCTGCTCTCGGCTGTGTTCATCGCGGTGCACATGGCAGACCTGATATGCAGAAGTGTCGCTTCTTTTGGTGATCCTCAGCGGGAACGCATCTTCAGGACACAGCTGGTACGAAGTAAAGACACAAGCGGGGAAGGGAAGGCCGTGGCTCTGCTGGCTCTGGCTCTGGGCAGTGGTGCCTGAAGGCTCGCAGAAGCGACAAAAACTTCACGAAGAGCTCGCAACTCATTCGAAACGTTGATGCCTGTGGGCATAAGCCCAAATCCAGAAGCTTGTGCAGCGACGAAGGCCCCTGTCAACATGAGCCAACTCACAGAGTCTCAAGGCTGCCGTGGTTTTCCGGAATGCCGCAATGCCTAGTCTGCACGTGCTGCCCGATGCACTCCACAAAGGAAGCATGCCTGCTGCAATGCACCCGCTGCAAGACCCTCAAAAACGACCCGCCACTAGCAGTCGTACATACGAGTACCTACGTCAACATACCTCACGGTACCTCATCGTGTCGGGCGGCTTAGCTGGCTGGGATTGAATCAATTGGCTTCCGTCGAGCGACATCATAGGTTTCCTGTGCCAAGGCACGGCTGAGACCAGCAGTGGCTGACACACCAATTGGCCGGCTGGGCCTGCAAGGAACTTGCTTGGAATCTTGGTGCCTGTATTCCTCCATCTGTCTCTAACCAATTCAACCCGAGAGAGAACTGAAACCCTCAGCGCAGCGATCGCTATGTGTCCGCTCTCCAACCTGGTCTGCCATAAGCTCAACGAAGGAGCTTCGATATGCCTACCATCGGGTGCAGCACAATTCATCCGGTAAAGCTCAATGTCAGGCCTCTGTCGCAGGCCAGATCAGCCAGGAGTCCACATGGTACAAGTTGAGAACCTTAACTACACAGCCCTACACTCAGATTTGCAGACGACAAAGAAGGTAGTTGGTGAATCATTCTGCTCATCGCTTCCTGGGTTGTGAACTTCCATTGTGAGCGCATTGCCCGTCCTTGGAGAGGGCGGGTCCTGCCACATTGCTGAAGCGCAGTGGAGGCTGTGAGGCTGGGCAGATTCGATTTCCGTGTCTTCCTCATCGGTGATCTCATGCCAGTGGTGGCAGGATTCGTGACAATACCTTGTTCGGTGAAAGAAGCCGAGCAGACAAGGGTTGAAGCAATCAGCCGAAGGCGCCTAAGGACTTTTCGCAGTTGTGCGACCGTCATAGACCTGCATTTTTCATACAAAGAAAGTCAAACGTCTGTCCACTGCTTTTGCAGCAATGTTAGCACTTCGGCTGCCTGTCTTGCACCTTGTCGATGTACCCTCTGAAACGGAACCTCTGCTGCAAAACAGCTAAACCCTCCTGTCAGTCTCTTACAAGGCTGCAGAATGCTGCAGACAAGGCTCTTCTTCGACAAGTTCTGGATGTGACCCGTATCGTATTCCTGCGGAAGGGTGCTGTGCGATGGGTCACGGAGAGGCATATGGCTGAATGCTGTGCGATGCTGGAGGCATGGGCTGCTGATCTGGTTCCCTGGTTATCTAACCGAGACAAGTTCAAGAAGATGCACAAGAAACCCCACGCCTCGCGTTTCTTCTCCCCAAGGGCCTGAAAGAAAGCTCATGAGCTCTCTCGCCCGGGGCGTGAAAAGTTTCTGCGTCCAACTTTGCCTCCTTGATCCGCCGTGCGGCACCCGGCAAGTTGAGGTTCTCTTCGCACAGGCTGGCCACCGCCAGGGCTCGCGGTTTGTCAGAGCCTAGCAGAGACTTCCCTGAACAGACTTTCAATAGATCAGTGTAGGTCGGTCGGAGGGGCCAACTCTAAGGCTGCTGCGCACAACGCGTGGTAGCTGGCGTGCCTGACCACGCCACTGGTTCCAGTCTCTTGCATCCCCGGCTGAGCGCTGATTTCTCTGAATAGAAGCCAAGAGGCATCTGTGACCGCCCTCTGGAGCTCATTCCGGGCTTTCAGCATCATGTCCTCCATGCGCCCAAAGCTTCTGAAACAATCGGGTGCAAAACTTAGACGGTGCTCGTCAATGCTACTGACATGATATGACATGCCTCTTTCAGGCGATGCCCGGACTCGCAAAGCAAGGCGCCAAGCTCATAGATGACCTCGCAGAGATTTCGGAGAAACGACTCGGCCCCCATCAGCAAGAAGATGCTCTCAACTTCACCAGGAGACCCGGAGTTTGCCCTTGTCTGTGAAGGACTCCCAGTTGGAATTCTGCAGAGCGAAATCTCGAAGTGTCCAAAGTCTGCCTGAGCCCAGAAATCTGCAGAAATCCGCCCCGTAGCATAGCAATACTCATGTCGGGTTTTGTCTAAACTTCTTTGCCTGAAGATGTACAATGGGCTGTGCCTCATCGACAAAACAGCTGCGCCCCACCTCTAAACGAACCTTAACCATGCCTGCCTGCACAGGACGAATGGGCATCTGCTGGTAAAGACGAGAGTTGCCAAATAACTTACTAGAATGTCGCTGCTTTGAAGTCAAAATTACAGAAGCCCCAAAAGCATCTTGAAGACCAGAAAGATTCGTAGAATTCCGCCCTAGCGACTCGAATGGGGGCTAAAGCGGAACTCAGCGGAAACAAGCCCAAATTTTACAAAAAAAACAAACCTCTAACCCATCAAGAACGGCAGAAGAGGGGACCACTAAGGGATTCTGAAGGGATACTAGGGCACATTAGCGCCAAGGCTGTGTGGTTTTTATCTCCCAAGCCATCCTATGATTCAACATACTGCTTAAATACTTTGCTAGCGTGAGGCCGTGTTTTGTCTAGCAGTCTAGCCGCCACGTTGGGGTTTCCTACTTGTGCACTTGGGCTTCGCCTCAAAAGAGGACGAAACCTGCTCCAAGCATAATAATGGCCGCGTCCATCATGATTCCTGTGCCGCCCTTTGTGACACTTTCCCTGTCTTGTGTTGAAACTCTCGCGATGCCCCGTGCCAAGTCACAGTCAGGGCTGAGTTCAGGCCAATGGCTCCGCTTGACCTGCACCATGAGATGAAGAGACCAACCGCAAGAGCTGCAAGAGCCTTGCCTGGAGGTACATATACTCTTCCGCCTTCACCACTCGCTCCGAGCTGGGTTGTTCGCTGCCTTGGTACGGGCCACAGTGCAAACTGACCCAAGGTGTGCTTAGCAAGGGTAGCAAGGGTCGGGGCTGCTGTGCAAGCGCGGCAGTGACCGCAGCGATGGAGCAGAAAGTGACTCCGTCAGCTTGGCTGGCCTGAGCATCTACAGTGCTCTATGCTTGCACACGACAAGGTCGGATGGCTCTCCTGGTGGGAGTCGGGTATGCAGCGACTGCCATGCTTGCAAACGGAAACTGAGCTTGTTGCATCGTCCTGCTCTTCGGATCCATCGCTATTGCAGGGGCACATGCAGAATGCTGCTGTGAAGCGAAGGGGAAACTGACGTTTCAACATTTGGTGCACTTGGTATGTGCGGTGGAGGCCGGGCTATGTCATTCTTGAGGTTTATCGCGTGTTTGGAAGTTCACCCCTTCAGGCTCCCGTCTTTGACGGTACCTGAAGGGAAGCCGGTGTCGCAAAAGACGTGGCTTTCAAACATTGCGGTCCAGCTGTTGTCGCTCTCTCCTTGGCGGGCATAGTTGTCGCAATGCAATGGCGCGCAGCGGTAGCACTGCCTTTTGTAACGTCACATGTAATGAGCCTGTCAGGCCAAGTGATTTGCAACACTTGGTGATTCGCACAGCACGTGGTCCTAAGTGGTCCGGGAAAAAAGGCCTGAGAGTGCCAGCAGGCAGCCATCACTTCAGGAGGCTTCAGGTTGCCAGCTCTTAAAGCTGCAACCCATTCCTCAATGCAAATAGATGCCGTTTCTTTTTCTGTGTGGGAAAAGTCCGGCACATTTGCTTTGACAGAGTTGTATTCATCATTTGTTAACTTTCGCTGACCTTTTGAGGAATTGAGGAGTGTCACGCGGCTTGTCCCTTTCATGCGAAGCACATTGCTGAATTCCAGTCTCTGCTGTCCTGGACAGAGGTCCAGTCATTCGCAGGATCTGGCACCTTAAAACCTTTATCTCTTGAGCACTCGCAGCACTCTGGGTGCCACCACCAAAACGCTGCCAACTCCCAAAAAGAGAAGGCTCATGTAACTCATCATACTCAAGCTCAAGCAGGAAGTCCAGGCCTCTGTTTCCACTGGCGGTGGCGCAAAAGGCGCGCGCTATAGCGCTGACACGATGCAAAGAACCGCCGAGTGCTGCGCATGCTGCACCGCAATGTCGCTCTCTGTCCTGATTAAAAGCTGCGGGACTTCTCAAGCTGGCTTTCGCTGCCGGTAGCAGTCCTAGTTTCTTGCACCTTGCTGCCCGTGCTGAGATCCTGCACAATACCCAGGCTGTTCTTGATAACTTGAGAGGCGTTTGCGGCTGAAGGTCGAGAGAAGTGATTCCGAGCCCGAAAGGTAGACAGCGCTGACTCAGTGCTGACTCAGTGCTGACAGCGCAGACCAGAAACACAGCGCGGCCAACACATGTGGCAACGTATAAAAGATCCTCCGAGGCAGGCATCGCAGCCATAGCATCACCGTCTGGCACCTGCACTGGCGGCGAGGCCTGAGGTCATTCGAGGAATTGGTGACAACATGCAAACCTGGCCATACTTTCTGATATGGTTTGATGACAGAAAACGCAATGAGAGAGGCCACATAGGCATTGCCAGGACGGAGAGATCTCTTGGAATCAGGGCACCTTTACCGTGCACTGGCCAGTTTCCCAACCCGGGCAGCGGTCTTTCATCGGAACATTCTTCAGAGCAGCATCAATGTGGAGTCCTCAGCCTGCCAACGGCAGTCTTCGAACACAGTCTGCACTAACTCACACAAGCCTTCTCAATATCAAAGCCGGGGTCAGTACCAACCCATGTGGTCTTACCACACGTTTCACAACGGCTGGAGCGGCCTTGGTATGTGACATCACGTGACACCGGAAGAAAGTGCCAACAGCGTACATTGCGTACATGTCAACTCCATCCTACTTCAGCCTGGTTGCACATGCCAGGGACAGCTTGCACTCCGTATACTTCGTGATAACCGTGATAGCCAAACTGCTGCGTGGCTTCGAGAATCATGGTGCAGGGAAGTTCGGCTGTGTCCTTTAGGTTCCATGTCAGGCATACTAAACCGTTCCACATCTTTTCGCAAAACCTATGCTGAGGACCACGTGTTTCGGCCCGTGGAGACTGCCTCGGAACACCTGCGCCCAACTTTCAGAGCAGTTCAGGTCCCGACTTGGCAGTGTCAGACTGGTGCTTTCACAGGCATCGCTGGTCACCCGGAGGTGGCCCTTGCGCAATGATGCCACATGCCATCGATGTGCCGGAGTTTGTCGGGGATGTCGTGCTCGATTTTCGTTTCTATCATCTTGAAGACAAATACTTCCACAGGACGGTGAAAAAGGCGCTCTGCAGAATGTTTGTGAACACCCGCGTGCTCAGACCACGGAAGAAGATGCCACTGATGCCGTCCTCGCACAAAGGAAAGCTGCTTAGCTCATTTCACAGCCCACGGACATGCCCCCTGGTTTTAACTTCAAATTCTGCGCGGATCGACTAGAACGGCGAGAAGTCGTGGGCCTATGGTTAACTAGTCAGGCTCGACATGCACTTTGCCCCACTCCCAGTCCGAGGCAACGATCTGCTGGGCTGCAGCAACATATCCACAGTTGACATCTTCGCTCGTTTGCTTCTTCGTCTTTATGACACGGATCGAATTGGCGACCTCACACTTGTAGCAGCGAAACGTCCGCAATTGCAGCTTCAACTTCCAACGGATTTGACACGGCTCAGGGCATCCCAATATTCCTGGAATGTACTGCAACCCCTGCAGGCTTGAGGCATGCCGTTCTGCATCTGCATCGTGGAAGCAACAGCCCCAATTGCTCATGCTTCGGGGCAAGCCGAGCAGCAACGTCGCTAATGGAAGAGGCAATCGCACCAATGAAGGCGCTCCTTACACGTGACTTTCCACTGATGGAAACCCGGCAGCTGCAGAACCCTGCACGCTCCTGACCAGCTTCATGAAGTTTCCTGCTGGCACAGGCACCTCAGGAGACATAAGTCCACTGGTAAGCAACTCACGACAACCAATGATACAGTCAGCTAGTCAGGCCGAGCCACACGCTTCTGAAGCAAGTTCATGGTGAAAAACCACGGATAGTTTCCAATGACGTTCGCCATGTAGTTACCCTCCCAACCAGCCCACAATATTAGCGGGCCACCTTTTGAAACCTTGTCCTTCAACATGATCCAGCCTTTGGTTCCATCTGTCTGCAGTATGGTCTTGCATGTGTCCACTGGTGTGATGATGACCCGCCACGCGGCACTGGAAACGGAGCCGACAAAGGTCGTCACCCCAACCGGCACCTGATTAGGTGCAGTGTACATCGGCGAACATTCGGGAGTGCGCTGAAGAGCATGCAGCAGGCATCGGCATAGCAGGCAACATGTACTATGTTCGTGAAGCCATGCTTTTGCGAAGACCCATCCTGCGGAAACAAAGCGCCCATCAGTGCCAACACCATGTCGTTCGAGGCGACATCACCAAAGCGAGAAAGTGGCGCTTGGAAGATTGCCCAGGGAAAGAGACCTTGATACAATCTGGCGATGCCTGAGCTGCCCATGTTCATTGACAGGATCATGAACCGACCAGCCCGAGCGAAGATAGAGTCAGCGACAAAGACCGACAAATACAAAAAGGCTTTCCCTCTCTTCACCCCGCCCCCCTCCCCCCGGCGATAGATGCGAGGTGAGTTGCCACCCTCTTGGTACAGCTTCTGGAGTACTGCACGCAAGGTCCCGCCAAACTTGTACCTTGCATCTATATATCTGAGCAAGCAAAGCCAAGACGACGTGGGAAGCATGCCATGCAAATGCAGATGAGTTTCTGGTAGTTCATTGCCGTCCGTAACCACATGAAGGCAAGCACCTTCAGTTCAGTTCTTGGCAATCTGCGCGCACGTGGGTGACTTTAGGCCTAACGTGGCACAATAAGTACCACTCTGGATCGGATCAGCCTGGATGACATGGAGTCATGGAGCAACTCGGCCTGCATGGTCCCAGCTACGAAGCCAGCAGAGCCGCTACGCCATGCTTTCTGCAACGCTTGCGCCAGCACGGCGCCTTGCCAGGGGCAAGTGGGTCGTGTGTGGCTTGCATGGCTTCACCAGAGGGTGGCAAGCAGACTTAGACTTCGATATCTACAATTGAATGCAAAGACTTCTAGACCGCAGTTGTGCCCTGTTCCAGCTCAGCACTCCAATCAATGGTTTAATGTTTCAGAGAGCTGCACCGACGGCCGGAGAAATTAGGGATGTTTGTTCTTTTTGGCTTTTGTTTGCTCTTGTGTTGCTGCTTCTACTCGTACGTCACCACGCGACAACAAGCGACAAACGGCAACAAACCACAACAAAGGACAACAAACGGCAACAAACAAGCAACAAACAAGCAGCACACAAGCAACAAACAAGCAACACGCAAAACAACAATCAAACACACAAGCAAACAAGCAATCAAACAAATACCACAACAATCATGAACAAAAACAACAACCACCAAACAAATAACAATGAAACACCACAAAAAAACAAGCAAACAACACACAACAACAAACAACAAACAAACAACAATCCAACAACAAACAAACAACCAAACGAACACCAACAAACAACAAACGACAACAAAAGACGACAAAAGACAACAACACGCAACAAACAAACAACAACGACCTTCAGTACCGAGGACCCCCTGGTGTGCACATGGACTCTATTCGACGCGTAAGAACAGGTACCTTTTGCAGCAGCAGTGGTGCCACCCCGGTGGGGTAAGGGCAAGACCGGGAAAGGGGCGGGAGGGGAGGCGGGGTGGCGAGATTCGTACGTCGAGATGTCTCAGTTGTGATCTTTCTGCCTTGTGTCGGGAAGTATGGCGGCAAGACTTAGAAGCAACAACTGAGAGGTGCTTTTGTTCGGCTGAGAAGGCAAAGAAGGGGGCGAGATCATATGAGTTTTTTGTTGCATTCTGTCAGCTCTTCCTGCTGAGTGGGCGGGAGCATACCCCTGCACCGTCTGCCTGTTCCGCAGCGAGGACTCCCTCTTACGGGCACAGCCTCCTAGAAAACCCTCATCGGAGAGCCAAGCACGTGAGATCAGCAACTATGAAAATCTCGTCCCCTGATCTGCCTTCACAGAGTGCCTCTCATTCAATCTGCTAGTCTCGCGCCCCTCTCCCGCCTCCCCCTTTTTCCTTGCATAAAACAAACGCGAATCAGAGATGACCCAAGATACACGAATGCATCGACAACCCCTCCTGCTCGGAGCACAAGCAACTCACAGATGACTCACGTCGACATGCAATGGTATGTACTATGCACATCATGTCCCCTCTTCGCATGCACCGGTCTAGAGAGCCCGTCGAATATGGTATCGTCAAATTAAAAGGGTATCTTGAATTTCGTTTACTCTTGGAGCCAAGCATGGACGGCTAAAACAAAGCAGCTCCGGCGACACCATTTGAGGCAAGCCTGTCACAAATTCGAAGACAAGAACATCGTCAACACAACTACAGCACTTAACAAATCCTGAACACGTAGACGGTTTCCTTGAGTCAGGCCTATAGGAGGCTGCTGTCGGACACTTTCGACAGACGAAGCTGCACTTGGGCAGAGCCATCGTGCAGATGCCATGTGACCAAATTTGAGCTGCTCCGAGCTGCTCGGAGCTTCCGCTCAGAACCTGCCTTAAAGTTGCTTTCTGCTGAGCCAAACAGCAGCAAAGGCTTGTGAAGAGCAGACACATCTCAGAAATCTGCCGGCTGTTTCGAACGAAGCTTGTGAACACATTTGCACATACACTCGCGGAAGGCTTTCTGAGTTCCCGCTTCGCTCTCCACATCCACATACGGTGAGCAGTATGTGATGTCACAGACCCCGAGACTCTCGCTGGGTTTACCCAGGTGAGTCTATCTACCCAATGGAACCCATCTCGAAAAAACATTTGCAATATCACGGGCAAAGCCCGAACAAAAAACACTCTGGCTTACAGGTTGCAGGCCCGATTGAATATTCTTTCTAATGTTTAATGTCTTGATACGATGGCCACCTTCTGTAAATCTCCCGCAAAGGAGCAAAGAGCGTCAATGACCTTCAGCCCACACGTCGAACTTGAGGAGGTGGCTGTAGGTCCAACAACTGAAGGATCACATTCGACAAGGGCGGCTTTTGCAGAATGCAGCAGACCTGCCTCTTTGGCGATTTCATCGCCTGGTGCGACAGACAGTGCATTTGCCGCCTCGGAGACCTGAGCGAACAGCCATGAGCGATGCGGAGCAATGTGGAGAAATCTTGAACAGCATGGAGCAATCCTGGCCCCCCCAAGCGGTTCTCCAGCTTTGACTCCGGCATCGATGTTGGGCCCGAATCCAAGCCCCATGGCAAGGCCTTGCCAAAGATACGCTACCATATGGTATGATGCAAAGGAGTGAACAACCGCATTAGCGAGCCGCCTTCATGATCCTCGTTCGTCCTTAGTAGGATGTGGCCAATGGCTTCGGCATGACTTCGCTACTTGGCCCGATGCCAAGCCCATGGCTCAGTAGCATAGCGCGCAAGGATACAGCAATCCTGTCAGATTTTGCATAGCACTCATCACTTCCCAAACACGGGCAAAAAGGCCATCGATCCGTCAAGCGCTGCTGAAATTCGGCAGATTCTTGAGCACACCTTGGTTTGTGTTGGACAGCTGCAATCAACAACCAAGCGACGTGAAGCAACTGCTTGGACTTTTGCCTCTCCGATGAAACGGCACGTGTGGCTTTCCCTGCACCCTGCACCGGACGGGAGTTGGGTGTCACTTGATTCCAATTATAGAGCCCGGGCAATCCAGGCCTCATCACGCTGTTGTAGAATACGCATAATGCCCTGCGGGGACACACCATGGGGTTCTAACGTTCACAGTAAGGCCTGGCGGGTGAGTCTGCCGGACGCATGGGGTGACGCACCCGGCCGGCGCAAGGCACACCGCACGGTGCACTTTTTGAATCGAAATCGCGCTCTCGCCTGGTAGTCGTGTAGCTCATGGATTCTTGACGTTGCCGCGCTTTCAGCATCGCATTCGGTCAATCGCGCTCTCTCCTCGATCCGTGGCAAATCAAGCTCCAGCCAGTCCCGCAGGTGCTGGGAGTCGTGCACAGGACTGTCATCCCTGCCACGCTTTCGCGACATCGAGTACTGTAGGAGTTCTTCATCCATGTTATTGCCACCGGCTGGCAGTACTACCGGTGGCGATAATTTGCTCTGTTGTTTACTGTTGGAGGTTTGCGTGGCATCATGTTTGCAGCGAGCCCATGTCTTGGCACCTCGTAGCGCCGAGCTACCGTCTTCAAGGGCAGGGAGTACGCATTCCTCATGTGACTCATGCGATGTGTACAGCGTGTACCGATGTGACTGGCCAGCTTCAGGCCCGTGGAGCTCAGGCCACCGCTGATTCCGGAGCTCCAAGATAAGGCCAAGCAGGAAGCAACGGGGCTGGCACAACCGCAGGGCCACGCCAGGACCGCAATGCCGCGAAGTGCCACACCAGCTGTCACATGCAAAATTCATGGCTTCGCTAGGCCTTGAGGTTCAGATTCATTATCCCGACAGCCACGGGATTTTGTCTCAAGAGCTGAGCCTGTTCTTGAAACGGGCACATTTTGAGGACTGGCTGTAAAGGCGACAGCAGCCTCGGCTTTATCCATCTGGGAGCAAGTGACCTTGACATGGAGTTTTCACCACTTGCCATGCGACCCGGTGCTATGTATAGGGCTGCGGCTGCCTCTGGCTCTTTGCCATTCGAAGCAGAAGCCTCAATCTTTGCGGTAACATCAGGAATCCGACAGAGCCGGCGTTGATCCACTCTCTTTCGCAAGGCGGCATCGATGGCGCGTTGCACTGCGCCCTGGCAGACCTGTTGAACTGATATATGCAAGAGATCGTAGTAGCAATTCATAGCATTTCATAGCACACTGCTCACCGACATTTTGGCAAACATAAGCACATGCGTCGATGCTTTCTGACTTCAGATTCATGTTGGTCATGTTGGTTGAGCTTTCTCGTGCTTCTTCTTCTTCTTCTCAGCGCTTTAGAGCCCCCCGGAGGGAGGAACCCGGCCACGATGGCCAAGCGGGTTCGCGGCAGTCCGAGCTCGGTCCCCAACGATTTTCATTTTTTTGGAGTGGTCAGTTTCACCGCTGTCTTCTCTATCGGCTATCGGGTCCTCTTCTTCACTTTCCGCCTCAACACCGGCTTTCTCGTGCTCTCTCTCTCTCTCTCTCCTCCTTCTTCTTCTTCTCCATTTCCATTTCCTTCTCCTTCTTCTTCTGCGCACTTTAAGTCTCTCTGCCTCTGCCTCTGCCCCCGCCTCCGCCTCTCTTTCTTTGGGGCATGGGGGAAACCCTCCGCGCGGATGCGCGCCCCGATCCCGCGTCCAGTCGGATCTATCACTCACGCGGCGGTCGTATTGACCGCAGCAGCGCCACCTGACAAGGGCCTGGTATCGACCCCCGCCACGCCCCCCTTCAAACCCTTCTTGGTTGCCCCCTTGCCCTCCTTCTAAACACACTATCCTTAGCCCCAAGTCAACGTCCCATCGCCCCCAACCACCCTGCAACTCAACCCTGAACAGTCCCCAGCGAGTCCTGCACACAACCTTCCCGAAGTCGACCTCCCTCACCCACGCAAGGCAGCGCCTATTGCTTCTCCTATGGGTGGCCTAGCTGGGGCATTTCGTTCAAGTTTGCGGCGGCGTGTGAGCGTTCTGGCCCCCCTTCTGAAGTCCATCGGGGCTAGCCTCTGAGTGAAACTGCCACTTGGGCCCCATTGCTGTCCCCCACTGCCTAGCTCAGATTCCCCAGCCTACACCCTAACACACAAGGACCTACCCGCCTGCTAACTAATTCCCCTCCATCTCCTCTCTTCCGTGGCATGCCATGCTCTGCTAAGCATTACTCTAATGGACAGAAAAGCAGAAACGCTCGGGGCAACCCAAGGACACCAGGCCTGCAAGGCTTTTCGGGCATCTCCGCCACTTGCGGCCACACGAGCAGCACAGAGCAGCAAAGCCTGTGGCAACGCGAGGAAACGTCGCGAAGACTCAGAATCTTAAAAGGACCCTGGCGTTGCTTGTGATGGCAGCTTCTGCTCCTCCAGCTCGCAGTCGATCTGCCTTTCAACAGCAAGCTGTTCTGAGCGATAAGGGGGGTCACTCTGACCGTCACCAACACTCTGAGGTTGCCGCCAGGATGGTGTGAAGTTGGTCTCTATTGTAGGCTTCGAAGTTGACGCGCCGGATACCCAAGCGACTGCAGCAAACAAGAACTGATATGCTAAGAGCTAAGAGAAAGCAAAGGAACACAACCTTGACACCCGCGGCAGTAAACGCTCTGGCAAGTCGATGGTGTTGGCGATTGCCTTCCGTAACGTGAAACTCCACATTGGCAATGCTGTGCAATGCTTGCAGCGGCGCACCACCACCACCAGCCGTGCAGCTGGTTGCGACATCCAGTCGAAAAGGCGATAGAGCACAGTCTGCCCCTCAGAGGGAAACAAGACCCATGCAACTGTCTGTTGATGTCTATTGTCTACACAAGGTTGTCGGAGTCCACACAAAAAAAAAGCTTGAGCTGAAGAACTCTGACAGACGAAAGACATGCGGTGCTCGACGAGCGACTCCGCAAATTAAGGAACTCCAACAAACAGGGCTTCTGCTTCCTTGCCTCCATTGTTCGTTGCCTTGGGTAGGAATGGCTGGAACGCGTTCTCGATGGGCGCTTCTGTACTGCTCCGCGAGCACATGAAAGAGACGATGGGGGAAGGTGAGGTGAGGCTAAGGAAACTCATCCGTTCTCGTGGTGTCCATGTGGCCAGCCAGTCCGCGCACCGCAACATACACTGCGTCGCGAATTGCATTGTGCCAATTCTCGTCGCTCGCAGTGGTCGTAATAGGTCACAACGCTACTGTTGGGAGCGTTGTGAGCGCCAGAGTCCAGTTTTTTGCACACCGCCCGCGTGGCCTCTGGTTGCTGTTCGCCTTCATAAAGAACCTCTTACAGACCGAAGACCCGATCGACGAAACTCTGCGAAGAAGACAAATACCACATCTTAGCACCGCTGGATACCGCAATATACCGCCAATACTGCTCTCAGCATTTCAATCTCAACCTTTCTTGCTGCTCTTGGGTCCTGGGTCTGAAGCCTGCGTAAGGAGTGCATCGACCTCATCGATAACCAGAATGATCACCTTTCCACACAGGGTGCTTCAAACATATGTGGGAGCAACAGCCTCTCACTCTCGAGCCGACCTCGCTACCAGCGCAGGTCAAGGCTTGCCGCAAGGCTTCCTGCTGTACCAGCCAAGCACAAAGCCATGTCGACCAAATGTGTCCAACTTTGATGTGCTTGGAAACCGTAAATGTTGACTTGTGCCATCCAGATCATTGACGTGAGCTCTCACACACACAGACAGTTGGACATGAACGCTGCGATCAGCCTCTCCATCACTTGCACTACGCTTTCTCTTCTGTGGTTGTCCGATGACCTGTTCGCCAGAAGACAGCAATAAGTCAATCAGTGGCCATAGCTGTGGGGTCTCCGTGTTGTGTTAAGGGCACCTTGCGCTGGATCTCCGCAAAGACAGCAGATGGGGAAGACAAGCACCTCAAAGCTCTGCCATTGCATGGTGGACGGGCGCAGGTCAAGCTGCGAAGCCCTTTAGGCTCAGTAAACTCATCCGTCGTTTGATGTTGGGTTACCGCTTCCAACTGGAAGTTCTTGCTGGTTTGAGCGAGATCCGTCGGGCTGCAAGTTTCACAGGCTCTCCAAGTTGGTGGAGGGTAGCCAGAGGGCCCCAATCAGGGACCTGAACCTTCTACAGTTCAACCAAAAACTTCTAGGCGACACGATTCGAATGTCCAACGTTCGATGGACCATCATGGTATTGCCGCAACGAAACCGTTGACCCGTCTTAGCTTGCTGCATTGCGTTCACATAAGCAAACTTGATCGGGGTCAGGGTTGAAGTCCTCACGCAGCTGCACTTACACGTCTTGTACCTTCCTACGAGAAGCTGCCTTACGTGACGACCGCATCTGCAACACATATTGTCGGATTGTCCTTGCTTTCTCCAAACGCTTGACCGCGTCCAGCACAGAAGCGGTTTTTCCGGTTCCAGGCATTCCCGAAACGTAGAGAACCTTGTAGAGACAAGGCATGACAACTTCAAAAACATTTCAATACCCAGAAGAAAAAAGTTAGGCCCTTCTTGGCCCCTGAGTTCATGAGCCTCTTTCTTTCCGCGGCCGTGCAGGGAAGCTTTGAGGAACTCCATGACCTCCACGACGTCACGAAGCATGGAGGGAAACATGCGGAAGGCACTGAGCGCTTTTGAGGCTGCTGCACCAGCTTGCTCCACTTCGCGGCAGGGGAGCATGCCTTCGGAAGCGAAGGGCCGCAAAGCCTCAAGACCCTCTTCAACTCTCTCAACTCATGCCGGAGACTTCGTCCGAAACTTCGTCCGGAGACTTCGTACAGCCCTTTCTGCCCCCATGATGCTTAGTATCGGGCTGCGAGCGCCATGTGGAAGACCTCCTCGTGGCAAAGTTGGTGCCATGCACAGATGGAGCACGAGCGTACTGGGAGTGTGCCTGAGGTCCGCCTCCAATCTTCCGGGGTGCCTCCTTCGCAGGAAGCTCGAACTGCAATACTAAAGTCCGCATAGCTCCGCTTGGCTATGCGTGGCTAAACACAACCGGGTCAGCGTCCATGGCACATGCCATTTCCTCCTGTTTCGGAAGCCCGCGGAAGACCCGAAGGCATTCCTCTAAGGTTTTCCAGCGCAAGAAAACACCAGCTGCTGAAAGTAGTGCCTCCCGTTGCTTGTCACGGGCATCGTCCCAATCCAGCTCCCACCTGGAAGACACTTCGATAACTTGGCATAGAAGCAAGCCAATGTCTGCAACAGTGTGGGCGCAACACAGCATATCACCATCTCCCACTGAACGGCAGCAAAACAGGCTGCCTGCACAATGAGGCATGTGGGCAAGCATGTGGGCATGCTAACTTCCAGGTGACGACACTCTTCATTTTCCCTATGCAGTCCTACAGCTTGGAGATCCACATCCTCTGAGATCTCCTGCATGGCATAGGCCTCTCAGGCCCGTGGTGAAGGCTAATGGCTAATGAGCACGAAAACGAGATGAACCACGCCAGCAAGACGACTGCTATTGATTCACTGCCTTCTAGAAGTCTAGAACCAAGATTTGCTGTAAACCATTCAATACTAACCCCCCTTCCCAATTCTTCAGTACAAAGACGTTACTGGAGTGCTCTATAGAGGCTACCAGATAGATTTGCACTCTTTGATATCAATGCTCAGTTGTTTGTGTTTTTTCGGTTGCCAGGCCAAGAGCTGCAGCGCAGGTTCATGTGGCAACTTCCTTCGTCGGCATTTGCCAGAGAATTGCTCTTGGCAACTTAAAAAGAACTTTTGCTGGGACGACTTTCTCAGAAGATTTCATGTGCTGCCTATGCAGTACTAAAATGCAAATAGGAAGTATCGGGATCCTAATTGCCGGGATCTGAACTGCTTCGTACGAAGTACGAAGCGACTACGCCACAAACTTCGCTCAAGAAACTCATCAAGCCGCTATCCCTACAGAGTTTCCAGTGCCTCGGAGAAATCTGCACAGCAAGTACTTGCTGACATGTTCAGAAAGTACAATCCCCCGAACGGATATTCGAAGCGACTACCATTCACCATGGCAACAGCTGCTCACAAACCCATCACTCAAAGTGCACTACAGTTTTCAAAACTAAAATTTCACACCAACTTCATTCTGCAACGATTTGGCCATAAGCACTGGACTCCCACCGCGACGCGTCCCGGAACGCAAATGAATCAAAGAGAATTCTGTGCCCTTCGGCATACCCCCTTGACAAGGCACGCACAAAACATATCTGCCCAAGAGGCTACGAGGCAGGAACCTGGACATGCTTTCGTGACATTAAGCTGTTCATCATCCGCTTCTTCACAAGCAGGAAGGTTGCAGTTTATGGAACATCTTCGGCCGTTACGCGCAAAGTCGTGTCGTGGAGTTGGGAGACTTGACGAGCTAAATTGCAATTGAATTGCAGACATATTTTGCTGCAGCAAAGATACCCGAAGCATATAGAATATGTCACGGCGTTGTTTCGAAATATTACGTTCCAGGAAGAAACGGAGACAGAACCAGTGCAAGAAAGATAAGAAAGAGAGACAGCAAGAATTAAGTGCCAAACAACTACCAGTAGGACAGATAGCAATAAATAGAAATGGTCGGGGTGGAGCGCCTCACCCCCCCCCCCTGCAACGCATGTTTGCTTAATAAAGAGTCGCTGTGGAATACTTTAGTGCTTTTTCACGTTGGACCAAGCAAACCAAGCCCACACCCAAACAACTAGAACATCCTCAAATAAACAATAGAACTCGTGCATGTTCCTATGCTCTGGCAGCGGCCTTCTGCGAGATTACCTTGAGAGGCCGCCCCCGCAGCGATGACAAAGGCAGCTCTTCACACTGGAGCGGGGAAGTGGTCTTCTTCATACAAAGATATCTGTCAAAGGAGCAAACGTTGAGTGCTGTTCTTTTGTTCTCGCATCTCTCGGAAACGGAGGGATACTTGCCTGTACTTATGCATTTTCTTGCGCTGTAGTGCGCCTTCTGAGAGGCGACCAGCTCCTTGGCGTGAAGCGTGGCCCTGCGCCGCTGGACTGTTCAGTGAGGGTTGCAGTGGCTGCCACATACTACAGCCATGTGGCCTCAATGCTGCTCCCTTCCTCATCTCTGCGAGCTCTGCAGCTTCGTACATGTGCCTGGCACATCAACCGGTCGAAGGCATCGTCAAGAACGGGGGCGCAAGCGTGTCATTTGACACAGCCTCAGCACCATGAGTTTCTTTGCCCCATCCTGAGACAAGCCGCATGGGCGTGGGTCTTGCAGGCTTGCATGCTTGAATCCGTCCTCGCAGAGCTCGCAAACCTCGCCGCAGAAAACGGATCCTCGACCTTTTGTAGCGCATCGTTGGGAGAAGAGAAGCAAGGTCATGAGAGGTGCAAGATCTTTGGGAGCAGGGAAGCTGATGCCTCCAATGGCACGGACCACATCACCCACCTGCCAGTAAATCATGTCCCTCGACATCCTCCCAGCTCTAGCCAAGGCCTTCAGGACGAAGCTTACAGTATGTCCTGTGGAGAGGAGGCAAGAATTGGCAAGCTCATGCGACCAAACGGTCTCGACGTTATATCGGCACAGCTCCACAACTTTTTCGTGAATCAGCAAGGTTGGGCAAGGAGAAGATTGCTATCTGCAAGGGTCATCGTGCTGGCTAGAACTGAGCGGAAATGCGCACGGCTTTGCGGGCATCCAATCAATGATCTGTTTGCTTGCCGTCAGCTACCAGCAGAAGCGTCAACGACTCAACGAATCGGTCGGCAACGCCTGGTGTTTTTCTGGCACCTCAAAAGGTGCAAGAGTAGTGGAGGATTAGTGCAGGCATTTGCAGGCATTCGGGAAAATTGTACAGCAATTCTAGAAGCCGGCCTTCCTGTGCAGCATTCCGCATCGATCCAGCACGTTCCGCCAACATCCGTGCAGTACCTTTGGGCGTCTGTCACCTTGTCAGAGCAAGTCAAAACCTTTTGCGGCCATAACATGTCAGATCTCTGTGGCCGAATGATACTGACATGACCAAGGATGAAAACCACACACCAGACTCAAACCAGCACGGCCCCGGCTTCAACGCTACTGCCAGAAACAGGACTCAGAGCACAGAAAAAGGCACTTAGAGTAGCACAAGAATTCAGACTTTTGCATCCAGGCTTCAAGCTCTGGATGCCTCTAGACCGTGGACCGCAGTTCAGACCCTAAGTCACGAACACCCTAGACAGCCCCACCCAGACATCTACAACCGCTGTACAGCTCTGGAACCCGAGGTCTGAACTTCTGGTGTGGGCTTCATGAGTTGGAGGTGTTGGCCCCTTGACTGAACCCTGGTTTTGCGTATGTCGATCTGTGTTGTCCGCTTGTCTTTCCTGTTGTCTCAGCCTTCATGTCATCGGAATGCTTCATGAACACGTCTGCGCTCCAGGCTGCATCACACGTTTCGTGGCACAGAGCCGCCACCCGAGAGGTAAGCAAGCGATGCGCTAGCGATCCTTTGAACTTTGAACTGTGTTTCGTGGTACGTTGCAGGGCGGCTGGAGCTTGGAATTTCTAACGTCGCTTTGGCTCTGGGAGCCATTGCCTGGCATTTCCGTGCATGCTACCAGTCTCTGTCGAAGACAAGGACAAGGCTTGAACATACAACCAACAACCATGCATACATAGGTAGCAGTGCAGCAGTACATGTCACATAAACTTATAGGGATCTTGTTGGGGGGGGGGGCACCGCGGGGCACCTGCTTGTTCTGGACTCGGACGTTTTGTTGGATATCCAGCAACCCCACGAGCGGTGGCTCTGCGAGCGGCGGCTCCGAGAGCGGCGGCTGTGCGAGTGGCTCCGCGGAGCGTTCTTGAGGCTCCGCATCGCTGGAGATGCCTTTAAGACTGGGTTTCGCAAGAAACGGCAAGAGAGCTCAACATGGCCACGGCATCTCACGAAATGCTCGGCCTTGTGGAAGAAATGTGACAGTCACCAGCACGACAATCAGGCGCCCCAATCCGCTGCAGACAGCCATGCTTGCGAGCTTCGTCGGAGGCTGCTGCCCAGGTTCTACCTAGATGTGGTCAAGTCAAAGAGGCCCTAAGAAGGGCACAGCTTGATCCAGGCAGGGGTGACGTGATGAGTGATGGAAAGTGACACGATGTTTCAAGCTGCAAGGCGGCAAGGCGATCAGCAGTCCTGGAAGGTACTCAACTCGATTGTGCCGTCGTCGACTCCTGCTCAAGCGCTTCTGGTCCCTGTGACGGTGAAAGTCCATGCAAGTGCGAGCTACAATCTAGCTACAACTCACATTCAGGCCAGCAGCGTCTGTCCTCTTTCCCACTGTACGCGTGAAGGGACGCACCGTTGACTCCTTCTAGTGGTGCAGCAATAGGCACATGTACAAGTTTAGGACGGCGAGACTGCCGGCACCTCTTCACCGTCGCTGAGCCAAGTAAAGTTAGATTCAGACATTGCGGCTTCAGTGGTTGCCCGACCTGCAAAATGACGGCCTAGTGAAGCAGTGGGGGAAGCACTCACATGATAGAGCTCTTAACGCTTGTCTCACCTTCTCATCATCAGATCACTCACGTGACTTCATGTGGATCGTTGTGAAATGCGCGGCCTCGTATGAGTGCTTGCGCTGGAGTCACAGCAGGGGATTTTGCATTGTGCTCCGGCACTTTCAGCCCTGGCCCACAGGTGCATTGGAGTCATGGCTGCACGAAGACAGTAGCGTAGCAGCGTAGCTCTTGCCAGCGGCCTGTGCTTCTTGAGACAGCCTCCTCCATTTGCTTCAGCTTCTCCTGGCCGCGCAGTTTGGCAGTATCGGCAGACTTTCTGAAGTTCCATGCAAGCCTATGAATCGGAATATGGACAGCCCGGCTGCGCTCACATGCTCTCATGCTCAACAACCCCAGAGGTTCCCTTGAGGAGGGAGCAAAAGCACAAAGAGCCAGGCAGGCAGGAGGCACTGGTCCGTCCACCCGACCATGCGCCAACGCGTCCTCCTGCAAGAGGGCCCCAATCACAGCTGAACCTTTCCCTCTGCGAGTAAGAACGGTCGCCTTGTGGACAGCACAGAACTGACTTCCGCTTCGCGGCTTCCTGAAGCAGCGAGCCGCTCCGGCACATGATGGCTAGTACACACTGCAGGCTGAATGCATGCATGCTGGACAGACCGAGGGCAGCCTCGTGCACTGTCCACCGTAGCCTTTGGCCCATATCCTTGCCATGCAAAGGTCGTTGCAGACCTCAGCAGGCAACAAAGACAGCTTGTGCAAGGGAAGAACAATCGCACCTTGCCTCTTCCCTCTTGGGTCCTGGTTCGAAGCGCTCGAACTCCTTGTCTTGGCCGGTGTTTACGCAATCTTCATGGAAAACACTTTCCTGCCCAGCCTGCTTTTCCGCATCATGGGAGTGCACTTTTCCGTGGACCTTTTCCGGCACGGACTGTACCCTGACGGCTTTCAGTGCACAGGGATCTGAGCCAGTGTCGCAAACAGCGTGAAGCATCTTTCAGCATTTTGTCGAGATTCTTGGCGGCAGCCCGTGCGTTTGCTGTGCAAAGGGCACTGCGCTGCGTCACTGGGGCCACCATGATTCGGTCGGCCCCGGCTGATTGGATGCTTCCACTGGGGTTTTTGAGGCTTCCAGTTTGGACCCTCCCTGTAAAACTGTTGCTCCGCAGTACGGCGCCTCTGGATGTGGATGATCGTTCATAGGAGCTCTCCAGGCCCCTACCATATCTGGGAGGGTTCAGAAGGGGACTCTCATGTCCGGAAACCCCATGCCGGCTCCCACTGCACCCAAGTGACTTGGACTGCGAAGAAGAGAGCCTGACTCAACAAAAGGCTTCGTGGCTCCCCCTTTGGCACCTTTCAAAGCACATGATGACGTGCTGCGTTGCGTTGTGGGGACTTGGCAGATCAAGTATCCATGCCCAGTCCAACACTGCAGACGTGTGTGTATTGCCAAGTCACCACACGCGTATTGGCCTGTGGACTGTGGACAGCTGCCTTGAGCCTTCCTAGGTCCGATTGGAAGGCCAAAGCCCGGCCAAGTACCGCACGAAAAGTTCCTTCCCTTTGCATTGTAAAACTGACGCTGAGACAGCGAGGCGTTTGCCCTCTTGTGCCATTTCCAGCAGTACAAATACATTTATGGCAATCGAAGCTCGCGCATCTGCGTCACGACGGCTGAAGAAGCAGTTAGATACACTACACAACTTCTCAGCGCTTGTGCGATCAGTTGCATGCATGGCTTTTGCAGACGCTGTGACGCTGACAACGTATATACAGCTTTTGATGTTGCAGCACGAACAGCGAAGAACAGCGAAGATTAGAGTTCGTCGCTCCGGCATGGGCTTAAAAGAACTGGGAGCGACGAGTGCTCAGCGTTGGCAGGCTCCGATTCTCTCCGATTCAGCTTCTCGTGCGGCCTTGCCACTGCCAACTGCAATCTGGAGCATTGCCAAAGTACGTGCCAGAGGTCCACCATCACAGGACTCTGGCGCGTGAGAAGTCGACGCTATGAACATCAAGCCGGCAGCTCGCGCTCTCGCGCTGCGCTCACTGAAGGCTTCCCCCCGGCTTCCTGTGCCATCCAGCGGTCGGCCAGCTGGAATGGACCTGGTGTGCCAGGGCCTCGAGTCACCTTGAGGACAGGCAAGGACAGGCCGCAGGCTGATGGCAGAGACACTCCCGCTCTCTCCCCCCAAGCTGCCAGGTGCTAGGCCCGCTAGGCACCACTAACCTATGCTCCAGAAAAAACACATCTTGGGGGGCATTGTCCTAGTGGTTGTAGCTGCTGGGAGCTCACTCGTGTGTAGCCAGACACAACCCGACTGTTCCGGAAAGTGGAGGTGCTTGCGACATCTAGCTGCCCACCCTCTCTGTCCTTCAGCACTGCGTCTGAGAGTTACTCCCGATTCGGACTTCTCACATCTGAGCACTTTGGCTGAACATTGCTGCGCATGTCGGGAATCCCACGTTTTCACGGCCTCACACTCGAGGCCGTCCGATCAGTACGGACTCCGACACGTTCAGATGCAAAGCAAATTTCGACACTCGGACGGACAGCACTCTTTCATCTTCACTAGGCAACCCCTTCTGCAACAGATCATTCTTTTGCTGGTTCCTCAGGTTGACCACCTTACTGGCAGTGGCGACTCATGGTAATTGCAAAGGTCATTCCTTGTGCTGAGAACAAGAAGGCCGCTGTGGCAGCTGCAGCAGAGTGACAGAGTCGCCCTAGCAACACTATAACTCACCAAGAACATGGTCATCGCAATCGTACATGCTTGCTTTACCTTGGATGCACTTGTGGCGCATTGCCTCTCACAGATCTGCTTTCATAATATTTATGGAAGGAAAGCCCAGCATGCACAGGCATGCTGCTTTCTGCCAAGAGTGCTGGCGCCGACTAAAAAACGTAGTGGGGCAGATTGTGGCCCTGTGCGTTTGCCAGGGAGCAACTCTTTTGAATCGTCACGTTGTCCGCATGCCATATGTCAACAACAGGCGGGCTCCCTGGCATCTGGGAAGAGCTCACCTTAGATTTTCGCCAGACTCACCGCGCCCTGGCCAAGCACTATGCCTGAACCAACTGCAACAGAATGTCAAAGTCGGCGACGTTCATGCATCAGCAGGTCGACAGCAGCAACACCTCAAAGGGGATCAGAGGGTGAGCATGCTGTCAGACAGCACATGCGAGAACACAGGGGAAAATAGGGCAGCAACCCTCACGTCGCTCCTGTAACAGATCTGAAGCAGCTGGCTAGCCTCGAAACCGCATCAAGCATCCTAAAGGTAAAAGTGCAATGCAGAAGTAACATGTGCTCAGGCTCAGGCAGTTCGTCTGCATCATCATCATCGTGAACTTGTCCATTTTCCTGAGGCATGCAGGGCAAACTCTTGAACGGCCCGGCTCATGATTGAATGCTGAGCCCCGCTGCGGAGTTAGAGTCCGCGGCCGACGCCACGGAACGATTGCTCGAGGCAGCAGTTGTCGTCTGCAGGGAATCAGTGAATGCAAGCTGCTTAGCGCCTTAGAGGCCTTAGAGCCTCTGAGTCTTGTGAGGTTCCCTGTTTTCTAACCAAAATCGAAAGATCCAATCTGTCGTGGGCCTCTGCCCAAGCGCGCGCTTCGGGCTCCTGTCACAGGTACGCTGTGTGCAAAAGGTGCAGACACAGGGCATCGGTCCGAGTCCTCCATCCGCGGATGGCCAGTATGTCGCTTCGATGCCCACCTGTCGTGGATGAAGCCCTTTTCGTGTTCAGCATCGCTTTCGGAATGTTTTAAGAACTTTTAAAGAGGCGCCTGAGCACGCCTTAGCTGAGGTCAGTACTGAGAGTGGTTCGCACCGCTGCTGAGACTGTTCACTACGCTTGTGGAAGCAGGGCCTCAGGCAAATTCAGCTTGGCACATCCTTGTGCATCTTTGCCCCCCCGCATTTCTTACTCGGCAGGAGGTTCATGGCCTGTACGTTGCTCGGAGCATCCCTCCTGGCTCAGGAAGCAGGCAGAATAACAAAGGCCGGACATCACATCAAGTCCAAGTCTGGTGCCATCTCCCAACCGGTGTAACCTGTATGAAACATCGAGAAACTGTCTGTCATAGCCGATTCAGACACGTGGTCGCTCAGCTGAGGCAACCACTCGCGGATGCATCCTGCCATGGCGACTTGCTTGATAAGTGGCGACAACCAGATCATCGCACACAGCAATGTGCAGCCAACATGATGCTCATTTCAAAGGATTGGATTCAGTTTTGTGGCCTGCGGCCAGCCAACTGAGTCGTAGCACTCCTGACAGGCATGTTCCATTATTCCATTATGTTCCACACCACGCCACAGACACTTTGCATCATTTTGCAGTACGTTTTGTGAATCTCAGGCCTCGGGATGCAACTCGGACTCAGGATCGAAAGCATATCCCCCCTGCACATGGTCTACATCTCAGCTCGTTTACTGAGTTTACTGCCAGGGCCAGGTGCCTCCATCACCTCGCTCATCCAAAGTCCGAACTCAGGATCTGCATACTCCTCTTAACATCAGCCACAGAGTCATCGACAAAAAGGGATCGGCTGGGCTTGCAGAACAATAGCGCTGCTAACACTGCATTCGGACCGCGCACCTCACCCCACATCCCATCATCCTGCCACCGCTCTCAGTTCAATCCATGCTTGAACCAGCTCTTCCGGGAACTAGGTCGAAACCTCGGGCATGTGGTACTGGGCGGAATCCCATGGCATCACTTCTTCAACTTGGGCTCCTGTGCACAGGACAGGTCAGCACGCGGTGCGTTCCACAGTTTTCTGCGCTCTGTACCCACACTCGAATTGCATTCGTTTCCGAGGTGATCCCGGCGATCCCACAAGAACCCGGTCAGCGGCATCATCTCCGGATTGTCGTGCCAATGCCTGCAATTCTCAGTGCGGGGCAACCTTTCGTCCTCTTCTGCCTTAACCTACTCTGACCAGAAGCTTGTGCAAAGATAGCAGAACAATCGAAAAGCACGGGACAGCAGAAGTACTCTTCGATGTCTTGCAAATATGATCAAGATCTACGACTTTCTCAAGTGCGAAGCCTCGCTATACTCAAACTGCTAGTTCATTTCTACCAAGCTTTCATGGGTTTCTTGTTTCCACCAATTATTCTTGTTGTTCTTTTCTTGCCATTTGTTGCAGTTCATTGCCTTCGGTCCGCAGGCTCTAGGCGACTACGATTAACAGCGGGGTGGTTGGGGGAGGCCCCCGCCCCCCCCCCACCCCCCCCCCCCCCCAATTCAATGCTCGCATGACGGGTTTGGACACCTGTTCTTGTATGGTTGTTGAAGCAACTTCATTTGGCAGCTTGTCGCATGAGGGGCTTGGAAGGGTCCTGCAGAAAACTTTTCACCTTGGAAAATCCCCCATCCCCCGCCCCCCAAAAATGGCAAAACTTGGAGAAACAGCATCCCCAACACAAATACGGAGCCAACAAAAGCAAGAAGTCAAAGGAAGAAAAAAGACAAGCTCCAAAAAACAACGCAAACAAGGGAACCAGCTTCCTCCATTTTTTCATAGGAAGCTCTGTGTATTTCGTCTGGAAACCTCTGTTTGGCCTTACATATTCAACGGGCAACCTCTATTTGAGCCGCAACATTCTCATGGGGCTATTTCTTTTCGGAAACTTCTAGTTCCTCTGCGGAGAACCTATCATTCCTATACTTCAAAATGGAAACGATAGTTCTCCTCTCTTTGAATAGGAATAGGAAACCTGTATTTCCTTTGTATTTTCACCGGAAGCCCCTCTATTTCGTCGATACAGACGATTTTTCCGTTCCCCCCCCCCTCCAGAAATCCGCGTATGGAGATAGCTTCTACAGTACTTCGCCAGATCTCCACGAGAAAAAATCATTGCAGCCCATTATTTGGTCAGTGATGCTGGCTACGCTGATGCACTTTGCTCGTACACGGATGCTGTGCACATCTGGTCGCCTCAGAGAGAGCTTTGGTCGCTCGATCCCCGAAGGCCTGTTCAACTTCATACCTTCAGAAGACACGAGCGAGTGCAGCTGCAAGAGTGTTGTGATCCGGGCCTCTTTCTTGTCTCGGGTGATGCGCCGCGATACTTCGCAGCCTTTAAGGCCTGATGACGATCAAAAACCGAATGGGTGACCATTGTGGGTGGTGAACTGAAGCTCGGCGTATGTAGATGGCTTAGCGTGAGTGCCAACATGCCGTAAGCTTATTCGGAACGGCCACACAGGGCCGCCGTGGGACTGGAAGCGCGTTCCACAGTGGAGGCAGTGCACCATTTGGTAAACATCAGATACATCAGACTACAGTGGCTGTACGTGCACCAATAACCTTCACCGACATTCTGACATTCTACTTCCAAAACTTCCACTGACAAAGAAGATTTGCCTGCTCAGCACGTCGCTTCAACTCTTCACCTTGCTTCACGAGGTCAGCTGGATTCTGGATGGACAGACTAGGCTTGCTGTGTACTGTCTACTGTGGCAAGTTGCCGGCGACGCTACGAATGGGCACCGGATCGGTGTTACTCAGGAACAGACTCGGACTCAGTGGCCTAAGTTCGACTCAGGGCTCGTACACTAAGCATGCTCTTGCCATGAGCTGGGGGCGAAGACTCATTCGAAGTGACACCTGAAACTATGAGTTTCATCGCTTATTCTTCTTTGGCGCCATGGAGCTCGCAGGCTCTGCGCTGACGAGCAGCCGCCATAACCTTTGGCTCGCAAAGCAAACTGTTTTCACTTCTACAGTTCAGTTTTTCAGTCGGCTTGTCCGCATGCCTCAGCAATCTTCTGTGACATCTCACTGCCTTCTTGTCCCTGCTCCTGGTCACAGGAGCGCTGTGTATCGGATCGACTGCCATCTTTGCAGCTGATTCAAGTCTCGCCTCCGATTCTTTCTTTACCTTCTCACGGCTGGTCCTATGGAGTCGCTGAGAGGCTCAGAGTGTAGTCAACTAAGATGCTGCTACGAGTAGCGAATGAGCAGTGGCAGCAATGGCCTGTCAAGCATGCGAGGCACGCTTGATTTCGGAGAAAGATGCTTCTGACGTGCAGCAGCCGCTGCAAGGGCCTGTGCAGTGGGCCGCAATGGCTTTCTCTCACTCATGGCCGCAACAATACACCGGAACCTCTTTTGCCCGTGAAGACACGTCGGGAGGTGCAGGTGGTGGGGGACAGCTCGGTGGCGGTGGCCTGTCTTCTGGTGCATCACAGGCAGCAACGCTGTCCAACGGAAGGCACCTCCGTGACACCGCCATCCTGCCTCCACCTGCAAAATCTCTAGAGGCACGGCACTGGGCTAGACACGCCATTGGGCCATTTTTGCATGCATTGGGCCTGATGTCAAGGTTGTAGGCCGCAAGGGGCCAACCCCACGAGGGCAAGGACCGCAAGGACCCTTTGAGTAGAGCCACAACGCAGAAATTGGTTCAGAGCCGCCCGCCGCTGGTGAGATCCGACTTGTGACCGTCCCATCCAGCCGAGTCCCAGGACCAACTGGGTGCTTGGTTTCTGCCACTGGCGCTCAGCGTCTTGCTATACCGCAGCACACTACACCTGAGACGTGGTGAAACCATGTGTAAGAATGAGTCCTAATGAACCCATCAAAGCTAGGTAAAATGAACAGTGATCAATGCCATTCTGACATCGTGATCAGGACATGTCTTTTGCATGATCCCGATCAGCCCCCGGCTGCTCTGCAACCCTAAGAACATGACTGTTCACACGAGATTTCAACCAAGAACAATGGAACCGCTTGAAAATCCCGGAAAACTGCAAATATCGATGGGGACTCGCCCGAATCAACTGTCGTGTCGTATCTATCTCCATCATCGTTGCGCACTGGTGGCTCGACATCTCCTGGGGAGCCTTTGCAGTAGTGCCCAACGAGAACTCTAGATAAAATCAGCGCCTTGGTCCCATGCTCTCCACCCCCCTTATCACAAAACCTTAAGGAATACCGTGGGTCGGATGAGAAGTAGGTTGCATGGCCAAGGAGTGTTCCATGCCTCCCTGCAAAGCTCCTGTTGAAGCCCTGTTTGAAGATCTTGGGCACGAAGCTCCAGGAAGTACCGTGCCAAAGCTCTCGCTCCTCTGGAAGTCCATCCCGCATCATAGTGGCCTTCAAGGCATCGTACACGTTTTGCTGGACTAGTGTAGCAGCATAGACCCCTACTAATCGAGGCTTCAAATCTCCAAGCTTTTCGCAGATCCTCGCTTCATTCGCTTCATCTGCCACGCGGGAAATCAATCCCGAGTCTAGCAGCGATAGCGGTAGCGACGCTCCTGGAGAGCCAAGAGAGCCTTCCGGCCATTTCAGCCGAAACGAGGGCGTGTTGCTCGATTTGCTTGTGTTCCCTGGGGTCCCTGTGCTTCGGCGGCTTGGGGGTGTGAAGGAAAGGGATTGCGACTGAGAGCGGCTCCTCCGCTCAGCTGTTCTTCGAGGCGGGGAGGTGGCCGTGCGCCGAATTGGAATTGGCACCGGCACCGCCTGGACTTGGCTTGTGCAGCGCTTCTGATGCGCAGCCAGCACCTCGGGTTTGAATTGACGCTGGCAGACCGTGCACCGCTGCAGCTGGTTGCAGAAGGCATTGAACGAGCTGGTTGCTGCCGGAGGAGGTCTGGCAGGCATGGTTTGCCTGCGTACAGGACGCTTTGGTTCCTGTTTGGGACGCTGTAAACAGACTTTCTGATGGGTTTCCAGTCGATTGGGAAGAAAAGTTCGCTTGCAGAACTGGCAGGGCAGCAGCTTCGAAGGATCGACCGTGGGCTGCCTCGTCTCCACCCAATCCTCGAAAGTTGTTGCGATGGTTTGAGGAAGGCCCAGGCTTCGGACGTTCTCGCAGTGCCGCTGAAGACAGTCGACGCCGGCAGGAAGCTCCCATTCTTCAAGAAGCTGACACCGCTCTTGTGACGGCCGCTTGGACTCCTGTAGTTCAAACCGGCGCTTGCATGCTCGGAGATGCATGTCCAGCGACTTATGCGTCAAATACTTTTGACCGCAGATGTAACACCGCAATGGGGCAGGCGGCGCGCATGCCTCCAAGGATGCTTCTGGGTCTACAAAAGACAAGCCAGACATACAGAGTTGAAGTGCCTTGCTCTCATCTCCTCCAGAAACGTGCAAGGCGACTTTAGCGATCTCAGGCCCGAAGCCCATGCCCTCCAACTTCGAAACGCTGGTTGGATCACTGCCATTCCGCTGTGCCTCCAGCAGAACTTGCCGCAAGAATCTGCCGTCTGAAAACTGAAGATGCACGGACGATTCGCTGTCTTTGCACTCCGCAGACATGGAAGGTTCCCAGTTCCCCCACCTGCTATCTGTTCCTGATGTCAACTAGTCACATGCGTAACTTGTAACTCAAGGCTTCCTGTAAAGGTCAAGCTTGCGTCAAGGCTATGCATCGCGAGACTGTCGGAAGTCGGAAGTGTAGAAACTCGCATAAACCCCACATGTGCTGCTCACTGGGCGATTCTTTCAGAGCCGAAACTGAGCCGAGGGAAAGAACGAGGAGAGGTTTCGAGGAGCTAGCAGTGCTGAAGCCGCGTAGAACATGGGCCCAGCCTGCACTGATGCAACATTTTATGCACTTAACTTGGCAGGCATGCCATAAACCTCTACTACCGCCATAAGCCCGTCCAGGGACTGAGGTGACGTGCGGCAGCACACATTCAGCACACAACAGCTCATACAGCACAACGTGCAGATGGAATTGGATGGAGACACCTGGGTGGACGCGCCGTCTTTCCGGGGGTTGCCTCAGTGGCACAACTCTTGGACACGTGGTTAAGCAAGGTGAAGATGGATTGTGCGGATACTGCAGTTTACCTCCTTGGGCCCACTTACTTGGGGCATCTTGGAGCTTAGCATCTTGGAACTGGTTGGCATCCTTGATGAGTCTCAGCCTCCGGCATGGGGGAATAAACAAGTGAAGCGCACTGCCCGATCTCTGTGCCTTCTTTTGGTGGGCGGCGTGAGATCCTGCTTCTCGCATTGCTTGGGCAATCCCATGGTGGCCAGTGGGTCAAGTGACAGCCTTCAGCCTTCGGAATCTATGGAACTTCGCGATCATGTTGTATGACTAAGCGCAGTCGCATGTGTGAAGCCATGTGATACTCGATTTACTTGCAATGCTGTTCTAACTAGTAGCCAAATTGCTGCGAGTGGACAAGCGGTGCTCGACAGTGCTCCAGCGGACTCCAGCAAGGAGCTGACATGTCTTTTCACTTTTTTTCAAGTCTCGCTTTCTCCAGCGCTCCCCGAGGCTGATGGGACATTCACTTTGCGGGATGCCCCCTCCCGCACATCAGCCAGCGCAAATTGCGGTCTGCGAAGTGTGCCCTCTCTCACTTAAGTGGAATGATATGACTCCCTTACGTTGGAGGTGTTGTGCTTTCACGTGAACTTGAGCAGCATGCAACTTCCTTCATCAAGAACAAGCGCGCTGCCCGTTGTACTGGCACTCCTCCTCACACGCATGTCCCCATGCGCCAACTAGCTGATGATGATGGATCATCGCTTCAACCCCCCTCAGGCGCTTTGTCCCTCTAACCTGCCAGAGCAGGACTCTGCATCATGAAAACATTGCAGCAAACATGCCAGGACAACCTAGCTTCTTCACATCCAGGTGTACTCGATCCTTCGTTGTTGAAGCACCTGAAATCCCAGCAGTCTCGACCAAACTTGATCTGACATGTTGGGCAACCGAAAAGACAGCACACAGGCCTATTGATCGGAGTGACAACTTGCAACCCCCCCCCCCCCGGAAATCTTGAGAACTTGAGCAAAGCACCGTCGGATGGCTGGATCCAGAACTCAGCGAAGGAGCCCGGGGCAGCCTTTTGACAAGACAGATTCAATTTGCATTCATGTGCCTTAAAAAAACGGGCGATTCTCACTTGTAGACCCAGCCTGTCGGCACAAGGATCCGGGGTTCACGAAGAGTGTGTTCTCGATCGTGGTCCTGAGATATTGAACTGTGACCGCACTGACTTCTCCGGTTGAAGTGCCGCTTTGTCAAACACTGCCTGCTTTCTGACACTCTGCCAAAGCCAGCTGCACATCAACAAAGTAGAATGGCATACCGCAGTGTCTTCGCTAAACCCTCCGTAGTGCGAGCAAGCAGCCCATTCATGATGGCCAGCGGAGATGGGAAGATACAGATTTGCGGAGCACCATCCCAGGGGAAATCCAAAGCTTGTGCTTTGGCTTCAAACACCTTTGCCCCCGAAGGGTCCCAATCTTCGGCCAACTGAATGCAAACATGATCGCAGCATGTTGAAAGACTTCCGATTTCCTTCCCTGCTGAGGTGCATACCTGAGCTGGGTCTCGAGGTACAACTGGAAACAGGCATCTCTGCTGTAACAGCAGGCGCAGTGCCTCACGTGGATTCCCGATTGCTTGTCACTATTGGTAGGGTTATACCCGAGCTCATGCTGTACCAATTCGGTTCTTCCCTTGCTGGCCAGCCTCCTCAACTTTTCGACCTTCTGGACGCAGCACCATTTCACGAAGTAGTGGACTGAGTGCATCCGCGGAGGTCAGGCTCACCTTGGCAATGTCCCTGCATTGTAGCGGTAGTTTCTTCGTTCCGATCGCTGCAGCTGGAGGCCTTGATGCCATTGATCTCAATATGGGCAGGATTCGACAGGAAGCGCACCTGGCGACACTGGCCCGAAATTTCGGCACTCCTGAGAAGCTCAATATGTGACTAAAACAGATGGCGGGCTTAATCAACACATCCGTCGGAACACATGCCAGCTGGTCTCCCATCTGCTGCAAGTGCACCAGGTCTGTGGCTTCTTGCTCCAACCATTGTGAGAGCCTGAGTCTGGGATGTGCCAACCATCCAACAGAAAGCTAAAATCATTACAGGCTTACAAGGCTCGAGAGGGTGGCATGATATCCAATGGCGGCTGTGGGAGCGGGTGAAAGTTGACGGCCTTTCCCCAGGACTCCGGAGCCTTCCCCCGACTCCAAGTCGCAACGAGCGCTTTACATTTGGCCTCCTCCAGAGACGGGAGGATGAGTACCTGCATGCCACAATCATGTTTCAACCCCCCCCCCCCCCCCATTGCTTGCAAGCCGCCGCTTTTTGCCTACTTAATGCCTTGGCATGCGAAAGCTTACATCCTATGTGCGCCGTCCGGGCCTGTGTTGCGGGTCTGGCACTTCGAAGCGGCTCCAGACCCTTCCGCAGCTCTGCAAACAGGCGAACGTAGACCTCTGTCCACTCACATCTGAGCCCCATGCTTTAACATCTTAAATAATCCCACGATTCTCCTTGTCCACATGCTAACTTTACGACGGAACCAAAACTGATTGCTGATTGCGCATATCGCACCTCCTCAAGGCAGGCGGGCTCCTCCCAAAAATTTCTATCCCAGGCAAAAGCAAGGGGGCACGGTGTGGAACAGCCGCAGCAGCCTCCTCGCTGCCAGCGCCTCCACCGGCCACCTCTTAGAATGAGTTCTCTACTTGCGAGGCAGATGGCCAGACTGCGCCTCCAAGAAGAACTCTACCCCGAGAACGTTGCCTGCAGGTTGTTGGCATCCAGGAAGGGTCCAAGAAGTATCAGGACCTGGCGCCGGAGCCATCAAGCCATGACCGGGAGCCGTCTGACGGCTGCTCGGAGCAAGAATTCTGCGTGGCAGGTATACTAAGTATGCTGTGCAGTCTGCAAGTCCTCCTGTCAGGGTGCTACTAGAATCGAACAGCATGTGCTTCGCACAGCCGGATGGAAAACAGCCCTGTCCAAGAAGCTTGAGTCTTACGCTGCCTTCCAGCTCCAGTTGGAAGGCGCAAGTGCACCCGGCCATGGAGCTGAGCCGGCATGCATCACAGCGTGATGCAGCTTCATTAACAGGACACGCTGTCGGCAGGACTGGCTTCGCCATTCCCATTCGAATCATGTGATGCAAGGCATTGTCCCAGATATTGTGCAGTAGCTGAGTGAACAGCCCAGCAAGGCTTCACGTCGGAAGTCTCAGCGATCCAGGTGATCTAGAAGTGCCCTGGCCCATGGGCAAAGGATGCGCAAGAGATGACGGAAACGATGATGGCAAGGATGCAACCTCTCGTAAGAGCAGGCCTTCCAATTTCACTGGCAGCTGCAGAACCCAAAGGACCTTGCTGATTGTTTCCTTGACCTGCAAGGGAATCTGTTAAGCAACTCGTAGCTCACAGATGCAGCACGCATTCGCTGAGCTGTTGCGCAAACTTGCCTGGAAGAGCGGTAGGAGCAACAGCAACAGCCTGGCCAGACCTTTGCAGGCAGGAGTTTGCCCCTGTTTTCTCTCTTGATCGTTGTGGTCGCTCTTGAAGCATGACTGACTGCACGAGAACTTTTTAACCTAAGCGAGGCCTGGTCTTCTTCTTTGCGGCTGATTTCGCCACCTTCTTTGGTGCCTTGACAGCAGTCTTCCAGCCCGCTCGTTGGCACAACATGTTGCATCTGCTCATTACTTGAGATTCCTCTGAGAAGCTGTTGGAGTGCCTCCACTTCTGAAGCTTCCTGGGGCAGTGTCTTCTGCTTGCCTGCCTCTCCAGCAATCGCAAAGGGACTCAGGGGACTCTTCGGGAAAGCTGTGCCTGAAAAGTAGTTCGCTCAAGTTGGCCATGCCGAGCCTTCAGGTGCTTGCCTTCAATCTCTAAGTCCTCGAGATCTTGTGAGCTTGCGAACTGCACTGTGCAGCACATCTCAACCTGTAACGCTTGCGTTGCCCAGTCGTCGCCCACATGTAGCTTGCATCAACATGCTGCGAGGGCCTCCAGACGGCTAAGCATTTCCTGCTGCGCGGCTTGCAGCGACTCGCAAAGCCTTTCGATGCCTTCATCAATCGTCAAGATTTGTTTTCATCTGTCAAACCACTGCATGTGCTCATCGTTTAAGTGCTTGGCGGGCCAGGCTTGTAGCATCGAGGGACGCGGCCTCCTCTGCCAGGACTGTACCATGTGGAATGTTACATTCGTGTTGTTACGAGCCATGTCGTGGGCTGGGCTCGAACTCAGACCTGGGGATCCGTTGCAGTGACAGGAGCAGCGCCCAGTCCTGAATCCAGAAACAGCACAACAACACACAGCAACCTGAACCAAGAAGTGATCGGAAGACACGTGTCCTGTCGACGGCGCGGAGCTTCTCTCTGGGTTAGCCGCAAACCCTGGAATTGGAGCCAGCCCGGGGCAGAATGCACCGAAGTGCGAAAGAAGTGCTAAAGCACCACGTGCAATCACAAAAAATCGAACGAATATGAACGAAGAAGTGCCTCCAACACTCTGGCGGATGCTGGTTGCCTGACGCGCTGCATCGCGCATGACCTGATGGCAGCTGCCAGTGGTGCATCACACTCCCAATGTCAGAGGAAGCGAAGTCGGGTTCTGACAGTCTGGAGCACTTGTCGCTGAAGAGATTCCCTCTCTTGCGGAAAGTACCTTGCGATTCATGGGGCACGTGGAGCTTTTGGAGCTTGCCAGCACAGGAAGGTGCTAAACACGAGGCCGCGGCTTCCAGATCTGCTCGATGCCTAAACCCGCAACCCCTAGCCCCTAGCCACTGGCCCCCTAATCCGGAACCCGATCTCATAAGAGTGTGTTGCAGCGCTTTTGCCAGCCTATGATCCTCCAACTGAGGTTTCTGCTGGTTCGACGCAGGCAAGACCTGGGAGACTGGGAGGCTGTCTGTCAAAAGTCCAAAGCCCCACACCACGACGAGATCCAACTTGCACACGGAGCAAAATTTGCAGCTTCAGCTCTACGTTGGAGAGAGCTCCCCACGCCACGACGTACGTCTCTGCTTTGATCCAAGCAGTCCGCAGACTTCCCTGCCAGTGTCGAGAGCTGGCTCGCACTCCCTCCATCACTGTTCTATCCACTACCAGCATCCCTTCTTCGGGAGCAGTGCAGCAGTACCCGCCGTTCTTCTTTCTCTCTCCTTGGGCCCTCTTGGGGAAATCGTGATTCAACAGCGTGCAGCTGTTGTCTGCTGGGGAAGTCGCTTGTTTGCTTGTTCCCCGACCTCCTGTGCTCTGCCTTGTGTTTATGGGTTTTCATCGGGCTTTGCGAGGTACCACTCACCCGTGCTCTCGGAGCTTCGCTGCTGCAGGCTTGGGTCTGATTCACGAGTATTTTGTGCATGCTTGTCCTGTCTCATTCTTCTCCCTCTTCAGCCAGTTCAGAAGCGCAGACAGAAAGCGCCTTGATGAGGGCGACTTCACCGAAGTGGTCTCCTTCCCTCTTCCTGAGATGGCCACTCAGCCTTCCACTCGCTGCATGCTACACGGCACGTCGGACCTGATGGGCAGCTGAATGGCATCCTCGACTTCTTTGGACCTGGGGATGCTGCGCTCGCTTCTCAAAGTTTTTCTTTCAAAAACCCTCTAAACCGATTGCAAGGAGAAGGGAGAAACTCGAGTCCGCGGCTTTCCCTGCGCGACGAGCACGGAGACCTCACCCTTGCTGATGAAGTACATCTCATCAGCTACCTGGAAAATGGCCGGACTTGCAGAGCTTGCGCATTCTTGCCAGCAAGGGAACCTCACCCACGCGAACCACATAGTCACCAGGAAGAAAGGCTTTGTCTTCAAGAACACGGACGACCTGGCAGAACATGCAACGTGCAAGCGGAGCACCTGGGTATCCAAGCGACTTCCCACTCGGCCGCAGGCAGCCAAAATGTAGCTATGCTCCTGTGATGGACAATCCAAACATTGGCTGTCGGAGAATATGGCAAAGAATCATCCTTGTTGTTGAAGAAGCTCGAGCGTAACACAGACTGGTACCTGAAACACGGCAAACAGCTTTCATTTGACATACTTTGAACCACTTCGAGCTTGAACTTTCCACTCATTGAGGTCGCACAAGTAGACGCGAATTGCGTCCTGGCAGTGGGCTCAGGGCAGGCAAAACTACTCACAACTTGTGCAGCTTGCCTCCAATGGAGATGACAGCGTGTGATTCTTGAACAGCTGCTCGAAGGCCTCCACTGCTCTTCTCTGATGCAGCCGCCCCACTCAAAACCGCCTTCGTGTGTTGTTGAAGTGCTCTCTCATGAATCTTTGGCCGCTGATGTACGAGAATTTTTCATGCGACCCTCCGCCATGACATCGGCCCTACATGCATCATCCTGGGAAATCCAGACGGCCGGTCAAGTCAAGCATGCTTCCGAGACATTGTTAAAGCACTTCGAGATTATTGGCGGTGCTGGTCCTTGGGGTACATGAGTCTTCTCCGGACCACTCCGGACCAAAAAGTGCGACCGACCGGACCCGGTGTTGACATGACAGCGACGAACTGCGATTTTCGATGAGGCTGACAAGGCTGAGAAGACAGTAGTGGGTAAGATTAGATGCCTTGGCAGAACGTGCCCGCCAAAAGTCTTGTACATGATGAGAGCGATGCATTAAGATGTCGGAACATCACTGAAGACACTGCCTGTGCTGTGGCCATTGACTCCAGTCTCCATGGGTGAGGAGCTGCATCGGAGCCATGAACTGTCCCGACGTTGAACACTTTGATTGGGGCCGAGGCAACGCGCTACAAGCCCAGTGTATCGCGTGGCTCTAGAACTGCCCTACATCGAATGATGAAAGGGAAACAGTGGCTACAGCGTCAAAGACGCTGGGTACATCAGGTAACCAGGGAACAGCATGTACCTGAAGTGTGAGTCAACCTTGGTGAAGAGAGCGCTGCCAAGCTATTGTTGCATTGTAACTCGTTTGGGTGGGGTGGGGGGGGAGGTTTGCGAAAAAAAGAGCCCCACATCTCTCAAACCACCGCAGCTTGGGAGTGGTCAACGCTGCGCCGCTGCGCCGCTGCACCTCGTAGTCATGGCTCATCTTCTGGAAGTGGTGCAGACCTCGAGCCACCGGCTACTGCGCGGCATCTGCTAAAGTGTACACCATGCCACTTTCGAGCTTGAGATGGCTGAGATGGGCTGATCGTGATGCGTTGAGCCCAAGAGAATGAGGCTTCCGCTGAAGACGCGGCGCTGCAGCTCCTTGGGGACGTTAAGGTTCTCCAGGGCTCGCTTGACAAACGCCTGAACGAGCAGCGACTCTGCGAAGTCAAGATGAACACAGCGTGGACGGTGCAAACCCCTATGGCCCCATGGCAAAATGCAGATGTGTGTGCAAGAGCTTGTATCTGGCTTGGTCGTTCTTCGGATGATTTGACTTGCAACTGCCTGAAGAAAGGGCTTCAACAAACCTGTGCCTGCCAAGCCCTCAACGCAATAAGCCCGGAACCCTCAACACCATTCGTTGAAAACACCCGGGCACCAAACATTAACAAGCCAGGCGGGGTTTAGGGTTCAGAGTCTCGGGTTTATGGGAGCATGTCGAACTCAGGCTTCGGATGTTCCACTCGGCGACGAGAATTCCCTGGCCCGACTCCATCGGGCAGCAGAGAAAGGTTGATTTGTATTGCTGCACCGCTGGGCGGACGCCCAAGTACATCATACATACATCTGTGAGATTGAACCTGCTCGGGTTTACAGCTGGATTCTGGGCTACCGGGGTTTTCTGGATTCTGATTCAGGATTCTGAAACTAAGCCAACAAAATAAGGCTGCGATACTACTTACTCTACAGGCCTAGTTATGGTAACTTAATTTTACGTTCCCAGGCCATCGCCGAGACTAGGTGCATCAGTGCCGAAGCAGCACAGAATCAGGACGTAAGCCTGGATTTCTGCAAACCAAGCCTTTGCGGCTCTGGGGATCGGACTCTACTGAACAAGACCCTAAGGCTCAGGGTTTTCGGACTTTCGGATAGGAGTAGTAGGCGTCGAGCTTTGAGGTTTTTTAGGGCCTTGGAATTCGGATCCCTTATGATCCCTTTCAATGAACTGACCAAGCGGATCATTCCTGCGGTTCTCCCCTCTCACGACAGGGGCCAGCGGCCGGCGCATCCAGATTGTCTGGGTCTTCGCCAATATACATCATCTCGCCCGTGCCAATGCCTTAGCGGTCCAGACCAGCCCCCAGCCCCCCCCAATGAAAAGCAAACGTCTTCAAGCATTGGATCAGAACTCAACCTACGGGACAGCCAAGGTACCGGGCAAGCTTACATCTCGGAGGTCCATCCACACCCACTGAGCGGAAGCAGCCTTACTGGTGAGGGGGGAGTGCGGGTGTGAACTGAGGAGTACCCACTGTAGAACCCCCTTGCAAATCATCCGATTCTCAATACCTATATTCACGTCCCCGAACCCCGCCCACCCCTTTTAAAACCCTACATACCACCTGGAAAACCCTATAACCCCCTACAAACCCGCTAGACACCCTTTTCTGAGTTCTCTAGATAAATGAAGAAATAAGTAAACAAAGAAAAACTGCACTAATTTTTACATATGCAAAAAATATCACCTATCAAACCATATAAGCCCCCCAATGCAGATCTTAAAAAGTCCCAAAACACCAGAAAGGCAGCTGCTCTTCGCAACGTTACGCGGCGAGCCAGCCTGTACTGCGACGTATGGCCGAAGGGAATCCAAACCTCACCTGGGTCTGATGTTCTACTAGTAGCAGGTTTATAAGGGGTTTATGGGGGCCTTGCAGGGCTACAGGGTTGTATAAGGGTTATTTAGGATGTTTCTCATGGTTGTATGAGCTTTATGCAAGGAAGTTCCCCAGTGCTCCAGGTGCCTATAGGAGTACAGCATCACAGTAATGCAGCAGTATAGTAGTCTACGGATGACATGGGCCCTAGAGTAGTTGGTAGACTACAGTTCGCACGCATTTCAGATCTTTCTAGGTACATGGAGCCTTTGGCATTAGCTTCCTATTAAGAAACTCAGAATACAGTATGGGGTTTAAGAAGGACTTCCAACTGTCACGAGCTAATTGTTGTGAATAGGGTTCCCCTGAAAGCATCCTTTCCAAAATCAAAGAGATGATGCTTCACATTGGTATCCCAGTCGCCTACATCGGTCTTGGATTGTAAGCTGCGCGTCTGCGCATGAAAGTCTCGGATCTTGTCTCGGACCCTTATCCACTGAGTCGGCCGGATGAACATCCGAAGGCTGGGCTTCGGCTGAACAATGTGGCTGTCCGAGGTTTTCTGGTAGTTAAAATGCAGGGATACGACTTTGGCCGGCTCTTTCGTGTCGATCTGGATGCTGAGCTCCGTGAACTCAAGAAGTGCTGACAAGAAGGATCCGGTGGCGCAATCGGAAACCGCAGAGTTCACAGATGGTACATGCATGGTACTGGCGGAAATTGAGCCGCTTTGAGCTCGCGAAGGGGTTGAACAAACACTCTCGGTCACATCTGCGTCAAGGAAGGCTGCGTCGGCATCAACCTTCAATGCGAATAGGTGGTACGCACCCTGGCAACCATATAGATGCGGCACACGAACATGGTAAAGGTCAGCACCTACACGATGTCCACCCTTCCTTCGCAAGGACACCCGGAGGCATGGCGGCATGCTTACCTCAGGTTGTACAGCTGGAACTGGCCTTGCTATGAAGGCTTGGAACCGTTCCTGCTCCTCCGTCTCTTGGATCAGAAGCTCTGCAAAGTCCTGACCCTTGAGACTCTGCTGGGGCGACAAAAGGCCGGCGAGCACTGCGCTGTCATCCTGGATATGCAGCGAGTCGTCCAGAAGTATTTCTGCATCACTCACGCCTCGCAGCATCTTCCGAAAAGAAGAAACCAGGGACTCTGCGTCTGTGCATCTAAAGCGCGAGGACAGACTTTCCCGCATCGTGTTTTCCAGCACCAACGCAGAAAAGATCTGAATGCAGGCAAATAATACTGGAGTACCCAAATCATCTCCTGTGAAGCTCTGCCAACCATTGGATGCAAGGGAAGCTAGGATCTCGTTTATAGCAAGGGCAATCTGACCGGGCACGTGCAGAGTGCAATCAACGTACATGGCAAACAAACTGAGTTGACCAAAGGTCGTCAAAGTCCGCTGATGCATTTCAGCCGTGGCATCCTTGGACTGACCGGTCCAAACAAAAGCCATCGTTAGGATGTAATAGCAGCCAATGAAACGTCGCAACTGATGAGATTTTAGGCGGATCATCCCTTTGACAAGCGCCAGGTGAGTGCAATATGCAGCTGTGTTGGACAGAAGGATGCAAGCACACAGTAGCAGATTCTTTGAAAATATCATGGGGGCCAGAACGAACGCCATGGCGTTTGCCTGGAGCAGCAATTTGCTTGTGTGCCCGTAACTTTCCTCCCTCAACTGGTCCATCGCTTCGTCGACCCGCCTTGTAGCATCATCAATATCATCAAAATACTCTGCCGTGCCCGTGAAGCACGTCACATGCCGTGCGATCCCCCGTAACGATGTCATCACATCTTCCCGGGTCAACCTCCAATGCACCGTGAGAATGACCAGGGCACCAGCTGAATATGCCGCAGCGATGTTAGGCAACATGGCTTCTAACGAAGTTCGACAAGGTAAGCCTGAAGACAGCTCTGATATGTACCATGTTAATGCCCAGGATGCACGAAGGTACCCACGAACGCTTCTCCGACAAACTCCTGAAACCTAGACACTTTTAAACTCAAGGCTCCTACAGCAAGGGCTCCGTTCCCTGAAAAAAGGTAGACGGAGGGAGTGCAGCGAGTGCAGCTGCTCCGTGGATTGAACTTTGGCAAGGTAGCACGGCCCGGCTGAAACCCCAGGTCGAGCTTCGAAGGCTGTGTGATCTTGCTTGCAGCGTGGAATACTTCCCCCACCCCCCCCCCCCCCAACTGTCCCGGACCTGCTGCTGTGCATTTAGGAAATGCCGTAGCGCGTCCTTCAAAGGCTGGCCTGGTTTTCCTCGTGTCGGATATCCAGTGCGAACTTCCGCTCCTAGCGGGAAAATGTACTGGCTGACAAACAGTACCTGTAGAACCACACGCGGACGCTCCGATTGTCCGAGTATGTCTTCAGAGTCTTCAAAAGCAGTGCCGCGACGTGCTCCTGTTCCCGCACGACAGCTGCAATGAAGTGGGCCACGATGATGCAACCAACAGGTCCGAACACCTGTAGAGAACCAGGGTCACGCGTTCTGCGGTTTCTGCTGGCTCAGGGCGTCGCAGCCACCATGACCAGAGCGCCTGTCAGGATACATAAAGTTCTTGTCTCGGATCCTCCGCTGCTTAGTAGACATAGTTGAGAGGCTTTCTAGATGTCTGCCATGGCCGACTCTCAGGGCAGAACCGAAGTTCTTGTCTCGGATCCTCCACTGACCGTGGAGGCTTTCTAGATGTTTGCCATGGCCGAATCTCAGGGCAGAACCCTCCGTCGCCGAGGGGGTTGTCCAAGGCTCCAGTCAACATGTACAGGGCTTCGACCTGGGATTGTGACTGACCCTCTGTTGCTTCTTATTGCGACAGCTCAAAGGAAGTATAGCTTCCGAAGGCACGAGACAACACAACGGATCCAAAGGGCGAGGGGTCAAGACAAGCAGACCTCGACGCAAGCGAAAGGCCCCGAGCTCTGAAGGCCCAGACGCTAACTTCACACTGCAGGTGGCAAGTGTTAGATTAGGGCTGCGCAAAATGCTAGCGGCAGCTACCATCATGTCAATGGGCTGCGCTAGCTCAAATCAAAGTAACTCCGAAAACTACATATACAGGAAGACTGACCACCATCTTATCCCACACACTCACAGTGTTCGTAGCTCTTTAAGTACGAAGAAGCCTTTGATGCACTTGCAACGCTGTCACAGAATGTCACAAAATGTCCAAAAGGCTTGGCCTCGAGCGAATGCCATGAAGTATAAAGAGAACCAGCCAGGAACCACGACCCCGTTGAAGGTGGTCTCGAACGGGCTGCCGTCACCTGGCAGCGCACAGAGCAGTTTAAATCTAGCTTTCTGAACTGTATTCGGGCGAACTCAGAAATGACATTTCAGGCTGCATCGTGCCTGATTTCCAGAGTGCCTGTCATGATACATATGGTACATCAGCTCATGCGCAAACCAAGAGCCGGAGTTAGCTTACCTCACGGTATCCGCCACCCCAAGCCAGCAGGCAGCCAACCTGCACCGCATCTTGTGAAGGCTCTTTTTCTTGGACAGTTGGTGTTCTGCTTGGTGCCCGGCCCAGTGCGATAACCAGAAGAGAAGCAATAGCGGCCTGAGCAATTCCACCAACCTCCTTGCATAGAGAAGAGGGCAACGGTAGCTGGTGGCAAAAGCGGGGCCTCAGCTCGCGGAGGACGCCATTGTCCCACATAAGCCAAAGAGGATCTGGCAGGCGCACCTGGTGGTGGGGGGGAGAATCGGCAGGCCGGAGTTTCAGCGGCAGTCGTTCCAGACTTCTTTGGAATGAGATCCGCACAAAATGATAGATCCGCACAAGCTTTGTGAGATTGAGAAGCAAGCTGGCATTGAAGATAATTATCCACAAGTATGTGGTGGCCTCAGGTGTGTTGCATTGTGCTGCCTCTCTGCTGCTCTGCACCGTCCCCACACATCTGTTCATGCCAGGATAATCGTGTTAATCATTGAGGCCGCGACACTGAACGCCCGCATGACATAAGTTGTGCTTCTGAGCCTGTTGCAGTATCCCGCATCCAGACTGGCTGCAGTCGGCAGCCAACATGAACGGAAATTCACATTGAACAGGCCGGAGAATTAGCACGCCTGAACTCCAAAATCTTGGATTGATCCACGACTTCTACCCTTCGGGAAGGATGCCTCAAGCAGAGCCCAATCAGATCTGACAAATATCGTTGCTGCGCTCCAGTCTGGCTATACCAAAATGCTGCGTCCAGCTGGGCGGCTAGGGTCCAGACATGAATGACATCTTCAGTTCCAGAACCAAGTATGCAAGGTAGCCCAAATCACAACACAAATCCAGAATCATCGTAGTCCTCCCAGGATGGTGGGCACTACAAGGGGGAGAGCCTCTTTTTTGCCATTTCGCCATCATGAGCCATCCAGGGCCTCCCTCCGGGCACCCATTTTGGATCCGCCTCGTGTGTCGCAGCGCGGACATGCGAGGAGCCTTCTTGCATGACACCAGCGCTTTCTTTTTGATGCATTTATCGTTTTCGTGCGGGATGCAGATATCTACGGCACTGAGACCCATGCCCAGCTGCCACCCCAGATGAAAGTGAGGGGCGTGATGATGCAGGAAATGAGCACAACCACGAGGCAAACCTGCAAAGCACCGCAGCAGTGAAAGAAGATCGGGATCAACAAGCTCCGCGCAGGTCACGCCTGCGAAGCCAGCCTGGCCTCAGGATTGTCTCAGGTGTCCGATACCACTAGCGCATCAAAGAAATCTGCAGCCTTCCAGTCCGTGAAATGCAAGATCTTGCGCCCAGCGGCCTCGCAGAGCTGAAGAACTCTGAAGGAAAGTCAAAAATACCTTTATATGGGCATGAGCAATCAGCTTGCTGTGTTAAAAGCTTGTGATTCACTGTCAAGGCCTGTGAGGTAGTCGCATCGCGCGACAAGATCGACAATGGCAACAAGAGCTCTCCCTGACTGGCAGCGGCATGTACTGTGAGGCATGCGCGTGCCTGCGCAATATCTTGTGATCATCGGCAGCTTCACGCCTCGCTGTTGTGGTGCCTGTTGTCGTAGATCTTGCTCTCCAACTCGCCCACGGAGTACTGAGCAGCATGACCTCCAAGGTCAAACTGACATCACTTGCTCCATTGGGTCCGGCTGGGTCGCCTCCAGGGCCGACCCAGTTGAAGATATATCGCAAGTTCAGCAACGACCTGTGCTTGTAAAGAACATTCAAGAATGCTTTGGCCGAATTGAGATACTCTGTTTGCCAATTTGAGCCCTGAGGGAGTGACAAGATGCCGCTTCCGGCCTTCGAGCGGGCACTGACACTCTGCCGTCACTTGCACAAAGAAAACTCACGGAACATAAGTTTAGGCGACGCCTCCTGTTTACGGAACAAGTCTCTTTTCTGCACTGCGGGCTTTGCGGCCTCCTGAGAGCAGAGTAGCTTTGTCTTCAGCTGCCTGTGTGCGTTGCAACGGCCCTCTGAGGTGAGAGCCGGAAGATCAGTGTCCTCATCCAAACGGATTTCTTCCGCATCGTTGTTGGCGCCTCCCACTTCAGTTCCACACAAGCCAAGCAAATGCTGCACAGTGGGAGGCACCTTCTGGCAGCATCGCATGCCAGCCCAGCTTGATGCAGCATAGCGCTTTGTGGCAGGTATGTAGGCTGCCTATATAAGACTAGGACATCAGGAAGGCTGTTGACGCATCTCTGGTAATGGCAGACTTCAAATTGTACGCAAACCGATGCTTTCACAGGTGTCCAGCTTCAAGCACAGCTAGCCTGGCATCGTGTCCCATCCCTCTACTGCGATGATCTACGATGCAACAGGGTCGCCAAGGATCACCAGACAGCACGTCGACTTGAGCCACATTCATGTGGGTCAAATCGCTCTGTGATGAATATCTCACTTGGCTCTGGCATTTCTGCGGCCCGATGAGGTCCCACCTGCGGACGCTCGACCTGGGCATGTGCCAAGGCACTTTGCAACGCGTTGAAGTCGAGTCTGTCACGCTGGCAGAACCTCAGTGTCAGGCCCTCAAGACCCAAACCCAATCTATGCAAGTCGCAAGATGTTGCATCACGTGATGTTGCGAGTTTGAGAGGTCTCAATATGCTGTGGTATAGGCCCTGTAATGTTGCGTTTTGTAGTTCTCATCTACTGAATCTGCAGGGTTGTGATTCAGGGGGATTTCTCAGCCCTGCACGGGCCAGCGGCAATCATTACATGTGCAGACGACTCAGGTGGCATTGGATGTCCTTGGACTGGAAGTCCTGTCACATCACGCAGTATCACGCAGTCTCACGCACCTGACACTTGAGACCACGTGTGGAGCCTGGCACAAACTCTTTGACATGGAATGTATTTCCGGTCATGCCGCTGCGACCGACAACGCCGACCTCCGAGTAACTTGGCAAATCGGTTTGCCAAATGAGATGACTAAATGATACTAAATGCATCTGACATGTGAAATTCAAGGCTGGTGCGATCTGCCCAGGAAAAGCAGCAACCTGTTTGCTGTCGGCAATATTGAGGCGGACCTGCTCAAGGGAACAATTCCCAGGGCTCCAGGTGAATGTGTTAGTCCGGCCTAAGCCTTCAACAGAACTCATATGAGTCCATGCGCTATCGACTTTGCACCCGCCCGAAGTTCGACAGAGTGTCTTGATACTAAGTCTCTAAGGGCTCTTTCATGCTGTTTCATACCACCTTGGTGTTGGCATAGCTTGGCCCCTCCAGCCTGGCGAAACACAATCGGCTTCCAAACCACTGGGAATCAGCCTTAAGCTTTAATAAGCCATGCGAGGAGCACATGATGGAGCGGTCGTTCAGGCGCCCCTCAAATCCCTGCACTTCCAAGGAAATGATCGGATGGATCATGATAGATGGCAAGCACTTGTGACGAGCGGAGGTAGACATTGTGTGAAACGCATTCAAAACGCCTCGCAAGCAATCCGGCCGAACAGAATACTTTCACTCTGCGAGGGAACCTGGGCAGTCTACGAGGTACGACGTCACGCAGGGATGCAGTGCGCACTATCACCGTCGGCCCTCTCAGCATCCGGCACCGACCGTACCCACGGGTATCTCAAAGCGAGTAGCAAATGCACTCAAGCATGCTGTCAAATTTTCGGCAGCTCCGCACAGGCCTCTGGTGCTCTCGCCTGCAGTTCTGCCACCACCAGTGGTTCCCATTCCTGCAAGGAAGTGGCGAAGAAATCAACTTCTGCTTTTCTGCTCGACGCCACCTCGAAACTGATACTGGAAAGCACGAAGCTTGCGGGGAGACATGGTGCACCTGTAGCCGCTCATCGCGGCGTGCAGCCCGAGCTGCAATGGTCTGCAAGCAATCGTGGGGCAACATAGCTTGAAGTTACAGTGTATCCCTCTCTCCTGCCACAATTGGTGCCTCATTGATCCACCTGTAGGATCCGACTTTCTGGCAACCTGTGTATCGAAAGATTGCGCGCTCACACAGTCTCGGAACGAGATTTTAGGGCGTCTGCGTGTGCACCGGTTGCAGTTCTAGACTTTTTGATCAGCGTCATCAGAGTCCAACGGCAATGTGTCCAGTCCGTCCAGTGGACTATAGGCATCACCTTGGTTGCCTTGACGAACATGTCGTACGCGCCGTGCAGCAGAAGGTCGTTCTGCAGGCCAACCCATCTTGATGCGCTCTTCGCGAGACACGAAGGACCGGCCGCTCACATGTCTCACAAGTGGGCCTTGATGGGATGGGACCCAACAAAGATGGAGGTTCGGGTGAAGGGTTCTCAGAGGTGAATTGTAAGTCGGGTTTGCAACATGATGCCAACTGCTGATTATATCCTGCAAATGCTGCCCCCTGTCTGCAGTGAGCTGATCAGTCATCGAAGGATCCAAAAAGTACGAGCGTGCAATATGATGTAATAATGACCCTGATGCAACAGAAAAGTGATGAGAGTCCTGGTGCGAACTATCGCAAGCAATGTGCAGCGAAGTGTCCACTCCACAAGCGTGGCGTTTTTGTTGCTGTCTGAGCGGCCTAGTTGGCTTCGTGTGCTACATACATGTCCTAGGGTGCCATAGGTTATGTATGTATGTATGTATGTATGTATGTGTGTGTGTGTGTGTGTGTGTGTGTGTGTGTGTCTGCGCGTGCGTGCGTGCGTGCGTGCGTGCGTGCGTGGGTGGGTGGGTGGGTGGGTGGGTGGGTGGGTGGGTGGGTGGGTGGGTGTGTGTGTGTGTGTGTGTGTTCTGCACATTGTGCGGGTTATGGCGATAATTGAGCAAACAGAGATGTAGATTTTGTACCTGAAGACCGCGTAGGCCATTGACAGGGCCGAGGTGTTCTTCATGCAGGAGCCTTTCAGCAATCTCGTGTTGCAAGGTGGGAAAGTAGCTCAGTAGAGGGCGAGTATGCCACGTAACATGGTTTTTGAGTTCTGGACCTCGGGCACCCACGGTCGGCTCGTAGTACAGGAAGAGGCCATACTTCTCCATGTGATACGCGAAGTTCCACTTATCTTTCTTTTCCTGAATCTTTGCCAGAAGTCTGCAGCCAAAGGAACTTTCGATGAACTCGCCAGGCTTCACCTCCCTTGCGATCAGTCTTGCCAAATCCCGTGTGCGGCAAACGTGGGTTGAGTCGTACCAAATGAAGCATGGAATCAAGCCCGTCTCCTTTTCCGAGAGCTCGCTCCGTGCCCAGCCGCCATACTTACTTACGGCGTATGTCACGTAGTCAGGAACAGTTTGAAATCCGACATACCTGAGGCCTTCCTTGTACTTGTCAAACAGGCTGAGCACCCTTCCCATGTCCAGACGTTCCGCAAACACGCGATCATGCTGGACAACCACAACAAACTCACTGTGCACCTCGGAGAGCCCAGCGAGCAAGGCATGTCCAAAGTTGACACGCTTTGCCAGGGGGCCAACAACTTTGACAGCGCGCCCATCCGCGCTCTCTGCGCCATCTGCGCCCGTTCCGACAGGACCGTACTTCGACTTCAGAGCATCGACATACCCGAGGTACTTCTGACGCGTGCTCTCATCAATCCTGCCCTGGTTCCAAGCAGGTCGCCCCTCCCGGACTTGAAACCCATCAGCAACAATGACAAGTGGGCATAGTTCTAGTCCTTGTACCAGGTCAAAGCTTCGAATAACCTCATCTACTAACTCAGTCGAGGGATGTGAGGGAATCGGCGAGGTAACAAGCACAATGCTGACATCACAGCACTTCCCTGTTGTCGGTCCTGCTGGGCTGGACCAGCATAGGTACCAGCTGTGGTGGATGACAAGTGCGATGACAAAGAACTGAACCGTTCGCTTCAAGCTGGGCGACTTCGATCGCATGAGAAATAACTGAATCAGTCATAAAGTCATACTATCTGGACATGTCTGAGCCTCCATGCCTCGTTCTGAGCAAGCCGGGGTCATGCACATCCAAGCGCCATGCATTCGCCATCATTCGCCAATTTATGGTGTGAAGGGGTGCAATACCAACAATGCAAAGAACTCGGCGCGGGCCTGGAGCTTCCTCCACCTTCGCCGCAAGCAGAGGCCTGAGAAGCCCGGAATCATGCAGAAGTGCTTGCAACGGCAAAAGAGCAATGATCTGGGCGGGTGGCCGAGATGGTTTTTCGCTGAGTGTATTTGTACTACTCTTGATGGACACCACCTCCAAAATGCTCCACTCGCAACAGCTTCATTGGCAGAGTGCTGCAGCTGTTTTTGTAAACTCTTCCCTTTTCTTCTCTCTCGCTCTGTCTCTCTCTCTCTCTCTCCCCCACGCATGACCCCCCCGAAGGGAGGCCGCCCCCAGGGGCGCGTGAATCTGTCTCTCCCTCTCTCTCTCTCTCTCGCCCTATCACTCTCTCTTGCCTGCATTGGCACCTCGGGCACTGGCACCCCTTTCAGGCGTCGGCCATGTGCCACGTGCGGTTTGAAACAAGTGCTTCTGCTCTCAAGAAATCTCAAAACTTAGCTTCTGCCTGTCTGTGCTGGTGCGCGCAGCACCCCACCTGGCTCTTCCCTGCTCTCAGCCTCCAGTAACTCCAGTCAGCTGAACTTCCAAAACGATGATCCTGGAAGGTCACCCGTGCAGCCTCTCGCATCCTCTTGGGCTGCAGGACCGATGCCTTTCAAAATGAACGGGTCAGGCAACTCAGGCGACAAGAAAGAGCACGCCCATTTTGTTTCGCAAAACGGGTGAAGTTTCTGAAAATTCTGAAGCTCGCTTCACTTGAAGCCTGAAGTTCGCAAGCTTCACTTTTGAAGACTGAAGTCTCAGACTCGCGAGCTTCACTTTCAGAGCCTCATGTCTGAAGCCGGAAGCTCGTGAGCTTGGCCTGAAGTTTGAAGCTCGTTCGCGATTCGCCTGGAGCTTGAAGCTTGAAGCTCATGAGTTTACTTTTGAAGCCTGAAGTTTGAAGCTCGTTCGCGCTTCGCCTGCGAACGTTCAAAACCGAAGCATATCTGACCGACCCGGCGCGAAATCGAGAAAGCCACAGTCGAACGTAAAGAAGTTGAAGACCGCCTGCCCGAGCCATTGACGCTTGAGGATGCCGTCACCTTGGGAACGTGGTGCTGCAAAAGGCAGCTCGTTGGGGCATGGTGCTCTGCTTGTGCTACTTAATGTTGTTGAACAAATTTCGGGTATAAGATTCGAGTGCAAGCGCAAAACAGGGGCTCCTTGCAGCCGTGGTCGAACTCAAGAGGTCCTAAGGTCGCTGCCGCCCAAAGGGCGCGCCTGTGGACGAACCACAGGCCTGCCATGCAGAGACGTAGAGGTCGGAGACTTCTTTGAGAGTAAACCAGCACTCGAAAAGATGCGGGGTCGCAGCTGCTTCTCGAATTCAGATTGGACGTAAACTGTCGTAAAGTCACCTATGCACTCTTCGCGTCACGATGTTGCTTGAGATTGACGTGTCTCTGTTGGCTCCTGTCCGAAGTGTGAACTCACTCTGCAAAGGAAGTCTCCGACCAAGCCACCCGACGCCAAATCCCGCTGTGCCCTTGCCCAACATTGTTGAAACATGTCAATGTCGGGGCATGCCTCTTTGGCGCCCGTTTTTCCTTTTCTTTGTGCAGGAAGGCCTCAAACCTATAGCTGGAGAAAGGCATTGGTGACCGAGCAACTTGCTCCAGTATGGCTCATGCCAGGGACCGAGGCACAAGCTGCGGCAGCTTGGCAGCAGTCATTAATCCAAAGTTCACTTCGAAACACCTGATGCTGGTGGGAATCACTTGGCACACGTTGCAGAATACAGCAGCATGACCGTACTATCGATACCTGAGAACTTTGCTCAAACTCGACCTCGCTGAAATTGAAGCGCTGATGTAGTTCGGCAAGCTTCTCCTGTAAAGATGCTTCTAGGGCACGCCGCACGGTCGTCGGCTGCACGGGTCTTTTGCCCGAAGCAAGGTAGCTGCGCTGAGCGTCATCAGGGCAAACGAGGAAACTAACATGGCAGTCATCTGAAATACCTATAGTATAAGGTCGCAGGCGTCACGTGGGGTAGCCGTTCATAGGTATGAGAACAGTACTCAGAACATTCGTGTCATCATGCGCAATGATTCGATCGGAGGGCGACGTTCTGCTCTTCCCATCCGCTTGTGCCCTCGGGGCCTGACATTCCGCTGGAGCGGCGAACCTGACGCGCAAGGCATGCAAACCACCAACACTCAGCAAACGCACAGCCCTTTGAAACCTGACGTGTGAACTCTTGCCTGCCCGAGTTGGTCATCGATGTCGACCTCCCGTGCTCTTGGAACTCCTGGGCTGCAGGCACTACTGCGTCCTTGGCTGCTTCATGCTGCGCTCTCCCAATTCCCGGCCTGGTAGTGAGAGTTGCCAGCTCTCCTAACTCTGGCTGAGCCAATGTACCCGGAAATCGATGGAGTCGGTGAGCAGGTACAGTTGTCAGACGCTAGTGTAGCATAAGACCATGGGTTAACGGCCCAACTCGGGCTGGCGGTATACAGGTCGCGCGCACAACGTGTGCATCCGCTGCTCTTTCTCCTTTTGCGCAAGCTACGGGGCCGTGACTTGCTCCCGTGTGGACCTGGCCTTGGTCGCAACAAACAAAGTACGACTAAGTACGATGAACCGAAGCCATCTCACGCAATCTCGGCTTGCGGCTGAAAGTGCTGCCTGACCCCCAGAAAAGGTGGCGGGCTCGGTGGGCGGCGGGGGACCTCTCGCAGGCTCTCCGAGCCAGAGCGTTACAACTACTTCCTCGCCACTGCTATCCATCTGTGAATCTTTGGGATGCCACTCAGCCCTTGACCGATCTCGCGAAGTCGAGACAGCCTTTCATTGGAGGTTCCAAGTTTGCCCATCGAGGTGACAAAGGAATCCTGTCATGTCGATGGCTTCCAACAGCGACGGAGACCCAATCCCTTGGGACCCCTTGGGACCCCAACAGAAATCAAGCGAGCAGTGCCCAGTCGTGCGGGGAGAACTCCCTGAACCGCTTCTCTGCCTTGGGAGCTTCTGATGTCTGCCCCAAGCCTTTGAAAGAGACTGACGCACTCTTTGTATCACAGTCCCGTGTCTCACAAACAACTCTGCTTAGCCTGCCCTTGCTAGGATAGCTGGCTGTGATACGGAGGGTGACAGGGACCTATGTTGTGCAGTTGCCTAGCTGTTAGTCTGGCTCGCGATGGCCTTAGTCTTAACCTTAAGTCTGCCTTTTTCCCAAAATTTCACACTTGTTGCACTTGTTCTAAGTCTATAAGCTGCGTGTGAAAAAGGGTGAACGGGAAGCTTCTTTTGAAACATCTCTGCGATCAGCGACCTGACTTTACAAGTAAGTCTTATGAAATGTTACGAATGTCCCATGACGGCTGCAGGACACCACAGCAGCCTTGAACAAGTTGTTGCAAGCCTCCCAATGAATGCAAGTCCCTGGCCCACTTGGGTAGCGCATGGGCGACACGGTCATCCCGATACCTGAGCATGGAGGAAAACCTATATTGTAAGACAAAGCCCGAAACCCCAAAGTCCCAAACCCTGAACCTCAAAACTCTAAACCCTAAACCATAAACCCTGAACCCCATAAACCCTAAGCCCTAACCCTAAACCCCAAACCCAAACGAAACCTGTGCTGTTTGCATCAACCCCCTTATACTAACAGTCTTTGATCGGGCTAAAAACAGGGGGGTACTGTAATTAATCCCCATGAAGGACTGTTCGTATAAGGGGGAACATCGCAATCGAAACCCTCAACGGACGGAATCAACGTAACGAACGGATCGAGTCAACGTAAACTTACTTGCAATATTCATGAGCGGTACACTGACACACGAAATAGACATGCTAACGTGAGAAGACCCGCTCGCGGCAACGCAGCAGCAAAACATTCGGCCTTCGAAATGGTTCCTTTTGCCAACCCGGCAATGACATCACATTTTCTTCGCCCCAGCGAAGTACATACAGTCTATTGAACTGAGATGGTTGTGCTCCAACAAAAGAATCATAGCAGTACTTTGCAATGCTGAGAATACATGCCAAGCCAAAGCAACGCTTGGCACAGGCATTGGACAATCCATTCCTGTCAGGAAATTGTCTTTGTGGGCCTTTGAGTAGGCTTACACCTTCTCCACAAGCTGCCTGACTGCTCGCCGTTCGAAAGTGCCGAATCCTAGTGAGATGAGCAGATGTCAGGTGAGCAGCCAGCGATGTGTGATTGTGGCCAGGACACCGCACAGTAAACATTCGGACACACCGATCGTGAGCTCGACAGTATCAGTCTTCGTTGTCTGAGGTGTCCTCCTCCACACTGTGAGCACAACAACAAGACTTGGTCAGTCTGTCCAATCCATTAGAGGTGGGTGTCGACTGCGACTGAACTGGTGGGAGTTCAGGATCTGTGCAGCTGTGAGGAGCTTCAGGTAATCGAACAACTTATCACCACCCATCGATCTGACGGCCGCTGTACTGTAGCTCTTCCAGTGCCCTGCGTGGGTTATTTTGCCTCCCTGTCATTAATCATCGCCGTTACATATGGCCTTCACCTCAGACGCACTTGGCCTAACGGGGCTTGACTCAAACGCTTCACAAATCAGACTCACACAGTCAACAAGAAGATGCTTCGCACACAAGTGACAAGACTCACCGCACACATGCAGAGGAACCAACGGCGCTCAGTTTCCTTTGGAGACGTGGGGAAACTCTTCATCCGCTCCTCTTCTCTACTCTGCAGGCCTACAAGCAGCCTACATGCGTAACCCCGGCGCAGGGCGTTGCAGCCGCCAGTGCGGACCCTAGAGCCAGGGCCACCTTCACCCCAAATGGGCGGGCACGCGCAAGAAAATACTTCCTTAAGACAAGAAGCCTCTGCGAGTGAATGTGAATCAGTGGCAACTAGCTCACGTGAACTTGCTACTTGCCTTTCTGACTTGAGCATTGCAACGCACGGCACACAAGCCACTTCGGCCCGTCCACACAGGAGTTATCATTCTGCTACGCGCCATGACGACACTCTTCACTTCAGACGCACTTGGCCTAAGGGGGCTTGACTCAAATGCTTCACAAATCAGACTCACGCAGTCAACAAGATCTGCAGAGGAACCAGCAGCGTTCAATTTTTCTTTGCAGACGCGGGGAAACTCTTCATCCGCTCCTCTTCTCTACTCTACAGGGCCTACATGCAGCCTACATGCGTAGCCCCGGCGCAGGGCGTTGCAGCCGCCAGTGCGGACCCTAGAGCCGGGGCCACCTTCTCCCGTAATTAACCGCTGACCCTTCCGACTAGACTGAAGCACTCACAAAGGGCATCGTCTACACTTGACGCGTTCAACATGCGATTTCTCCAGACCAATCGCCTGATCAACTCCCGGAAGCTCAAAGCAAAAGGGGCTGCTTTCTCGCCTGATTCAGCGACTCCCCATCCTAACAGTCGGAAGAAAGATTCTACGGTGGTGCACTGCAAATGCTTACACTCATCTCCTGCACCAAACGACACGTAGTCATCGAAGAAGCTTGTCCAAGGGAGTGCCAACTGGTCAGCCGCAGTGAACCGCAGCGCCATTGCAACACGCAGAAAACGCATAAACAGCCCGGCTGGCACCGAAGGGCAGAGCACGCACACGGAAGACTTTGGGAGCCTTGGCTGATGCGTCCCAGCAAGCCACATAGCTCGCCCACGACGACTGCAGCGCTATGCGCAACTGCCGGTAGGCGCTCTTCAAATCGAAGGTGCGGCCCATCATGGGTTGATGGCCACAGTTCGCCAGCAGACTGGCACAACGCCACCACTTTGTCCGCGGCGTGCGGCTTGGGTGACTCTGAGATCTGCACTGTGGCATTCATGCCACTCATGGAGTATAATCAGATCACTCGCATTTTGGAGCCTTGCATTATGCCACCTTCGGCTAATTACTGCATGATCCTCGAGCTCTGACAGAGGAATAGGGCCCTCCAGCCACCCAGCATCTCTTTCTTCTAGAGTTTTCTTAAAGCTCTCCAAGAGGCTTGACTTTTTTGAGCACCTCCTCCCAGACTTGAGCTGCTTTTCCTTTGAGGCATTCGGCTGTGCGCTTTGCAGGTTTGAACGCAGGTGCAAAGACACCTGTGGCTGGAGCTCACCAGTTAGCGTGGTCAAGAATGTCTCGGAAGAGTAACAACAGCTGCTTTGGGGCCAAGATGGCCTGCAGGCTGGGTGCAACCACGCTTTGAAACTGGCTTCTTGCTCCTTGAGTTCTTTGGCTCACTTGGCCCAGTTCATCATCCACGCGGTCCGCGTTCGCGCAAAGCTTTCCGCACTCATTGACTTGTTCAGGACTGCTTTGGCGAGGACTTCCGGCAACAGCTCCCGGAAGTTCTGCGGATGTCTTGCTTGCACTGCCGCTGCGACGGATTCTTCCTCAGAAAAGGGAACACCACATGGTTGCTCGTAGCCGCTCTCAAGCGAGCTGCCACAAGACCTGCCTACTTCACAACCTCCCAGTTTAACCGAAATTGGAACTGATCTGAGAAGCTGACTCTTGGCAGGGACGCGACGGCACTCTGGCTGCGCCATGACATGTGGAGGCAAATCAAACGCTTGCTGGACACGCTCCCCGGCTCGACAGGGCGACGCAAGAGGCAAACAAGACCGCAAGACAAGCACACGCTTGCGCTCTGAGATGCCTTGCTCTGAATGGCTCGCTCTGCTGCTGCCGCCATCTTCTCCTCTCCTGCACAGAGAGAGATCTGCGAACCCGACCACCCTTTGGCAGCCATGCCCCTCAAGAGCGCCAGAGCAACTAGCCTAGCGGATAAGCCGTCCCTTCTGATGTGGCATACCCGTTCGGAGCATGTGCTGAGTGGCCCCAAGGAAGATGCCGCTCCGCACAGGCAGACAAGAAGCGAGTGAACGTGAGTCAGTGGCAACTAGCTCACGTGAACTTGCTACCAGCCTTTCTGACTTGAGCATTGCAACGCACGGCACACAAGCCACTTCGGCCCGTCCACACAGGTGGACTCACAATGCGTCTCAGTGAAGGAGTTATCATTCTGCTACGCACCATGACGACACTCGCGCTGGCTACACTCTCGCAGCAGTCTGGGCCACTCTCTCTTGAACCATAAGTCGTAGTGCGAATGTCTTGCTGGATGGAATCTGGTCATGTGCCTCGTGCGTTCACGCTCCGCTCAATCTTGCGGCCCGGTCGCTCAGCTGCGGCCAAGCCTTCAAAAACAGCTGCCAAGACAACACAAGTGACAACAGTCGCCATATTTTGTGATGTGGGAGAACTCTGAAAGCTCTAACTGCACCCTAGCGTGGAGGACCACGCGGGGCCTCTGGCAAACCGAACGAAATCCACAGGCTCGAAGAAGCCAAGGTGTCGATGCAAGTGTCGGCCTCGGATTGTATATGCATGAGTCACAATTTGTGCAACACGATGTATAATCAAGTCGCCCAGTTAAGAGGCGACTGATGTGGATGCTGGTGGATGAATGTGGATGATGGTGCCGAGTCCCCCTACAAAGCGTCGAGAACACTGCGCTCTCGTCTGGACCTAGGCACTAGGACCGCTTGGATGTGCCTCCATGATTCCATCAGCTAGATCTTGACCCGGTCACGGTCACGGCATGGGTTTTTCATTGCTCAGTGCTTAGTGTATCGCAACGTTTGGAGAAGATCTCTGCAACGCGCGCCACGTCATAGCCTGTCAGTGCTCGGCAATCTGGTAGACTATTTCACTCCCCGCAAGTTGAGAAAGAGAGAATAAGAGAGACCTCTGGATTCTCATTTAACCTGCAGTTGACAACCGTTGCCCAGACAGTTTTCTTGGCTTTCACTTCCTCCGCCCTGCCCCTGCCCCCAACCCAAAGGAAGCACAGGCGAGCACTTCCGTACTCCAGCCCCCAGAAGCCAGCATAGCCAAAGAGAAACACACCAGGAGGGGCTGAGCTCCCACACACTCCTTGGTCTCATCTTTGAAATCCATGAGTCGCCGTGAGAGTGCCTCAGAGGCGCAGCACAAGGGCCAAGGCGCAGCACTGCAAGCACATGCCCTGCACATGCCCATCACCGCCCCCGTGTGCGGTGTGCCTGGGCCAGGCCCGGCATGAACTCCCCCTTGTGATCCACTTCGGCCATGAAGCGGGCAGCTATACCAACTCCCCTGAGTCGAGTGCAGGGCCCATGCCATGTTTGCGTCACAAGCAAGGGGGTGAGGGTGTGATGCATCCTGCCCCACCTCAAAGTCAAAGTGTCACGGTCCTGACGGATCTGGTTGAACATGCGTCTGTACCTGCAGCATCCGGACTCCTTACCCGTCGTGCAGAAAGCACGTGTGTCGAGTGGCTGGGCAACGGGCACATCCGTGACTTGGTCTGTGGTTGGCATGACGGGCGCTAGAGCCAAGCCAATGTCAGCCAGGCAGGAGGCAGGATAATCGTACCTGCGCCGGAACGGATCCATGCTGTCAGGCGGCAATTCATGTCTGCTTCAGGTGTGCACCAGTGTTCAGATATGTGGGCGAGGACGGCCTGCAGTCACTAGTCCAACGCAAGCTCGGCCAGCACAATCTTCATGCAATTTCACAACTCGCAAAACCAGCTCTCATCAACAGATGTAGCTGATGCCTCGAAGAGCTGCACTTCATGCACCTCCGAGCTCAAGAGGTGTTGAAGCTTGAAAAAGCTCGGAGCTGCGCAATGCCTTCAGTCGGGCGCATGCTTTGCACAACAACGCCAGCGCCGGCCTTGGTATCGGTTTTCGGGTTTGGTGCTTCCATGGTGCTTCCATGTGCTTACAACATCTTGCATCCCAAGCCATGTGCGGTGTTGGACCAGGATGGCCTTCCTTTAGCAGCGCATCTGCCTCCCACTGAGCCACTCCCCCAGGATCTCACCCAGTCTCACCCAGTCTTACCGAGTTTCACCCAACCTGGAAGGACGCCATCTCCAGGAAGGAGTAGTCCTCAACGGCTGTAGAGCAGGTACATCATGTCCCGGAATAGGTTTGCCCAAAATCATCCACCAGAGAAACCCCGTTGGTGCCTGGAACTTCAGCCGGGCGAAGGCATCGGCCAGCTCTGCAAGCTGCTGAAATGATGGACAGGACCCTGGAATGCCCTGTGGAGCAAGCGCATGTGCATGTGATTGCATGTGCTACAACAGAGTCTCTCCTAGACATCTCCATACGCAGGCAACCTGCCGCTCAGAAGCTTGTTGAACACGCACTTGCGCCTCAAGCTTGTGTAAGAAGCCCCACATGGTTCAACTATCTTTCAATGCCTCTGCGCTCTTGGGCATCAGACTTGCGCCGATATTTGCCTTTGGCTCTTCACACGTGCAAAGCATTGTTGCAGAAGCTGTGCTTTTTTTGGGCCGAGGGCTGAACCCCAGCAGCGTGTAGTGGCACACTTCCGTGCTTGCGTATGCCTCAGCTGCGCAACATGTCTTCTCGCAGCAAAGGACCGAATGAATTGAATGGGGTCCTTGCCTGAGCTAATCGGACCATTTCCAGAGGCGTTATTTCACTGAGCTGCGGCCTGCAAGTGCTATCCCGTGCCCCTCAACACTCAGCGCCACCGTGTCTTCAGAAGTCTCATGTGACAGCTGCGGTCCGCACTCCACCAGTCTAGCAATCTCTTCCATCATGTGCTTGTCCTGTTGGACTCTCTCTCCATGGAGCAAGTCCGTGCAACTTGGTGACGTCAAATCATCCTGCAGCTTTGCGATGGCGAACGCATGGGCGACGAGAACAAGCTGGTGAGATGTATACCTGCTGCAGGCTGCTACAGGCACGGATTTGGGGGTACTGTCCGCGTATGGATGCAATTTATCAAGGCGCTGGCTTGGGCAGCATCTTCCTCAAAAACCGGGATACCTGCTTGCCAAAGGCCCAAAGGCCAGCAGCGAATGAGAAGCACAACGAAAGCTCAGAAGGGCACGTGCTCCATTTCATCGATGCATTTGAGCTCGGCATAGTACTTTGCTAAGCGAGGCAGGTTGAGTACCTTTTTTGCATCGTGTCGTCGTTCAACGCTAACAGAATTCCGTGCCGCATAAGGCTTCGCTGTGCCAAGGCTTTGGCTTTGCGATGGATTCTGCGAAGTCTGGACCTGGTGGTCACGCCCCGGTTCAGGTCATGTATGCTTTCGGCGAGCTTGAATAAACATGATAAACCAAAGCCCTCAGGCCCTTAGCCAGGCACGTAATGAATCGCAAACGCCAGTCCGTCCTTTCACAGCCTCCAACATCTGTGAGCCTCCAGAATCGCAAAGCATCCACAACGCTTCAGGAGGCACTCGCGACTAGGCAAAGAAAACATAGTAGAACAGCACGCCCTTCAGAGTCGTTCATCGGTCATGTGAGCACGTCAACCAGCCAACATGATCATCTGGAACACGTCTACATGTACTGGAATGCACATCTTTGGGCTTAATGCCTCATCGCATACAGTGCAGCTCTCATGGAGCGAAACGCAGTCTACACCAGAAAAAGCGGAAAGAAACAGAACTTCAGCTGGGAGCTTTTTTGCATGACTACTTGGCCCCACGGGCTTCCCCGATGGGCTTCGAGCTTCGCGTTCGAGGATTGTGCCACCAAGGAGCCGCTTGAGGACCTTGAAGTAATGGAAAGTCCTGACTATTTACGAAAGCAAAGAAAGCAGCAGCTTAGATTTTTCTAGCCCCTGAACCCGTGTGATGGCTATCTGCAATTGTCCTCTTCGGGTGCTTGTGCCGGAACTGTACCCACACCTGCACTGCAGAGCTTGCAAGAACAGGCAGTGTGTGACAGCGCAATCCAACACCGACCAAATACACAGCTCTTCTTAGAGCACGTCGCAGTAGACAAACTCCCACCTCGAGCACTTCGTCAGCCGATGTGGCAGCTGCCAAGCCCTGTCATCACAGGTTTCGGAACACGCGGGCGATGCAAGACCCGAAATTTTGGAATGGTTGCTTGTTTCCTCTGTTTGCCGCTGCTTGCCGGTTTGCCACACCACTTCTTGGGCCGATCCTTGTTAGAAGAGAATTTCCCAAACAAACATCTTTACGCCTATGTTCTGCAGTTCTGCCTACCTCGCCTGCTGTTTTGGCTGTGGCGCAGATCGCTCGCAGATCGAATGTGATAAGGTGTTGCCATCAACAAACACCTATTGCTAAAGGTCCTAGGTGTCATGGCACACTAGAACTTTCCATCCCTGACTCATTGACAGTGTACATGGGCGCAGTCCCCAAGCTGGAGCGCCCAGAGACGTCCAGCAGCAAGATTGCACTTTGCGTGGCATGCTCAGAACACGCGAGTGGTCCAGAGCTTCCCGGGCATTGTTTTAGTACACTCAAAACAACAGACACTACGAGTAGCAGGCCTTGGGCAGACGCCAGTTCCACGAATGCGCGTGTTTGCCTTGTGTCCACGTGGGAAAAGGTGTTGGAATCCACCTGAAGTGCCGTAGCCGGCAGAAAGCATGACAGAGAAAGGCTGAACACATCTGAACACATCCCCAGCCTTTGCCGATTTTCCACAGCACGCGGAGCAATGTACCCTGAAGAAATTCAGTAACAGTATGGGTATCATTGTCGGCCGTGCATGGACTCTTGCAGACTGGGTGCGCTCTGTGTACTTTCGCCAGTTTGCTTTTCCAATCAGCTTGTGAAAGCGGTAGTAGAACCTCTGCAGCATCATGTACTAATCGACTCGTTTGGGAAGGATGCTGGGCTTCCGCGCGTCCCCTTCCGATCTGCGGCGCCAAACTTATGGTGCTCGCGTCTTCCAGGCCGGCCATCCTTTGGGCCGAAGCGTACCTTTTGTATGACTTCGGGACTTCGGAGATTTCTTGGTCGCTCCAAAGGTTCCGCAGCTGGCCTGTTGAATCATCGGTGCCAAGCGCACGGAGAGCCTTCGAAAAGCAATGTTCGTGAAGCATGACAAAGCCAAGCCTTGCGAAGATTGCGCTCGGCTGCCCAGAAGGCTTTCTTTTCAAAGCCGCAAGTCACGTTGAGCTGCTGTTGCTCATCGCCCCAGCACGCAAATTCCTCGACGGGTCGCCACGCGCCCAAGAGACCAGAGCATACAGTTTGCTGATGCACATCAACTTCACGTCCTGTAAAGAACTTGCCCATGACCATCGATGCTCCTCTCAGATGCCTGGTCGGCTAACTCATGGATGGTTCCCAAACAGGACATGATGCATCGTCAAGATGCACCTGCAACCACTGCTGGAGCCGACGCCAAGGTGTGACAGCAGACTCCGGCGACCTGGCAGATTAGCATGCCCTCTCGCTCTGTGATGCCCTAGTGCCCAACACGCTGCTAAGGCCCTGCAAAGTGTCTGAGCTTGCCTCGAAGCACGGGATGCTCGCCGCAACTCTGCCAGCAGCTCGCGCTGAGCCTACTGGCAGCCAATTTTCACACAAGTGACACAAAGCGAAAGAAACGAAGCCGCGGGCCTGGGCTTGCAGGTCAGTACAGGCCTGGGCTGAGTTTGCACTGTGAGCAACTCGTCGCTGTGCCTGGCCTGTGCCTGGCTTGCCTGGGCTCATGGCATCGACCTTGGGGTCTATGCCTCCGAGCTGAGGTGCGCAAGCCTTCGCGAGCTCATCCTGAATCTCAGCTTTGGGGGGGCTGCAGGCACGGACCGGATGTTCCCCAAAATTTCGCAGCATTTTGCAGTGTGGACACTCCTGGATTTTCGAGTCCGTGGGTGGATCCAGGAGCAAAGAGCTCAGCCGCTCGAGGCACACAGACAAAAGCAACGTCAAAGCCTTAGCTGCACGAACTGTCACGGACGTGGACAACGCGAGCAACGTGAACAGCGTGAATGCGTTCATGAGCGGATTGGTTTTGCATCCCTTGAAGGACCGGGCCATCTGCAAGCCACAACGAAGCACTTTTAAATGGCGAGGCTGAACTTTGGCCCCGCAGGAAACCTGAGATCGTTGAATCTCAGAAGCCAGGCCAAGCGGGTTCGGCACAAGCCAAGGCGAACCCTGCATCACGGAGTCTGAGTTCCCAGCAATCCCAGTTTGAGAACTCCTGAGCGGGCACGCCTCGCAGCTTGTCCAAAGCCGCACCCGTTGCACATCGTTGGACCATGTCACACCTAGACAGGCCTGGCCCGTCGGGCCCTACCAGGCACTGCCAAGCGTGCAGAATCGCGCAGATTGCCTGGAGCTCCAAGGACTCCAGCTCCTTTGCCCCGAAGAGATTCGGCAAGTCTGTGAAGCAGAGCGGCAGACTTTGCACCTTGGACGTGCAGAACAAGAAGGAGGCAGCAGCAGCCAAAGCCAACGCCCCAGGGGCAAACTCTCGGCCACATCTCTTGCCACGCCACGCGCAGCCTTGCCAGTGACGGAATGGCCGGCCAGGAAGACCTCCGTTCAGGGCCTCGCACAAACTTGCGAATAGCAGCTGGACTTGCCAACGTCCCGCAGCCCGCGCGTCACAACTCACAGCGATTCGGCATGCTCTCTTCCACATTGTTTGTGTCCCGGTTTTTGCTATGCATCTAGATGCATCTAGTCTCGTCAGCCCAGTGAGTAGCAGCTTTCTTTTCGGGTGGTCCGCATGTTCTGTTGGGAGCTGTTTATGGCCCTTGGGCCCTTGGGTGCAGGACATTGCAAGACCCAGACTTCCTGGGGTGTGAGTCCCGCAGCTGTTGGTGTTGGTGTCATTCTCCCTGGCCAAGGTCTTTCCGCAAGACTTGCCCAGAGCACGGTGGAGGGTTTGACTGTCGAAATGAAAGGACAAGAGTTTGCGCCACAGCCAAGGGGTCAATGAACGATTTAACTGACTGACTGTCGAAGCACGTACTGCAGGCCAGCGGCCAAAGCCGTCGTAGGAAAACTCCAGGACGGTCAGGCGGGGCGAGGCAGCTACAATGCTACCTAGGACAGCAATAGAGAGCAATGGACCAGTGAGATGGTCTGGTTATTGAGCTTGGTCATTCGATGCGGCCAAGCTTCTCAATGCCAGGTCCACATCAGCCTTCGGCCTCTGAGAGGACTCAGACCAAGAGCGCACAGTATTCTTTAGACACGTCATCAAGACATATCAAGACTCTGACTTCGTGGCCTTCCCTTGTGTGCTCCTCGTACTCGAAGCTGCTGCAGGTCCGGCAGCTCTTCCAGGAGTGCAGGGAACCAACTGCCTTACAATTACTTATTAATGTTGCCCTACATGGCCCAACCCGTGTTTGAAGCAGCGCTCTCACAATTTCTCGCATGGGAGTTGTCAGCCTTGCCGAGCGTCATGCACCCGCGAGTTCCACCACCTCCACACGTTTCAGGCAGCCTCTGCCCAGCAGCGTCCGAAGGCCTTCGGGAGCCGAATCGCCGTCGTCACCTAGCGACTTTGAGACAGCACAAGCAAGGCTCCCAAACCCAGATCTCGCCTGGCAGATGCAGAACCCGTGCCAAGGCTTCTGGTTGGCCTGAGGCCACGCGTCGGCCACTGCGGTATTTGCTACACGTACATTTTCCTCTTGAGACCAAGGCTGGCAGCGTGGCGCCAGGTCTGTCTGACTTGAGCGCATCGGAGTGTGTCCTGTCCAATCATGTCCAATCTCTACACACAAGACACACCGCTTAAAGCTCATATGGGGGCACTCGGAGCACCTCGAGTGACAAGTAGGCGAGCGTACCTCCCGGGCCAAAGAAAGAGCTCCGAAAGTTGAAACTGGTTAGAGGATCTGGCTCGACATGCTCCGCACTATCCCCTAAATGCCAGGGTGCATACAAGCACTGGCAAGTCGCTGCTCAGCGCCGTGGGCTCCATCTATGCCATGGCTGGCTCAAGCAGGCACCTGAACTAGGTGGAAATAGGTGGAACATAGATGGAGCTGCATCGTTCGCAGGCTCTAGGTCTTTCGAGCAGCTGGGCAGAACCAATTTGTCAAAAGGGATGTCATCGAAGCCAGCTAGCAGATACGCTCCGTCAACGAAAGCTTTTGCTGCTTTGAGCCGTGAATTCGCAAAGGGGCATGCGCTAGCGTGCGCCTGCGTTCTCGGCGCGGTTTACGTGCTTCTACGACGCACGTCTGCAAACTCATGGCCTGTGCTGTCTCTGATCTCTCCCCTTCCCGGTATGCGCACAGATTCGGTATGCGCACATACCTGCACCCTTCTCTGGCCTGTCACAGACTGTCGCACCTTGTGCTTCTGGCCTGGCTGTCGCATATTGCCAAGGTCTTTCTACGCTTGCTTGCCGCCCAGAGCCAGTCATAAGACTATAGGGTAAACTTGCCAGTGTGGCTGGACCTTGGTACCTGCGGCAACTGCAGGCCACCGCCGCCCCAACTGGTGGTAGACCCTGGCAAGCATGGCTCAAGATGCCCAGGAAGCCGGAGCGGCAGATTCTGTGCCGAAATGCTTGAGATTGAGAGATTCTGCTCGACTCCAGCCGGGCGACTTGATGATTTAGCCATGCTAAGTGCGCTCTGAAGGTTTGGTCTGGCCAGGGTTTGGCAGTTGGAGAGGTGTTATCATTGAATCTTTAATGCTTTCCTTGAAGCTGAGCCAAATTGAGACGTTGACGTTCGACATCATTCGACATTCGTTTCAAGCACTTGCAAGACCAGGAGTGCGCTCGTTTCAGCAAATTACGGCGTAGGACCCAGAGCAACGCCACACATTTTCGCATAGAAACCAAACTCTTCAATCTCAGCGCTCGCACCTGAGAGCGCAAGCATAGGCCGCACGGCAGGATTGCAATGTTGCAACGTAAGCTGCTACTCGAATGCATCTTGCAATATCTTGTGATATTCTGTGATGTCTTGTGATATGTCTGTCATCTTGGACGCCGGCTGATGGCATAGCTTCTCGGCAGCCATTTATCCAAGGTGACCTCGAAGGCACACAGACAAAGACACGCCAGGTTTCCGTTTCCACCACTCTATTGCCACATGATCCCACCTTCGTTCCAACAATGGTGTCTCGGTAATTTGCTGTCCATACTCCCACCAGCCTCACCAAGCACTTGCCAGGCACGATCGTGGCAAGAACCGCCAAGTCATGGTCATCATCGGTCAGCAAGCTGGGCAAGCTGCCTCCCATCAAGAGCCTGCTTCGAGTGCCAGGACGGGTCGGACAAGTCCTCGACAATGTGAGGTCAGGATAGGTCAGGGAGGTAAAGTGACGAAAGCCAGAACGCGCACCGTCAGCCGTCCTCTTCAAGATCAGAGTATGTCAAGTCACAGCGTTGCTCGCAGCGAAAAGCAAAGCAGTCACCGCTATGAACGCGTACACGAAAGGCCTCAGAGAGCAGGGCCAGAATGGGCCAGAGCATGACAGAGCATGTGACAGCCAAAGCATGACCGCCAATCCTAAACACAAAGTTGCGCTCGAGAACACTTTGGTTTGGCCAAGTTTGTCCCCCCCGACCTGAGCATCAAAGCGATTTCTCGCCTCGAACCAGGTCTGTGTGCCATTCGGAGGCTTGGCGCGGCCCGTTTGCTTTCTTGTACGCAGCGGAAAGGGCATCTTGTCAACAATGTCGAAAACCATCTCAGCTCCGCCGGAGCGCGATGCTTGAGAACGCAGAGGACGAGCGATGAAGAATTCAAGTCCGGCAAAGGTCACCTCATTGAAAGGCGTCGCCAAATAGACATAGGATAAGATTCCGCGCCATTCGGGTGCATGCGCAAAGGGACCGAAACATAAGTTTGAGTCCACTACGACGCGGTCCTGCAGCGCCTTGTCTGCACGGAGGCCAGACAATTGCAAAGCGTCAAGCTCGTCAGGGACGCGGTAACCTGTCCAGGCAGAGGTGTCGGCCTGTAAGTAGTATGCAGTTCGCAAGAGGTAGAAGGTGCTGTCAGCCACGCCGCCCGCATTTGCGTGGATGAAGCACACAGGCCTTTGAAACAGTACCGACTTCAGCTGTCCCGTGTCTTCGTCGATTCCAAACTGCCTTGGAGAGATAGACCGCCGAGCAAGGTTCACCACAAAGTTGCCGCCGTAGTCTAAGGAGACCTACGACATCCTACGACTCTACGACAGCGTGACTTTGTTGACTTTGTGAAATCTTGTGAGCTTGATCGAGACATGGACACAATCAGCACTGAAAGCAGGTTGATTCGCGACACCATCATTCTGGTTTCAACCGTGCAGAAAACCTGAGAGCTGGAACATGGTCTTGTGCCCAAACGGTCAAGCCACTGCGAGTCTGGGCATGCCGTGCCTGCTCTGAATTGTCCAAGAAGTACTGGTTCCACAAGTATTGGTGACTACGTCCATGGCGGCTGAATGGTTTCCCCTCGGAATTGAATGCAGGCAGCTGAGCCTGGACATGCAACAATCGCCTGAGCAGCCAGTGCGTCAGTTTGGTTTCCATGCTTTTCCCTAAATCGTATGGAGCACGGAAACATTAAACTTCATTAAACATCAAAAGCAGCTGTGGCCATGAGGATGCAAGTCACCGCAATGCCACCTCCAGCGCAGCTGCTCGGCCACCGTAGAAGCCGCCATTCAGAAACTCTCCCGCAACCGCGTGCTTAGCTTGTTTTTACTGGAGACGACAATGACGACACGAACATACAAGAACACAAATTCAATTGACTGGGTGGGCTCTGCTCCGTATTCTCTGCATGGGCAGCCGTTTTAAAGCCGTGTTGAAGGTGTTGCACTCAGTTGAAAGCCAAGCTCGGTTATTGATCGGGCACTGCCACAAAATGCTGCAGGCGCCGAAAGAAGGATTCAACATTGATGGAGCATTCCTTGCTGAACAGGTTAGGGGCCTTCCACGGCGTGCCCAAAGAAAGAAACGCTTCAGGCATTGGGCGTACTTTGCTTCGACCATCTTGGCATACTTTGGCATTTGCTTACCAGTGTTTTACCTCAGCCTTTGCCGATAGCAATCGGTTGTCTTCAATTTTTGTTACAAAGTGTGCTCATGGAGAGCATTGCCTTTTGCGAAAGCGAAAAGGGCCTCATCCTGCGCATCTCTTTGTATTGCAAAGCAGTGAGCGGGCGTTCTGTCGTCTGAAGAGTGAGAACACCCGGGCTAGGTTTCCGGTCCTGCATGTGGCTGTGGCTGAGGCCCGTCACGACAACTCTTGAATGCCTTGTCATAATTCGGTCACCGGGTGCAATTGTAGCACGGATGCTGCCGTCACGCACAGTGGCAGCGCTAATGGATGCTCCGGCAGCTGGGACGTTCAGGGATGCTCTGACTGGTACGGACATTATGGATAGGCCAATGGATGCACCGGTGTTCCTGGGTAGCTCCGGGTCAACCTCGAAAGCGCGTGACGAAAGCGCGCGGGCTTCGGATTGGTCAACCCCGGGAAGCCGGCAGTAGGGGCCGCGGCGGCAGCTGGTTATGGCAGATGCAACAGCAGACCCCCAAAAAGACATCACAAGACCCTTCTTAGACGTAGACAAGGCCGCTCGAACTTAAAACAAAGACAAAATCTAAAACTTAGAACTTAGGTTCTGCTTCACTGCTGTTGCTGCACTCTGAGCTGCCGTTGGCTCCACGCCGCTGCTGGAGATTCCCAGGGTTTCGGACATTGCAAGGCACGGCTCGCACTCGCCGGGCTGCCTCACACACGTTCACACGTTCGTGGGCGCAGAACCAGGCTCTTCTGGGATCTGAGGGGCAATCGCAGAGCTGACTAGCCTTTGACGAAAGCGTGACTGGCGTCCGGCCTTGACTCCCAGATGTAGGGCAGGTCGACTTCCGGTCGGCAGGGCGGTAGCTTGTGGGCCTCTAAAAGCACAAGCGAAAGCCAAGGAAAGCGACATGAAGTCATCACTTTATGCAAAATGTTGCGCCAATCTCCCGGTTCGTTGTCCCAACCTTACGTGCTCTGGAATGGCTGCCCGCAGCTGGCGGTGGATATCCGGGCAAGCCTGCAGGAAAGATGTCGAACCTTGATTTGAGATTTTTCAGCACAGGCCTGTGCACTGATAGGCGGGCATGGGGTGTGCCGGTGCGCATCTGCATCTGTGAGTGCTGACGAATCGTTGCTTCCAAGTCGCTCCATTCCGAACACGATCGAGCGGTTCAGCTCATCCAATGCCTGACAAGTCGAAGGGTGAGCAGCTTGGAGCAGCGCGCAAGCCACACTCAAACCGACTGAAACGACTCAGTTTTCCACTGTCTTTGCAAGTCGATCACAACAAAACCCTTCGCTCCTTGCTGAGATTGCGCTGGCATGGAAACGCTGCAACATCGAAAGCATCAGCATAGATCACCAGCCGATCACCGTGGCCAAGTTTCCGTAGATGCGTCACGTAAGACCTCTGCTGCGGAAGATGGCGGAAGCCAACATGCAGGTCAAAGCCTGTCAAGAATTCCGAAGCTCTCTGACTTGACACCAAGCTGCAACAAGTAGCGCTCTGCGTCAAAGAAGCCGAACTTCCAGGGTCGGTCTTCTGCTGGCGGCTGGAGCAGGCGCAAGCGCAGAGGCCACTGCACGGAAGATGTCAAGGCATGCGCCCGGCGGGGTGCATCAGTGACGGTCACGAGGTCAAAGGGGCCCTGCCCAGGCTCCTCCACGCACTTCCAATCCGCACTTTCCAATTCGCTTTGAGCTAAACTCTGTTCCGGGGCCCCTTGCCATGTGGTTCACAAGACTGAAGAAGTTCCATGCCTCCTTGACTCCCCAGTCTAAGACCTGCTCTAAGTGCAAAGGATCTCCAAAGCTGTGATTGTTATTACATGACAGACAGACCTTGATTTTGCCATGGCAGGGCCCCATTCGCCACCGAACATATCATGCTTGTTCACAAGTTACCTGCATCATGCTGCATCACTCGTGCATCCTCGAAGACGTCGGGATCTAGCAGCCGCAACGGATACTCTGGAGGTTCTCCAGTGCCAAAGATTCGAAGGATGCGCACTTGAGCACCAGATGCATGCGCTTGCGTTGCAGCAGCCTGAAGGCTTTATAGGCTTTCCAACGAAGGCAGGGGGATCACCGACGAGGCGGCTCTGGCAGGGTTCTCATGCTTCTCATGATCATTTCTCTACTGATACCATGCCTGGCCAGGGTCACTTGCAAGTCGAAGCCAGTAGAGCCACCAAATGAAACGGCGCATGGCATCATCGTCGCCGAGACAGCTTAGAGGAATGCAAGCGGCGAACCTTGGTCCGAGACCGCTCAGCCCTTCACTGACATGTAGACAAGATGAGGCAGATAAGGAGACGAACCGGTCTTATCTGAACAAGGCAGGTCCCAACTTCCAACAACTGCACTCGGGCGCGAGCCAATCTCCATCATCATCGGCAGACGCTGCGGCCTGGATCTTCGAGGCTGCAAAGCCTCCTAGGGCCAACTGCTCTTTGGCAGTTGCAACTCGTTCTCGCTCCCGTGACAGAGCCGCTTTTTTCGCATTACGTAGAGTAACTAGTGGCCGCGTGCAGAACCGTCGAAGGCAAAGACGACGCCTCTGTTCCTCGATAGCTTGGGGGATCTTCATTGCAACAGCCAGGACACCATCCATGCTGTTGACACACCGCATGCCCACTCGTACAGCCGTCGCATCACTTGCGGTCGGACAGAGGGATCTGGCGCTCAGTGACAAAAGTCGTGTGGAAGCTTCTTTGTTTGATGACAGCGTGTTTGCACTGCAGGTCCATGTACGGGATGCTTCCATGCTCAGCGTTAACTCCACAGAGATCACATCAGCATGTAGCGCGCCATGGCAGCATGACACGGACAAAAGAGAAATCTCAGGAGCAGGGCAGCATGCAATGTATTTCCTGTGCAGGTTGAGCCCAGATGACCAGATATTGCAGTTCCGGCAAAATCTTCCCCAGCATCAACAAGTCTTCTGAATCTTATGAAGTTGGTTAGCAGGACGTCACATAATCACGCCGAAGATCTTGCTCCATATGCATGCATGCGTCTACGTTGATATCAGGATTCTAAAGCCTTTAGACGTGATGTGCAGAAAGTCTGAAAAGACCTCTTGGGTTCGTGAGTTTAGATCCTCGCCCCAGGAAAGAGCCAAACCTCGCAGGATTATTTGGGAAACGCAGTTTTTCCCGTGATGGCTTTACGGTGAGGCTCTGGACCGTGCGACCAATGCAAGCAGCTTTGAGCGTTCTCACGTAGATGCAGCACTTTCTCAAACACCTAGACATCATAATTTGCTTTACAGGCGATCAGTGCGCACAGGGCCATGGCTTGCATCGTCTGTCGGCCGCACCGCAAGTAAGAGTGTTATGCTTTATGCACAGTGGCAGGAGCTTCCCATCATCAGCTTCCACCCTATGATTGTTCAGGCATCACTGGACGAGCCAGCGCATATGAGGTCGCACTACCTGACGAAACCTACGCGACTTTGACCTGCGACCGAATTCGTGCGTGGACTTCCCACGCCTTCAGCAGAGTCTGTGTATCTTAAGCTACATGGTTGTTTGGAATCCCACGATGTCTCTGCTGCCAGACCAGTCGGGCCAGGAACGACAACGTCAAGATGGACCCTGACCTGGTTCAAACCCATCTGCGCGTTTCTCAAACTGGATTGTCACTGATCAGCTTCTTCAGCGACATTCGACGCCTCGGCGGGATCAGTCATCGAGTAAGCTAAGTCGAGCATGATTCCGAGTCGCTGGGGTGTAAAGAGTACCGGGCATCAGCAATTCAAAGTGTGCTTCCTCATGTCCACGAGCACGTTCTGCTCTCAACGTGAAATTTGACAGGCAGCGAAGCAAAAGAATGACACGTTGACATGTGGTTGCCGTGACCGAAACATCGCGGTTCACGAACCAGGAATGAGTCAGAGTCAATTCATGTTCTACACTGGGCAGAGAGTGACATAGGTATAACACCAAGAGATGGATTGTCCTTTGGCCCTGTCGGGTTATCCTCAACCCCTCCCGACAACGTGATATCCTGTGACCAGGCAACTAAGCTTGCGACCCCACGATGCCCGGCAGCTCATCCAACTGGTTCATGGGCCCGTGCTTCTTACGATGGGCCACGACCTGCGACCATAAACAGTGTAGAACTACAGTCTGTCAGCAACGTCATAGAAAGTTTCATGCAAACTTACACTGCATGGTTGCGCTGGCTGCTGGCGAACTGACGGGCATTACCAGAACTGAGCACAGTCAGTCTTTTTCTCACGGCTGTCGCGATTTGCTGATGGGTGCAGCTGCTTACACCTGCACACGGGCATCGGGCATAACAATGCACGACAAGAGGGTTCCTTGCATCATGTTGCATCACTGTCACATCCTCTGCAGTGCGAGCAATCCGCCTTGAAGCCACGGGACTTCCTGCGGCCACGGCTCTTCTCGAACTTGCGACCCTTGGAGCGAACGTACGGCGCAGTCTTGCCTGGGAGGAGAACGGTTGAGAACGGTTGAGAACGGATGGACTGGGGAAGACATGTCTTCGGCAGTCTTTCAATGCCTTCTAAGAGGGACATTGCGAATCAGATCCGAGAAGCTGTTGGGCACGCCCGGCGCCTTTCCGAAGTGGCGCTCTGCCTCACAACGGCGTCATGTGCGCGTTGAGTGCAGTAAAAGTCTAGAGCAACTGGGGACTGCTGCACTTGCACATCCACCGTATGTGCTGCATAGCAAATGAAACCAACAAACCAAACTCATGTCGGCTCGGGTGAAAACCCCCATCGATCTCGCTGTGACTATCCTGAAAACCTTCGCGTTAAAAGCTATTCCTTATTCTTTCGTTCGAGGGTTTGGGGCGCGAAGCTCTGCGAGGTCTGCGCATAAGGGCTATACGGGTTGATGGGCTAAGGCTTCAGTATGGGTGGAGGAAGGTTCAAAATGTGAGCCAGGGGCGGCTCGGAGTCTGTTTTCACTCCCCGTCGCTGCTTTCGCTGCTGCTGGTCTCTGGTGATGATTTCGAGGACGATGCATGACAGGGTGCAGGGAGAGTTGTTGACATTTCTCATCGTTTTCCCGGTATTCGAGAAGCAGGCTGGTGACATCCAAACCTCATCGCTAGCCTATCGTTCACAGTTCTTCCGCATCGTTTTACAATTAGAGAACTTAGGGCTGCATTCTCTTGTGCTCCCACAGCGAAGTTTGTACCATTGTTCACCGTAGCGCAGTCCCTAGCCGCTAGCCCATGGTGGGAATGGCCGAATGGCCGACTGGCCTCGCGAGCTTTTACCGGGCCGCGCAGCAGCACCGTGCCCTGTCGCAGGATTGCAGCTTGAATCTCCCTCGCACGTCCAACATGCGTCTGAAGGCTGCCCCTGCCTTGCCCAGCGGCGATCGCATGGCAAGCTGGTCAAACGTGATGCACTCACCTCCCGCCTGGATGGTTGATTTCAGAACGTTGCAATACATTGCGCAAGCCTCCTCGCCCATCCCTCCGTTAGGATGCCTTAGGATGCATGCACCAGTACAACCAGTAATAGAACAGTTTCCTGGCCTTGAGGATGCGGGCACGGGCAGTCTCCGTAAAGCGCAAGCCGCACACCGACATTGCAGGAACATCAAACAAGCGCTTGTCATCAGTGACAGTGCCCACCACAACTGCCGTCTTTCCTTCCTTGCTGGCCATCTGCTTCGACAGTTTCGACAACGACAGAGGTGGACGATTTTTGCCAGACATGTTGAGCCTCTTGTAGATCACCTTGTTGAACTTGGAGTCGGTCCTTCGAGCAAGAAACTTGTAGAGCTTGCACAGCAGGAGGACGTAGGGGTTGTCGGTCTTCGCCGTGCGCACCTTGTTCTTCACACGCCCGCCAGCAATGATGTCGATTCCCATGGTGTCGGTGCCTTGCTTTGTCCACCCCCCGTGCTACAGCCAGAGTCCTTCCCTGAGCCAGATTTGGTAGATCGCAGGCAGAGGGCAACACCAGCACCATCTCATGATGACTCCTGTACAGCAAAATGCAGCAAACTACCATGTGAAAATTTCCCGTTGGGCGGAATGCCTTTTTTATGTCGGCAGACTTCATTCCTTTGATGACTGACATGTCCTCTCCAGTGCACTGCTGTACTGTACAGGACCACTGATCTGAAACGCGGCAGGAATTCCAGGAAGGACGGCAATTGCAGTCCTTCGCGTCGGCATGCTGCAACAAAGCCAGGAGCATGAGCCCTGAAGGATCGCTGAACTGCACCTGCGTGAAAGGCTGCAACAGATGGCAAATGCACGGCCGCTGAAGAAAGAACAGAACGAGAACTCTCACACCTCATCCCTCACCCGACCTGCTTCGAGTTCTCTGGCTTGTCCCTGTCATCCGCACATTGTGGTTCTGAACCTGAAGCTGGCCGACGCTGGAGACGATCACCGAATGTGGAAGCGCATTTCAGCCCTGGAAGTAGATGGAATTAAACGACTAGGACTAGGAAATGCAGGTGGGCGCCAAACGGTTGGCAGAAGCTGGCAAGCAAGGGTCTCGACAGCTCAGTGGCTCCTTGCAGTCATTGCGTCTGCGGCCGTCTGGCACTGGCGCGCAAAATCGCGCAAATTGGCAAAGTGATTCAACGAAATTCAACGGGGACCCTTCTCTCCTCCTCGCGAAGCTTGGTGAACCCCGACCTTGACACAGTCCGGTCGTGATTTGGCCGTTTTTAGGCATCATGATCATCATGGTCACAGGAAGAACCGTTTGCGCACTACATGCTCTGCAGGCACGACCTGCAATGAAAGGTCGCAACGGTTTCCGGCTCTGGTTCTCTGAAACATCATCATTTTCCCAAAAGTTGACCTTGGAACTACTCCATGATGACTCGCCTCTTATGCTTCTCTCCCCACCAGAGCTTGTCAGACATCACACAAAGGCTTCGCGCTCTCTGAGGACTTGGCAAATTCAGGCTCCTGCACTTGTTCAAATCTCGCGTGCTGTTTTCGAGCTGAGTGCGCGGACGTGCGGCAAGACGGTTTCACGTCCTCGTCCAGCTCTTCAACAAGTGGTGAGGGACCTCGGAAAGCAAAAGCCGCCATGCAGCAAACCGCTTCCACACAGCAGTGTTTGGCAGCCATGGCACTGCACAAAGGCGACAGAAACTCCCTTGTAACCCGGGCCTGCGTGGGAGCTCTGCGCCTCTGACGTGCTGCTGTTTCCTTCCTCCTCATCGGAACCCTGGCTCGGGCAAACGTCCTCCAGAAAGACATGGCTCAATCCATGGCCCCGTGGCAGTTTCAGCTGTGACAAACATCGGCCGGCTTTACACTTGGGCTGTTGATGGCTGTCGTCGTTGCAAGTTCAATGCATGCGGATGCATGCGGGCCTGTGTCAAAACAAGGGTAGGGCACTTGAAGTCCTCGACATCCTGAGAAGGCAAGCGAAGTGCCACATCACCAATGCATCAGCTTTCCGAGCATTGCAATGTGTGCTAGGACACCCGGCGGAAGCCTCCGGCGCTGGACCTGTTGGGAGTAGGCTCTCAGGTCGGGTTTCGAAAGAAGTGACCCTGAGCTCTTGACGTTTACAATGCGTCCGCGATCGGGATGAACCTCTGCAGAAGTAGCGTTCCCTGTTGTGGCTTTTGTTCTCGACGTCACATGCATGCAATCTAGGGAACATCAGCATTTATTTGAACTTCGGAGATTTAAAGCCGCTTAGGTGCATGGAACTATTCGGTAAAGGCCGCACGTGATGGATTTGATATGTTTCTGCAGCTTCGGGTCTCAACCTAAGCACGTCAGCCTTACCTCTTCGACCCTGCCAGAGTTGTCAAGAATCGATAAGTTTAAAAAACGGGCAAACTGTAGCAAACGGATGCGTGGACGTGGGTGTACTTCGTTTTTGCGTGAGAGCCAGCCTTTTGGCACACGCGCCAGAGATGTCGCAAGCGAGCACTTTCTGCCGGCAACTCCAAGTTTCGCTCAGTTAGTTATGCCGAGGAGTCCAAGGTTCCTCGTCTTTGGACGACCAAGTGTGGAGATCACAGGGCTGGCGATGCTTGCAAATCTGCATGGCTTGCAGGCGGGCTTTCTTCGAGCCCATGTCGGCGGCGCACTCTAATATGTCATTTCGTCCGCAATTTACTACACGACTTCAGCCAAAATCTTCAGCCAAAATGGCTCTGTCTCTCTCTCTCGCTCTCTCCCTCTCTCTCTCTCTCTCTCTCTGTCTCTCGCACGCTTGGTCCCCCCGAAGGGGGCCGCCCTGTTTCGTTCTCTCTCTTGCTTGCGGCGCATGTGACGCCTGCTCCCCAGAACCAAGCCGTCCTTATGCGTGGGAAGTGTCGAGCTGCCCTGACGAGTTCATTGCCTCCACATCCCCAGGAAGACGCTCACGAAACCCAACACAATGGGGTAATTAGGGTGTGGCATTACAACACGAACGGGCTTTGTGGGGGCTCCCTGCTTGCAATGTCCCGCAGTTTTGCTGTGGGCAACGTGCGGGTTGCGAGGAATGTGGTTCACTGTCGACACTGATGCATCGCCAATGTTGGTGTGAAACTGTTGGATGGTTGCGTGTAAACACACTGTAGAACCCAGGTAGGATCACTTGCAGCATAGTTTTCTCCCATCCTTTGGTTGTTGCCGGCGCCTACTTGACCACAAGATGCACTCTACTTGCTCCGTCATGTTCCCGTCGTCGTCGGTGTTCCGGGAGGCGTTGTGTACTGGGTCTTCGTCAGGTGGGTGGGCTCGCGGCCATGTGTTGTCGGGGTTTCGTTGCCGGGGTTGTGCTCTCTCATCTCTGCCGCTTCAAAGAGTATCTCCTGCACCTCCCTGGCTGTGTGCTTGGGCTACCACTTGCTCCAGTATGCCGGCCATATGCTCCCATCTCAGCCCTGCTCCAACTTGTTCTTATGATTCTCCCGGCAACCCTCTGCATGCTCTTTCTCCCCGCTCCCTCGCTGCTTGCTCCTCTTTGGTTGGTCCTTCGTATTGCTGGTAGCGGTGGTCGTAGTTGTGTCCTCCTCGAATGGCCGTTTGGAAGAGGGTGGTAGGGTGGTACTGCCTCTCTCTCTTCCTCTCTTTCTCCTTCTCTCCTTCTCTCCTTCTCTCCTTCTCTCCTTCTCTCCTTCTCTCCTTCTCTCCTTCTCTCCTTCTCTCCTTCTCTCCTTCTCTCCTTCTCCCTTTCTCCCTTTCTCCCTTTCTCCCTTTCTCCCTTTCTCCCTTTCTCCCTTTCTCCCTTTCTCCCTTTCTCCCTTTCTCCCTTTCTCTCTTTCTCTCTTTCTCTCTTTCTCTCTTTCTCTCTTTCTCTCTTTCTCTCTTTCTCTCTTTCTCTCTTTCTCTCTTTCTCTCTTTCTCTCTTTCTCTCTTTCTCTCTTTCTCTCTTTCTCTCTTTATCTCTTTCTCTCTTTCTCTCTTTCTCTCTTTCTCTCTTTCTCTCTTTCTCTCTTTCTCTCTTTCTCTCTTTCTCTCTTTCTCCTTTCTCTCTTTCTCTCTTTCTCTCTTTCTCTTTTTCTGTCTTTCTCTCTTTCTCTCTTTCTCTCTTTCTCTCTTTCTCTCTTTCTCTCTTTCTCTCTTTCTCTCTTTCTCTCTTTCTCTCTTTCTCTCTTTCTCTCTGTCTCTATCTCCCTCTCTCTCTGTCTCTACCGGATGGAGGCTTCAAACGCTAGTCAACTGCTCTCGCTCTCTCTCTCTCTCTCTCTCTCCCTCTGCGCCTCTTTAAGAAAGCAAGAGGAAGGATGACACAGCACAAGGGACGGCCGCATGCTTCCTTTGTTGGGCGATCTTCATATTATAGCTGGTGATGGAAATGAGTCTGCGAAGGGTGTGAAGAAGCCCTAGCTGTCTCTCTCTCACTCTCACTCTCACTCTCGCTCTCGCTCTCGCTCTCGCTCTCGCTCTCACTCTCACCCGAACTCTCACTCGCTGGTAGCCACATCTGCGACGCCTCCAGGCAAAGCTGGATGCAGCAACCCCGAGGTCTCAGCCTCACTTTGGTCTGTGACCGCCTGGGCCGAATCGCAGGGAATCGCCGATTTCACAGAGCACAGCATGCCCAGCATGCCCAGCCTTGAGACCTGTTGGAAGCCCTGCCCAAAGCGATGCACCGGCACCCCCCAGGAGCATTCAAATGTTTTAACTCCCCTTGAGCTATTTGAGCTGGGCTGGCCTTGCTGGACTTGAGCAAGAACTGAAAGCCTGGCGCAGTGCAGAATCATCCATCTGACGGTTTCGTCTGTTTCAAACTACGCCTGCTGGGTGCCGGTATCGCAGATGGCTTACCCGTGGGCAGCTGTAAGGACTCCAAATTACATTCCGTATGGTTCCGTGATGTTCCGTGTGACCGACTGCCTTCCCTCCAAGGAGACCTCATGGGTCCGAAGGTTGCGCTCAAAGAGCCCGAGGACCTGAGGAAGTGGGCCGTGATCAGGCAGCCCTCCTCCGCTAGGGAGTGAGGGGGCATAGACTCTATAGACCCTGGAGAGATGCCACCGACGTCCGCGTGCAATAGAGCCACGCTACGCAATCCCGCGGCCCCTTTTTGCACTCAAATCCTTGCGCGCGCAAGATAGCTTCTGGAACCTTAAAGTCAATAAGGACAGTAGGCAGACAGAAGCACCACAACATTCCACAACAGCAGATTGCTGAGTCGAGGCTGAGACGTGCTAGTCACTAATTACTGTATCGGCCCTCTCGGCGCCAAACAAGGGACCGTGACTTTCTGTGCCACACTGAGCCTCTAAGTCACACTAAGACATTAAGCGCTTCTTTCCTTCGGCCTGGAGCGGGGACTTCGTGCCACCTCAGACTTCGCTCTTGGCCTGGCAAGCAGATGTGCGACAGGCAGCCAACACGGGCAAAGCACAAAGCGATGAAGGCAGAGGCTGAGCACACAGCAACAAAGAATAAACACATGCGCTTTGGCAATACCACCGCCACTGTCAAGTGTGCCGGGAGGATCCTTGGCCTCGACCTCTTTCGGCGCGTCTTCCTGGCACACGATCATTGGACGCTGCCATTTCATCTCACAAAGTGACCAGCCTTGAGGAACATGTATGTGGTCACCTGCTGCACAAAGAAAGTGAGGGGAAGCAATCCGGGAGATGCTAGTAGTGCGGTTCATGCCGAGTTGAAGGTTCAGGCTGCAACGATGCGACTGAGAATTATCTCAGGGATCTCAGACAAGAAGCAGTAGTTCAGGGCTTTGAGGGCTCGGAGTGTTTTCGACGTACATAACTCTATAACCTATAACCCTAGAGCTTCTTGGTGCTTTCTTTGGCTGTCAACAGTCAATTGCGAACTGAGTGCGACACTGTCATCACCACTGCCAACATCGCAAGGAAGGTTTGGATCTGCGCGGCAACCATCACTAACAGCTGATTACGATACTGAAGTGTAAGGTTCCAACTTCTCACTTTGACACGCAGCGACGCATTCCACTCTGAATGCAAGCTAGTTACGTACCGAAATCCGAAGCCCCCACAGATAGATAAGAGTCCACCGCACTTCCGTACTTACAGTTGGGTGAGGCCTTCTTGGACGGTCTGGGGGAGGGAGGGGGGGGCTGCCTCAAACTGTTTGCCAAAGAATGGCAGAAACACTTGGAAGGCGTAGATGACCTGCTTCAAGGCTGAGGCAAAGAAAACACAAGCACGAGAGCTCAGCAGCATTGACCTACGAAAACCCTACGCCTGTGACCCTCGCTTGTCTAACAGAGCGCCGATTCTGCTACAGGTGTTTGGGATGCTGAGACAGCCAAGGTGTGGTTCTGAGCTAGCGACCAGAACAGCAACGGCCTCCCCAATGGTCTTCATAATGGAGTCCAGAACCTGCTTCGAGGCATCATGGACGCAAACAAATTTGCAGGCATGGGTGCTCTGGCGACAAAACTGATGCACTGGTAGCATGGACGAACGCAATCGGATGCTCTGGCCACATATGGATGTAATCCGCCAAGGCCGGAGGCCTGAGGCGTTTAGATCCAGGTCTAGGGAACGCTTTACCCTTCCCTTTCTCCATCTTCCCCCACCCCCCTTACCCCACGTGAACCCTTAATTCACATCGGTTTGCCGAGCCGGCTTCGCGTTAGCAGTTAAATCCGCCGAGGCCTGGGGCCGAAAGGTGTCTGGGTTGTGAGAACAGGCACCCTCCCCAAGCCAAAACCACCCTTTTTTTGCCTGGAATGGGTACCCCCCGTAGGGGATCGGGAGCTGAAAGCGGACGGTTTGCCGGGACCAGGGCGCCCCACCCCCCCACCCCCCCCTTCGCGGGTGTTTCTCGCGGAAACACCGTTGAGGGTTTCGGGTTTCCTCACAGCCTCCCCAAATAGCCAAATAGCTTTGAGCCCTGGCATTTTCTTGGGGTGTTTTTGTAGGCGAGAGGTTTTGCAGCCCCGCCCACAGCTCCGCGAGCTGCATTGCGCATTAAAATCCGTCGAGGCCTCAGATTTTAACAAGAAGTGTACGAGGCCGCTTTTTTGGCCCGGATTGGGTACCCCGGAGTCGGCCACTCTCCAGACTTCCCCCCCCGTAAGATGGACACTTAAAGGCTATGCTGCACGTGCGTGCCTTGTAAACAAATACTTTACAAAGGAAACACCCGCAGAATAGACGCAACGCACCCTTAGCATCGCGTGGAGGGCGCGGAGGGCGCGGAGGGCGCGGAGGGCGCGGAGGGCGCGGAGGTCGCGGAGGGTGCGGAGGGTGCGAAAGGCGCGGAGGGCGCGCAGGGCGCGGAGGGCGCGGAGGGCGCGGACGGCAGGGCGCGGAGCGCGCGGAGGGCGCGGAGCGGGCGGGGGGCGCGGAGCGTCGCGGAGCGGCGCGGAGCGGCGCGGAGCGGCGCGGAGGGGCGTCAAAGTTGCTGAGCGCTTCTGTCCGAAACTAGTACATGAGCTATATGGATCAAAGCACTTTAAAGAATTCGAGCAAACGGAATGTCACGCTCCCCATCCGTGCTCCCCCCCCGAACCCCCGTCCGTCAACCTCCAGGCATGGTCCACGCCTCCTCACGCCACCCCTCTCCCAGCAGAATGTTCCGAACCCCCTCCCTTGAACGTGTCGTCTCCGCGGCCTCCCGTCAAAATGTTGACCGTCTCCTCTTCGTGGCCTCTTTCGCCAAAAAGCGATCCGACAGAACGCCTTCCGCGTTGAAGCGCCCAAAAAAGAACCCAAGAATAGAATTGGTTTTCGAGAAGAATACAAGAAAACAAAGAGCACGCGCAGAATAGACGTTAAGTGTCCAAGGCACCCCCCCCCTTGCCCCCTTTTCCCCCCTGGCCCCTCCCCTTGCCCCCTTCCCCTTGCCCCCCCCCCCTCCCCCCCCCCCCCCCCCCCCCCTCCCCCCCCCCCCCCCCCCCCCCCCCTGCCACCTTCCCCTCCTCACCCCCACTGCCGTCTCGGTACTCTTGCCGAGGCGGCCTCGCGTTAGCGAAAAAAATACTACTGTTACGGTAGGAGCATGAACGCTGTTCGGGGGTGGATGCTCTGTATCCCCCGCTGCAGCCATGAAGCGCTGCGCGGGAAGGGCAGCCCTACACCCTCAACCCGATAGCAAAACTTGGCGAAAGCACCAGATTAGGAAGCTGTTTCCTCCGAGACCCTTCATCCCCAAACTGATTGCGAGAAACTATCAACAAAAGCTCCTGCACATGTAGTTTGAAAACTTGAACGATGACATTGAGCTGCACAGAGCGCGCACTGTATCGTTGTCTTGAGTCCTAAACCCTCGAAGCCCCAAACTTTAGGGGATGTTACCTGGCACGGGCGCATGAAAACCACCACTGGGCAAGACGCCTTCAGAAGGGTCATGGTCAGGACTGTCTTCACGGAGAAAGACAGCACGACCTGTCTGCTTCAAATGCGAGCACTGCTGTCATGAACTTGAGTTCAGTTAGTTATTAAGCATAAGCCGGCAATCAGGTTACAACGAAAAGCTAAAAAAAGAGAGGTTTGCTTAACGCATCTCAGGCCGACCCTGTCCCCAGCTTGCTCAGGGCCAATAGAACTGTCTGGGGGTAAACAACTGGACCCACAACAGCATGAAGTCAACTCATCTTTCGTCCCTCCCACCACAACCCTGCAGATCTAAACTCGCGCGTTGTCGCGCTATGGTCTTGAGGCGCAAGGGGTCTGGGCTTGCCTGCACACTTTTCAGGGTTGCGTGCTAGCACAAGTGGGGGGTCGTATTGGGCATTTCTGAGACACAGTTGCTGTTGATCGAACCACACCAAACTCAAGGCAATGTGCTCTTCCATCTCACACCGTACATAATGCACACTGACACAAAGCTTCATCTCCTTGCAGTCTTGTCGCGAGCCACGTCGCTGAGTTCCATCCATGGAAGAAGGCAGACGAAGAAATAAGAACCTGGCAAACATCAAGTGCTGCCCAACGAAGCACTCGCAGTCAGAGGCTTTGCCACAAAATGCCACAAAATGGGATGGCCCTCGGCTCGAACATAGCAGCCAAAATCAAGGAGAACACGCCTTGGCAAGTGGCAGACTGTGAAGAATTGACCAACCAGCCGCTCTTGCCCGAAACTTCTGAGAAAGCTGCCCCAAGAGAAGAACATCTGGTTGAGCTGGACCTGGGTTGAAAGCTAGACACTGCGCAAGTGCGCGCACCAAAGGCAGCTGCCTATCAAGCTTGGAGTTACGCTGCCTGCTTTAACTTGCAAGTGCATTAACCAACTCATGCATCACTCCAGTCTCTTTTTTGTTTCTTCTTGTCTTCTCATGGTTGGATATCTTTCAGCGAGACGCTGCAGCGCCAAGCTCTCGGTTGAGCACAGGCGGAAAGAGCAAAAATGAGAAGCAGCACAAGGATGGAACCAGGGGTTTGGACAACGACGCTTGGCAGAATCCGTTCAAACAACCCCGTTCATCGCAAGTGCAGAATGGGCTGTGGCGCCTCCCTTAAACTCCATGTCAGACCTTCATTTTGGAGCCTTGGCTCTTACTCACAGCTCGATGCGAACCTGACCCAGCTACACAAATGACGGCTTGACACGGTGAAGAGCCACCCACCAGCCTTGATTGGTGCACCATAGTGAATGCCATAGTGTCATCGCGCAGATGCACTGACCTGCGGACGACCTTGAAGACCCTAACATCTGATCTGTCGTTGCAGACCTGGAAGTGAAGCAGTGCTGGTGCTGCTCGGAAGACGACATCAACACATGTAGCAAACTTGTCGTAGATCTCTGCTTTTTAGCTTTTTCGATTGGAGATTGAACTCTCCTCACGGCAGAAGCGCCGAAGTTCAACATGTGTCAACGACCGCCTCTTCTTCTACACTCAGATCAATCTCAGCCACCCACTGCCCTTACAGGTTTGGCTGAGGCAGGCGGATTTCCTGTGCGTCCGGACAGCCAAATGTGCTGTCCATGACCGACTCCATCCACGAGTGCA